AGTATTCCATTCACAGTCAGTGAACCTCTCCAACAATTTCTGTCTCTGACCCCCCGTTCCCAGGTTTGAGACGGTGGAAACTTATCTTTCTTCACTCCCTCTCCTGCAGGCTTAAACAAGGATCCCCCCCCTTTTCTCCTGCTTCCAAGGGGGTTTTAGTGGTTATAAATGAAGGAAATTTAGACTTTTTAAACGACTTTCCAGACTTTAGCTTACAAGGTTTTTGCATCAGTCTATGTACAAAAAGCGGAAGGCGGACTTCCTGTTTGAACCTTCCCGCTTTGGTGCCAAATTAGGGTATTTCTTAATCCAATTTTCCATTTCTACTCACGGGTACTTGTTTTAAATCCAATTGTCCACAGGAAAAAGTCAGCGCTCTCCGGCAATGGCTGTGCGGCTTCCCTCCGTGAAAGTAGCAATCAGTTCGCAGCACTGCGCCGCTCACCCCACTTCACTCCGGAACCCCAAAATGGGGTTCCCCGTGAGTAGGGGGGCGCTCCTGGTGCCCTGCCGAACCCCACGTTCCCAGGCTTCCTCCGCCTGGGATTTCTAGCGGGTCCCCACCTTCGCCGCGGCGGGAAGACCCAGTTTCCACGGAGCCAGTTCCTCCGGTCGGAGGAACTCCGCCATTCGCCGATGGCGCTAACCCGGAAGTCCCCATAAAACAAGCATTTCATTGATAAATGAAGTGGTCGGTTGTGAATTACTCATACCAAAAAGTAGGTTAGAGCATCTAATATAGGAATTCAGTCAGTGGGCTCCCTTTATGGAGTTTTGCTGGCAAGTTCTGCATTTTGCTGGGGAAAGAGAAGGGCCCTGAGCAAAATGCTCTCTGCATGTATTAAAAAGTTTTTAAAAGCAGAGTACCTCTCAGCATGCCCAGAGGCCTTTGCCACACACCCTGAAAGGAGCAAAGATAAAGACCTAAAGCCAAACTGACCCTGTTTATGTGTAATTGGGCTTATTCTCAAGGACCAGCTCCATCTGGTACGCAGGATGAGACCCTACCTGCCCGCGGACTGTCTCGCCAGAGTGGTGCATGCTCTAGTTATCTCCCGCTTGGACTACGGCAATGCGCTCTACGTGGGGCTACCTTTGAAGGTGACCCGGAAACTACAACTAATCCAGAAAGCGGCAGCTAGACTAGTGACTGGGAGCGGCCGCCGAGACCACATAACACCGGTCTTGAAAGACCTACACTGGCTCCCAGTACGTTTCCAAGCACAATTCAAAGGGTTAATGCTGACCTTGAAAGCCCTAAATGGCCTCAAAGGCCCAGTATCCCCGAAGGAGCGTCTCCACTCTGTCGCAGGTAACCCCCCCCATCATTCAGTTTGTACAAACTTCACACACACTCACACTCAGACACAACATACGCTACGCTTCTGTTATAAATTCATAGAAAATCAACTATACATCGGATTTGCACTGTTCCACTTTTATTTTACTCCATGAAGGAAGGACTACAAAATGGGGAAGGTTTGATACAGGGCAGCCATAATCCCTTGAGCATACCAGTACATACACAGGAGCCCTGCCCAGTTGGCATGCCAACCCTGATGGTCCTAGACAGACCATCAAGATCACGAAGAACTTGCATATGGGAGTGGATTCTGTTATGTACTGAAGTTCTCACCCTGGGCCAGCAGGGGGGATACTGTAGATAGTTATGCAAATGAAGGATTGAAAGTGATGTTCAGTGATTGGATAGTTTTAGAAAGTTGTTACAGTAACAAGGTACTGGAGCTCTATATAAGCAGGCTGACTGAGGCCTTCAGTTCTGTTCTGTTCCAGCTTACAAATAAAGAGCTGCTTTGGAAGAATCACTGTGTCGTCTGATATGTTCGCCCACAACTTAACCCTGGCTACGAAGGTGGGATCGATGGACATCAGAACACAGCCAGATGCGGCCATCCTCTGAACTGAGCTGAATCACTGAGCTGAATCACTGAGCAAAATCACTGAGCAAAATCACTGAACAGAACCAATTCAGAGCTGACTGTTCTGGCTAGAGCACTGTGTTCCATCCATCGCCCTTCACGCCGGCATTGGAATCATGGCTTCACTTGTGCCTCTACCGCCGTTTGCGCCAGCCTCTGAATCATGGGACTCCTACCTCGCTCGGTTCAAATGCTACCTCCAAGCCAACGAGCTGACGCAAGTATCACAGGAGCGTAAGCGGGGCCTATTCCTCAGCCTTTGTGGGTCCGAGGTGTTTGAGACGGCCCGAGCATTGGTTGCGCCTGAAGCAGTCCAGGCAACACCGTGGGACACAATCCAAGAGAAGCTCCGCAACCACTACGCACCAAAGCCGTCCAAGATTGCTGCCCGCCATGCGTTTTACCACCGGAACCAGGCAGAGGGGGAGTCAATCAGTAACTACACCACCGCCCTGCGACAGGCTGCAATGCACTGCGAGTTCCAAGACTTAGACAATGCCGTGATGGATCGAATCGTCTGCGGGGTCCGGGACAACCGTCTGCAATTGCGTCTCCTCGCCAAGCCAGACCTCACGCTGCAGAAAGCCATTGAGGAGGCTGTGGCCTCAGAAGCTGCCGAACGCTCCGCCCAGGAGATCCGCAAGGCCAGCAGCCTGCGTCTTGCTAGGAAGCCAGTTCCAGTGCATCACAAAGAGGCCAGCCGTGATGAGGCATCCTCCAGTGAAGACGATGACGTGCACCAGACAAAGCGGGAGCGCAGGAAGTTCCAACAGAAGTCCAAGGGCCAACCGGAATGTGCCGGCTGCGGAGGCAACCATTCCCGTGCCAAGTGTCGATTCAGAGACGCCATCTGTCGGAAGTGTTCCAGAAGGGGCCACATCGCTAAGATCTGCTGATCAGCTCTGGCTGACACCCCCCCCCCTTCACCGACTCACAAGTCCAAGTCTTCACTCCAGTCCGCCAAGGAAAGCTGTTTCGCTCTCACCAACTGCCGCTGCCCGTCTGGAACCACGATTGGCCAAACCGACTCGCCTACACGACGCAAGCTGAACGTCACAGTGCTCATTGAAGGAGCTCCATGTGACATGGAGATCGACACCGGGTCTGCCCTGTCCATCGTGTCTTGGAGCACCATCAAAAGACTGGTACCCAGAGTGTCCAAAAGGCAACTCGACTCTCACCGCGTACACCTGAGAGACTACCAGGGAAACGACATTCCCGTGGTAGGCGTTGGCCGGTTCCGGATCGCCTTCAAGGATTTTTCGGGCCTGCTCTGGTTGGTGGTGGTTGAAGGTCAGCGGCCAAGCCTCCTAGGGCTAGACTGGTTTGATGCCCACGGCTTGGAAGTCACCGGCATCAACTACATCTCTAACGCAGAGACTGAGGGTCTGGTCAAAGACTTTGCCGAGGTTTTTGATGGCACTTTGGGGCAATATACAGGTACGCCCATCTCCTTTAGCCTTGATCCACAAGTCGCCCCCATCAAGCTAAAGCCACGCCGGGTTCCCTTTGCTCTCAAGGCTAAGGTGGACGAACAACTGGACAAGCTGATCGCCCAAGGAGTTTTGGAGCCGGTTGACCACGCCAAGTGGGAACCCCCATCGTCACGCCTGTCAAGCCAGACGGGTCGGTGAGAATCTGCGCTGACTACAAGTGCACGATCAACAAGGCACTTCAGCAGCACGCTTATCCGGTTCCTGCTGTCCAACACCTGCTGCATTCCCTGGGTGAGGGTAAGGTCTTCGCTAAGCTGGACCTTGCCCAAGCCTATCAACAACTGCCCGTTGATGATGCCACTGCTGAAGCCCAGACGATCGTCACCCACCGAGGGGCATTCCGTTGCCGCCGGTTGCAGTTCGGGGTGAGTGTGGCTCCTGGCATCTTCCAAAGCCTTATGGAGCGTCTCCTGCAAGGGCTTCCGGGCGTGGTACCATATTTTGATGACGTCTTGGTGTCCGCAGACTCACACCAGCAGCTGTTCGAGCGCCTCCGTGCCGTGCTGACCAGGTTCCAGGAGGCCGGGCTCAAGGTAAAGAGGGAGAAGTGCCAGATTGCCGTTCCACAGGTGGAGTTCCTGGGCTATCTTATCGACGCCTCCGGCCTTCACCCGACCACATCCAAGATCCACGCTATCCAGCAGGCCCCCATCCCAAAGAACAAGACGGAGTTGCAGGCGTTCCTGGGGCTGCTGAACTTTTATAACATGTTCCTGCCCCACAAAGCCACGGTGGCTGAGCCTCTTCACCGACTCCTCAGCACAAAGACGCCTTGGTCCTGGGGTCATCGGGAGACGGCGGCCTTCAACGCGGTCAAGGCTCTCCTTTCATTGGACCGTGTGCTGGTACAGTACAGTGAATCCAGGCCACTGGTCCTTGCCTGCGACGCCTCACCTTTTGGCATCGGCACTGTCCTTAGTCACCGTTTTCCAGACGGAAGAGAAGCACCGCTCGCCTACTTTTCCAGGACGCTATCTCCGACGGAACGGAATTACAGCCAGCTCGACAAGGAGGCACTGGCACTTGTGGCTGGAGTGAAGAGGTTCCATGAATACCTCTACGGCAGGACTTTTGACCTCATCACCGACCACAAGCCGCTCCTGGGATCGCCGGTGATCGACCAACTCCACCAGTCCTCTCGCCGCACATGCTGTGATGGACTGTTTTCCTGGCTGCCTACCACTACCAGCTCGCCCATCGCCTGGGGAAATCGATGGGCCATGCCGACGCCCTCAACCGTTGCCCTCTTCCAGCGTTTGTGGAAGACCCGGCTCCAGCTTTATCGCTCCTATTGATTGAGGATCTTCCGGCAGCGCCTATATCGGCTGCCACTGTGGCCTCCGCATCTGCCCAGGATCGCACCATCAGCCGTGTGCTCAACTGGGTGTGGACGGGGTGGCCACAAGGGCCTTTTGCATCGGAGTTCCAGCCATTCGCAACCAGACAACGTGAACTCTCAGCTCACCACAGCTGTCTGCTGTGGGGAGACCACGTCGTGATTCCCCAAAGACTCTGTCAACGCGTCCTGGAGGCTCTGCACGTTGGCCACCCGGGAATCGTCAAAATGAAGGCGTTGGCTCGGTGTTACGTCTGGTGGCCTAACATGGACGATGCCATCACTGCCTGGGTTTCCGCCTGTCAAGCGTGCCAAGAATCGAGGCCTGCACCACCGGCAGCTAAGGGACACACCTGGGAGACGCCCAAGACACCCTGGTCGAGGGTGCACATCGATCTGGCTGGCCCCTTTCACGGCCGGACCTTTATGGTAGTGGTGGACGCCTATTCCAAATGGCTGGAGGTGGCCCTGATGCCCTCCACCACTACCGAGGCCGTCATCCGGGTGCTGCGAGGCCTCTTTGCGACGCATGGGTGTCCTGATGTCCTTGTCTCTGACAACGGACCGCAGTTCACGTCAGGCACTTTTGAGCGGTCTCTTTTGGGACTGGGTATCCGCCATGCCCTAACAGCACCATTTCATCCATCTAGCAACGGGCAAGCGGAGAGAATGGTGCGCTCGGCAAAAGAGGCACTGGGGCGCCTGGACCGGGGAGACTGGCACGAGCGGGTCGCCGAATACGCCGAATGTGTTCGTGCAACACATCACCCCTCATGCGGCCACAGGGCGGAGTCCTGCCGAACTGCTTATGGGCCGCCTCAGGTCTCCGCTCGACCGGCTGCACCCGGACTTTGCCGTGGCCGAACCCCCAGGCTGTGCCAACGCGCCACGGTCATTTGTTCCAGGAAACCAGGTCTTTGCCCGGAACTATGTGGGGGACATTCCTTGGGTGCCAGCCACAGTAGTGGGAGTCACTGGACCTCGCTCGTACCAGGTGGCACTCGAAGACGGACGCTTGTGGCGCCGGCACATAGACCAGCTTAGGCGCAGGGTTGGGGACTTGGACACTACCGTGGTGCCCCCAACTGCGCTTGTGGCTCCAGAAGAAACACTTACAGATGGCAAGGCTCCACCTACACCTCTCTCGCAGACTGCGGGCGTGGAGCCGAACCAAGCCACTTCAGAGGGTCTGCCAGACTTACCACAGACTCAGACCACTGCCGTGCCTGACATTCTGCCAACTCCACTTGCGGAGGCTCCGCCCACAGCAGCGGATCCAGGGGATTTGGTTTCAACGCCACCTAGGGCCACACCACAGCCTCAGCAAGAATTGGGTGGGCCCCCAGACTTGGCTACCAGTCCCCAGCGGTCAACTTATTTAAAGGACTATGTTGTTGGACATGTATCACTGTTGGTCTAAGTAGGGGAAATGTAACCGATATGCTTTTGTGCCTAATTGAACCATTACATGTAGTGCTGTATATAAGGAAACCATTACGATTGTAACTAACTCCTTATCTTGGTGGGGAGGGGTGTTATGTACTGAAGTTCTCACCCTAGGCCAGCAGGGGGATACTGTAGATAGTTATGCAAATGAAGGATCGAAAGTGACGTTCAGTGATTGGATAGTTTGTATGCAAATGAAGGATCGAAAGTGACGTTCAGTGATTGGATAGTTTTAGAAAGCTGTTACAGTAACAAGGTACTGGAGCTCTATATAAGCAGGCTGACTGAGGCCTTCAGTTCTGTTCTGTTCCAGCTTACAAATAAAGAGCTGCTTTGGAAGAATCGCTGTGTTGTCTGATATGTTCGCCCCCAACTTAACAGATTCAGCATGGACTGGAACAAAGGACAATGATCAGATCTTCCCTCTGGGGGCAGGACACTGCAAACTCCCCTCTGTCACCTGGAAAGTACTCATGGGGAGGGGGAAAGGGGGAACCAGCCAGGTGACAGGACACTCAGGTTACCACCACAACTCCTCCCTCAACCCCTCCTTTCGGTGATGTATGCATGATGTTTCTGGGGGTGGGCTTGACCTAGAGGATGGGAATTTCGAAAGTTTTTATAAGGTCTTGCACACCATCTTTCTGGGTCCCTCCTCTCTCCTGCAAGTGAGGGGAACACCCTGTTGCAACAGTTCAATAAAGGCCAAGCCTACAGGCTGCTGTTTTGCTCCAAGTTATCCTGGTTGGTGTCTTTGTTTTCATCCAAGGGAGCCCTCGGATTTTTCCGTTAATAATGCTCAGAGGAAATCTGATTGTTTCTTACGAACACTGTAAAGGGTTCTTTTGTTAATAAAACAGCCTGGACGAGTGGGTGGCGATATGCACTTCCTCCCAGAGTCTTGCTGGTCAAGCCTCATGTGTATTTTATTAATCAGAGTCCAATCCTTCCTTGCTTTTGGGAAGCAACATGCTCTCTCTTCCATGGGACAGCCCTTGAGATATTTGAAGATGGCTCTCTGATCTCCTCTCAGTCTCCTCTTTTCCAGGCTAAATATCCCCAACTCCTTCAACCGTTCCTCATCAGGCGTGGCTTCCAGACCCTTGATAATCTCAGTCACCCTCCCATTCCAGCTTGTCAATCTCCTTAAACCGTGGCACCCACACCAGATTCTAGTTGGGGTCTGGCGCGAACCAGCCTGTAACCCCCCCCCCTCTGAAAAACACACCTGTGCCATGGCTGCCTGCCTGGGTAGTTCCTGGAGGGGAGGGCATTGCTGAGCTGCCTTGGCCCCCTCCCTCCCCCAGAGGTTAAGAGAAGGGGGAAATTATGCAACGGCAGCTTTAATAGCAAAAAATGTACACCCCCAAAGAAAAGACCCCCCCAAGGGCTGTCAAGGGCCCTGCCAAGTGCCACACCCCCCGCGCGGCCGGACAGCGTCGAAGATGAAGAGGCCCAGGAGGACGCAGAGGGCGAAGAGCAGCGCCACGGCCAGCACCACGTAGACGGCGGTGGTGACGGCGAAGGCGAAGAGGAAGACGGTGCGCTGGCAGAAGGTGGGGTGGCCGGCCGGGTCGTAGTTGGGGGGGAAGATGGTGTAGACCCACACGTTGCCTGTAGGGAGAACGGTGTAATAGGAATTTTGAGGTCTTAGATATATGTTCAATGTTCCTAAGTGTACCAACCAAGCACGTACATAGATCAGCACAGGAAGACCGACCTGGAACCATTTTTGATTCCCAAATGGACCAAATGATTTCTCTGCAAGGTCGAAGGAAAATGGAAAAGCCTCCCCATTGTCTTTTCCTTCAGAAATCCTGTTTTTAAGGGTATGTCAGTGTATGAATAGGGTGAGCCTGTGACCTGACTCAGGAACTAAGTATTTGTCATTACGAAAGACTGGCCAGGCTCCCCAGGGTATCCAATCAAGTGCGCATTAACAGGTAACCTGCCAGACATAAACAACGCACGCAGATTTCTGTTGTAATATAATAATAATAATAATAATTTTTTATTTATACCCCGCCCTCCCCAGCCAAGGCCGGGCTCAGAGCGGCTTACAAGCAATAATAAAAACAAGATGAATGATTACAACTTAAAAACAAAAATAAAATACAACATTAAAATAATGGAACATTAAAATATTAAAATGTAGCCTCATCGCAGGAGGAGAAGGAAAGGAAAAAAGAAAGAGAGGGAGGGAATCAAATTGGCTCCAAGCCAAAGGCCAGGCGGAACAACTCTGTCTTACAGGCCCTGCGGAAAGAAATCAGATCCTGCAGGGCCCTGGTCTCATGAGGCAGAGCGTTCCACCAGGCGGAGCCAGAGTTGAAAAGGCCCTGCCTTTGGTTGAAGCCAATCTAACTTCCTTAGGGCCCGGGACCACTAGGGTGTTGCTATTTATGGACCTTGAGGCTCTCCGTGTGGCATATTGGGAGAGGCGGTCCCGTAGGTACGAGGGTTCTAGGCCGTGAAGGGCTTTAAAGGTCAAAACCAGCACCTTAAATCTGACCCTGTACTCCACCGGGAGCCAGTGCAGCTGGAAAATTAGTGGGTGAATATGCTCGCATGGCAGAGACCCCGTGAGGAGCCTCGCTGCAGCATTCTGCACCCGCTGGAGTTTCTGGGGCAGCTTCAAGGGCAGCCCCGCGTAGAGCGAATTACAGTAGTCAAGCCTGGAGGTGACCGTCGCATGGATCACTGTGGCCAGGTCGGGGCGGGAAAGGTAAGGGACCAACTCTTGATGCGGCGAAGGTGGAAAAATGTCGCCTTGGCTGTTGCTGTAACCTGCGCCTCCATGGAAAGGGAGGCATCAAGGATTACACCCAAACTCTTAACGGAAGGCAATGGCACTAATTGGGCCCCCGCAAGAGAAAGGAGTTGGTCCCTCATCCCCATGCCATCCCGACCCAGCCATAGGACCTTTGCCTTTGAAGGATTTAGTTTCAATCGGCTCCCACGAAACCATCCAGCCACAGCTTCCAAGCATCTGGTCAGTGTGTTCGGGGCCGAATCGGTGTGGCCATCCATCAGCAGATAGAGCTGAGTGTCATCAGCATATTGGTGACAGCCCAGCCCAAAGCTCCGGATAATCTGGGCAAGGGGGCGCATAAAGATGTTAATAAGCATCGGGGAGAGAATTGCGCCCTGCGGCTCTCCACACTCCATGGAGTGGCGCGATGACATTTCCCTCCCTAGTGCCACCCTCTGTCCCCGACCAGAGATAAAAGAGCACAACCAGTTACGGGCTATGCCCTGTATCCCCTCGTCTGCGAGGCGGTGGTCCAGAAGATCATGATCGACCATGTCAAAGGCTGCTGACAAATCTAAAAGGATCACCAGTCCTGACCCGCCTCGATCCAGCTGTCTACGGAGATCATCTGTTAGGGCAACCAGAGCCGTCTCCGTCCCAAAACCAGGACGGAAACCGGACTGAAATGGATCTAATGTCGATGTTTCCTCCAGAAACCTACCAAGCTGTTCAGCAACCGCTCTCTCAATTACATTACCCAGGTATGGAAGATTTGAAACTGGGCGGTAATTGGATAGGTCTAAGGGATCTAATGAAGTTTTATTTAAGAGTGGACACACCACTGCTTCCTTCAGTTCCCCTGGGAATGTCCCCGTGTCAAGGGACAAATTGATAATTTCAACCAGGGGGGTCCGCGCAACATCTGGACACTCCCTAATCAGCCAAGATGGGCACGGATCAAGGAGGCAGGTGGTGGGCCTACCAACTTGGAGGAATCTATCCACATTAGCAGGGAGTATCCAATCGAAATGGTCCAACACTGGACCTGAAGTCAGTCGAGGGGCCTCCAGTTCAGTCACTGTATCTAAATTGGCAGGGAGGTCACGGCGGAGCAACAGGACTTTCTCCGCAAAAAGCTCGCGAATGCCTCACAGCTGTGGGTCGAATTTGTGCTTAAATTTGGTTGTCCTCCTAAGGACGTTATTGACCTAATTATTCTAAAAAGTTGTGCCGGGCGAGAGCTACCAGATGCAATGGAAGCTGCAAAGTAAGATTTCTTAGCAGCTTTCATAGCCATCTCATAGGCTATGTAGACCACCTTTTCTGTGATGTAGGTGTGATGTTTCTGGGGGTGGTCTTGGACTCCAGGGCGGGCAATTTAAAATGTCTATATAAAGGCTTGCGCGCATGGCTGGGCTCCTCCTTCTCTTTCCTGCGTGTGAGGGGATCACCCTGTTGCAGCAGTTAATAAAGATCAGGCTTACTAGCTGCTTTGCTTCTCAATATTTTCTGGTTGGCCTCCGTTATTTTCTCCTCCCGATGGAGAAGCTGCAAAGGACTCTATAAGGGCTCTTGTGAGGGCAGATTTTCGTTTATTACAGCGGGAAAATAAGGGCCTTTCCTGCCTCTCCCCCTCTCCCCCTGGAGATTTTGTTAGGGGGTGAACAAGGGATGGGGAGGGGTCCCGTCGCTGACCTGCATCTCCTGCCTGCCCATCTGAGGCAAACCCACAATTCATTTGCGGGAGTTCCATTGAACCCTCTTCTGAACCCCCTTTCTGAGGACCCCTGTTCTGAATGGTTCATGGAGTCAGAAGGGGCACCCAAAGGCCATCCATCCCAACCCTCCAGGATGCGGGAAACGCAGCTTAGGCATCCCGGCAGACCTCTGCTTAGTGACCTCTGCTTTTCTGGGGAAAGGGCAGCCCACCCACCCGCCGACTTCCACCTCATAAATACCCCCTTCTGCAGGGCAGCAGTTCCCACCAGGTATGTGGGGAAGAGACAGGTGGGGGGAGACTCACCTGCCAGGAACCAGATGCAGAGGAAGAGGCAGCAGGCGGCCCGGAAGCGCTGTGCCCAGGGGTTGGGTCGGTCTGTGCCATCTCCGCAGGGCAGGCAGCTGAGCAGCAGCAGGAGGAGGACAACCGCACTCAGGACGATCAGGTAGATGGGGATGAGAGGCTGCTGGGGGCACTGGCCCAGGTAGACTGCTCCTGCAGGTGGAGGCACAGCGGGAGAGGCTCAGCACCCGGGACCCCGGACTCTCCCCCTACGGGGCAGCCTCTCCTGGTCTGCCCTGCAGAGGACCTTGAGGTCCATGAATAATCATAATTTAGAGGTCCCTAAGGAAGTCAGATTATCCTCCACCAGGGCCAGGGCCTTCTCAGTGGTGGCTCCGACCTGGTGGAATGCTCTGTCCCAGGAGACCAGGGCCCTGCAGGATATAACCTCCTTCTGCAGGGCCTGTAAGACAGAGCTATTCCGCCTGGCCTTTAATTTGAATTCAGCCTGATCTTCTATTTCCCTCCCCTCCCCTTTTATGAAGATCACCCGCTCTGGGATCCCACAGCTAATTCTCCCCTGGCCTCCTCGCTGGCCCAAGTAGGACCAATTCAGCCAGCTAGCCCTGGGGATTATCTAATACTTATTTCCCCTAAACTGATTACGGAATATTTTATGGTTATTCATGTTTTTATTCTGTATTTTATGCTGCTTTTATAATTAAGTGTTTTAAATTTGTTGTTAGCTGCCCTGAGCCCAGTTTTTGAACCGGGAAGGGCAGGGTATAAATAAAATATTATTATTATTATTATTAGCCGCAGATGTGGACCCCACTGCCACTGCTGCTTCCCAGTGCTCAGACTTGGGAGAGACCCCCCAGTCCAAGGAAGCACAGCTGCCGACTGCCCTTCGAGTGCAGCCCATTGCCAGGGTGGGGAGCCAGGAGGCGGCGCCCCATCCCAAATGGCAGCCCCAAGAGGCAGCATGGCTTAGTGGTTGGAGCGCCTGACTAGGACCTTGAAGAGACCAGGATTCGAATCCCTCTGCTCAGCCACGTAGCTCGCTAGGTGTGACATTGGGGTGGTGGTCTGCCTCGCAGGGTGGTTGTGGGGATTAAAAGAGGAGGGTAGAGAACCTCGTATCCCGTCTTGAGCATAAATAAAGCAAATACAATCCTATTATGGCGGCAGCAGCAGCAGCAGCAGGAAGACTCGCACCCGGCTCCAGGATGTTTGCCAAATAATCAGAGTTGGGAGAGAGCTATGCAGGCCACATGCAAAACCCCAACCAACTAGCTGAACAGCCACTGATCAGGGATTTTTAAAGCTGGGATTCCTTTATTGCAGGGGGTTGGACTAGATGACCCCTGGTGTTCCCTCCCTAGTCTGGCCACAAACCAGGCCTCAAGCCCAGCACAGCGAGTGTTTCTGGATGAGCGTCTTATCCATTCTGCTCTGGTCAGACCTCACCTGGAGTACTGTGTCCAGTTCTGGGCACCACAGTTCAAGAAGGACACTGACAAACTGGAACGGGTCCAGAGGAGGGCAACCAAAATGGTCAAAGGCCTGGAAACGATGCCTTATGAGGAACGGCTAAGGGAGCTGGGCATGTTTAGCCTGGAGAAGAGGAGGTTAAGGGGTGATATGATAGCCATGTTCAAATATATAAAAGGATGTCACATAGAGGAGGGAGAAAGGTTGTTTTCTGCTGCTCCAGAGAAGCGGACACGGAGCAATGGATCCAAACTACAAGAAAGAAGATTCCACCTAAACCTTAGGAAGAACTTCCTGACAGTAAGAGCTGTTTGACAGTGGAATTTGCTGCCAGGGAGTGTGGTGGAGTCTCCTTCTTTGGAGGTCTTTAAGCAGAGGCTTGACAACCATATGTCAGGAGTGCTCTGATGGTGTTTCCTGCTTGGCAGGGGGTTGGACTCGATGGCCCTTGGGGTCTCTTCCAACTCTAGGATTCTATGATTCTTAGCAACACTGGCTGCTGCCCAGAGCTTCCCTGAGCTGAGCTGGAGCTGGGTGCGAAACACTTCCCTCGCTTTGAGCTCAAGGTTTTTCTGCTCTTATCGCTTTCAAGGCTGTTTCCTTTGGTTGCATCTGTACTTGCAATTCTGAGCTGTCACAGATTGCAAGATAGCTATTGATTTCCTGATGAGGGATTTTGCACATTGCGGAAAAACAATACGAACCGTAGAAAAAACCACCATTAAACACTGGTAGAAATATATCTATACCCATGCACAAAATCTGTTTAAAACAGAATAGATAATGACAATAAAAACAGCACAGCTCCAGCCCTTTCTTTAAAAGCAGCCTGTTCCCCAAACAAGGAAATCTCCAAGTCTGGCTTCTCCAGGGAGAGAGAGGCCAAATCGTGGAACTGCAGAACTGGAAGGGAACCCAGGGGTCATCTAGCCCAACCCGTGCCTGCAATGCAGGAATCTTTTGCCCAAGGCAGGACTCGAACTCAGGACCCCAAGATTGTGAGCAATTAGGTATAAACGCTTTGTGCTGCAAATTCGCTCGCCCTGCAATGCTCTCTAGCTGAATCGGATCGGGTTAATATCGCCTTCTTTTAGTGGGTCGTGCAAGCAGCTATTCTCAATAATGCTTTTGTGCGCATGGTTTGGGGATGTTGGGGTGAGTTTCTAGAACTAAGGGGAGGCAAGGACTCAAAAAAAACTTGGGGAATCACTGGTCTAGTCAGTAGCAATGCATTAGCAGGTTAATCCGGGTTAATGCATTTTAATGTTTTAATGTTGTATTTTAATCTTGTTTTTTAAGCTGTGCTTCAATCAATTGTTTTTATATTTGGTGTTAGCCGCCCTGAGCCTGGTCTTGGCTGGGGAGGGCGGGGTATAAATAAAATGTTATTATTATTTATTATTATTAATCCACAGGTGCAGAGACAGACAGGCAGACGGAGATCGAGTCTCTGTGCAAAGAGAGCATTGCACATTATTTTTCCGGACTCACCTACAACAATCCCAGCAATGGTTGGGGCAGCAAACAGGATCTTCACCAGAACTGAAAGGAAGAAAAAAATCTGAAATAAGAGATTTAATGACGGATTGGTTGCAGTATCGCCAGGTAAACGATGTCTTTAGCAGCTAATCAAAGTTTGGGTTCTCTTTTGTTGGGGGCTTCCATCTTGTTCCACCTGGTGGCAGGTGGGAGTTGTGATAGGAATTCTGAGGTCTTAGATATATGTTAAAGGTTCATAAGTGTACCAACCAAGCACATACATAGATCAGCACAGGAAGACCGACCTGGAACCATTTTGATTCCCAAACTGAGCAAATGTTTTCTCTGCAAGGTCAAAGTGGGAAACCTCCCCATTGTCTCTTTCCTCACAAATCCTGTCTTAAGGGTATGTCTGTGTATGAATAGGATGTGAGTCTGTGACCTGGCTCAGGAACTAAGTATTTATCATTACAAAAGACTGGCCAGGCTCCCCAGGCAATCCAATCAAGTGACCATTAAACAGGTAACCTGGCAGACAGGAGGTAAACAAGGCACTCAGATTTCTGCTGTAGACCGTCCTTTCTGTGATGTAGGTATGATGTTTCTGGGGGTGGTCTTGATCTACAGGGTGGCAATTTCAAAAGTCTTTATAAGGCCTTGCACACCATTGTTCTGGGTTCCTCCTCCCTCCTTCGTGTGGGGAGTGAGGACCCTGTTGCAGCAGTTCAATAAAGATCAGGCTTACTGGCTGCTTTGCTTCTCAATATTCTCTGGTTGGCCTCTGTTATTTTCTCCTACCAATAGGGAACCTATGTAAGGACTCTATATGGGCTCTTGGATACCCCATAAGGGAAAAAGGGCAGATTTTTGTTTACAACAATGTGGGGCTTCCATCTTGTTCCACCTGGTGGCAGGTGGGAGTCCTGTGGCGACAGTCTTCAATCAAGACCAAGCCGACTGGCTGCTGTTTGGCTCTGGGATTCCTGGCTGGGGTCCTTGTTTTTTTGTCCAAGGGAGCCCTCAGATTTCTCTGTTCACAGCGGGGAGCAGGGTCCAGGGAGAAGGACCTCGCATGATGGTCACTGCTCACAGACGCATCACAGGGGGCGGGCTGGATGGCCACTGGGGGGACCCTTCCAACTCGACAATTGGCAGATTTGGGAAGGGAAGAGGCAGCGACTCACCCATCAGGACGGAGTGGAGCGTGGACTCCTCTGTGGCCGTCAAGAGGGCCGAACGGCTGCCCGCCAGCAGCGGTGTCTCCTCGGCCATGGTGCCAACGGAAGCTGTGAGCCTAGGAAATAAAAGCAAGCAGGTGGAAGGAACAGGAGCATCTCCCGCCTCCAAGCTTTAAGTAGCCTTTGCTTCTCTCTCAGGGGCTGCTGGGACCAGGTGTGGCCTGGCCTCACCTGCACCTGGGAAAGAGATGATTGTGCTTTTGCCCTTGCAGGATCAGGCCCCGACACCCTGCCTGCATTCAAGGGAAGGGAGGGCAGGTGAGCCTGGCATTGCCAGGCGCCGGCCCTAGGGCCAAATGTGCGCCCCACCTTGGAGTGGGGCTCGTGGGTGCTGGGGGGGCACAATTTGCACCAGAGCACTTCCGATGCACAGACAGTGGGGCTTGGTCAGGGGCTAGGGAGGTACACTCTGCACATGCACAGATGGCACCCAGTCTTCCTAATGCATCCTAGGCATGCACACCACAGATTCCAGGCCCTTGTTCCAGGCCATAATAATAATAATAATAATAATAATAATTTATTATTTATACACTACCCTTCTGGCTGGGTTTCCCCAGCCACTCTGGGCGACTTCCAACAGAACGCTAAAATACAATAATCTATATAACATTAAAAGCTTCCCTGAACAGGGCTTCCTTCAGATGTCTTCTAAAAGTGTGGTAGTTATTTTTCTCTTTGACATCTGATGGGAGGGCATTCCACAGGGCAGGTGCCACCACTGTGAGAAGGCCCTCTGCCTGGTTCCCTGTAACTTGGCTTCTCGCAGGGAGGGAACTGCCAGAAGGCCCTCGGAGCTGGACCTCAGTGTCCGGGTAGAACGTTGGGGGTGGAGAGGCTCCTTCAGGTCTACTGGGCCTTTGAGGCCGTTTAGGGCTTTCAAGGTCAGCAGCAACACTTTGAATTGTGCTCGGAAATGTACTGGGAGCCAGTGTAGGTCTTTCAGGACCGGTGTTATGTGGTCTCGGCGGCTGCTCCCAGTCACCAGTCTGGCTGCCGCATTCTGGATTAGTTGTTGTTTCCGGGTCACCTTCAAAGGTAGCCCCACGTGGAGCGCATTGCAGTAGTCCAAGCGGGAGATAACCAGAGCATGCGCCACTCTGGCCAGACAGTCCGCAGGCAGATAGGGTCTCAGCCTGTGTACCAGGTGGAGTTGGTAGACAGCTGCCCTGGATACAGACTTGACCTGCACCTCCATGGACAGCTATGAGTCCAAAATGACTCCCAGGCTGCGCACCTGGTCCTTCCGGGGCACAGTTACCTCATTCAGGACCAGGGAGTCCTCCACACCAGCCCACCCCGTCCCTCAAAACAGTACTTCTGTCTTGTCAGGATTCAACCTCAATGCATTAGCCGCCATCCATCCTCCAGCCGCCTCCAGGCACTCACTTAGGACCTTCACCGCCTTCAGTGGTTCAGATTTGAAAGAGAGGTAGAGCTGGGTATGATCTGTATATTGATGGACACCCAGCGCAAGCCCCCTGATGATCTCTCCCAGCGGCTGCATGTAGATGTTGCAAAGCGTGGGGGAGAGGATAGGCTTCAACGGAATGATACTCTTGGCATGCTCAGAGGAACTCCCGCCGTAATTATCCCTTCCTCAGTTGTGGCCGAGGCCTGCCGTTGTACCCCCCACGCCCCACCCACGACCCCCTCCCTGGGCCCTGCTGGCACCCTGAGCTCAGCACCCAAGCTCTGCGGTGGGATTCAGGAAATCCTGTCTCTTTTCCTGCCCTCGTGCAAACTGGAGGAAGGAGCAAGCGGGGGAAGGATGGGGCAGGAAATCTGGGGGCAATTAATTTTTATTATTTTCTTTACATATTCTTTTATTACATTTCGTCAACACACACCCATGACTTCCCTCCTTTTAGTTGGTATCCCATATCCCATCCATTCGCCTATTTTATCTTTTCATTCCCTATCCTCTACATTGCAGGAGTTCCTTCAGTCCTGCTGGTGCCTTTAGTTTTATACAACTACCCTTTAAGCATACAGTAAATTTACTCCAATTTCCTTGGAATCTCTGATCGTCCTGATCCCGAATTCTTCCGGTCGGTTTGGCTAACTCTGCGTATTCAGTCATTTTTGCCTGCCGCTCCAAACTTCTTTCGATTTCCAATTTTGGGCCGACAAAGTCCTTGCGGCAGCTGGGGCGTAAATCATCTTTTATCTTAATCTCCTTTCCCATCGAGCCGAGTAAAAGAGCCTCCAGCTTTTTGGGGAAGGTATATTTTAATATTTTCTTAAATTCATTATAGACCGGGGGGCTTTTCTGGGGTCGGGGTGAATGCACTGGGTGCTCAAAAAACGGGGGCCCACCCTATAGGGGGTATGAGATAGGGGGCCACCCACCGCCCTGCCTAGCCACCCTAGACCCTCCAGGTGACCCCAAAGTGTGCCCAGCTCATCTGCCAAAGCCCTCCAAGCCCACACTGCAGGGTCAGGGTTGCCCCCAGGGCCTAGGGAAGGGGGTCTGCCCCTCTCTCTCTTTTACCTGCGTCCGGGGAAACTGTGCACAAAGGACCTCGCAGCCCAGAGACCCCAATTTTGTGGGGAAACCTCACCCTTCATCTGCCACCCACAAGGACCAGCTGACTCTCCCCACTTCCTGCCTCGCCGTGGGGTGGGCGTTGGGTGGGGCGGGGGACCCTGGTGACGGAGAGACCCCATGACTTCTTCCTGCCCACGCTGGCCCAGCCCAGCCCCTCTTATCATCAACCTTTGCTTGGGCTCTATCTCAGAGCAGATGGAAAGAGGCCGGTGACGCAAGAGGACTCGGAGGCGGAAAAAAACGGTTTATTGTGGCTGCTCTGATTCGGAAGGCAGAGAGAGAGAGAGACGGAGGGCAAAGGTGCTTCTCTCGCTTCGACACAGAAGCACCGGATTGCAGTGAAAGAATCACAGAATCGTCATGTTGGGACCCCCGGGGGTCATCCAGCCCAACCCGCTGCAATGCAGGAATCTCAACTAAATATAAATCACGGGACAGTAGAGGGGGAGGTTGGGAAGCCAGCGAGGGATCAGTGGTAGGTTTCCTGGAAAGACAAAAACAAGGCAGAGCGTGAATGTGGGGCGGAGGAAGCGGCTTTCTGTGGGGAGCGGGGCAGGCCCCAGGCTTCCCTTGCCAATGCTGGCTTTGCAAACTGGGCCCAGTCCAGCTCAGCGGCACCGTCCCTTTGAAGGACCACAGGGGCACCCCTCTCTAGCTGGCCAATGGGGGCCAAGGCACAGCTACGGATCTTGTGGAGTTGGCGGGGACCCCAAAGGTCATCTAGCCCAACCCGCTGAAAGGCAGGAATTGCGGACTCCGCCCCGCCCTCACTTTAAGCTCTCCATCTCGTCACTGGGACACGTTGGTTAGGGCAGCAGCAGCAGCAGGAGTTGGAAGCAAGGAGGGCACCCAGGAGGCCCCCAGAAAAGAGGGGGTCTGCCCCAGACATGCCCCATTGCTGCCTCCTCCTCCAGAGAAAGGGGGGCTGCAGGAGCTCCTCCTGCGTCTCCCCCCGTCCGCCTTCCTGCAAGGCCTCTGCTCACAGGGAGCCGCAATCCCACTGAGTAAATAATAATAATATACCGTATTTTTCCATGTGTAACACGCCCCCATGTATAAGACGCTCCCTATTTTTGGGGACTCCAAATAGAGAAAACGGGGGGAAGATTGTATCCATGTATAAGATGACCCACAATTTTGAACGTAATTTTTAAATAAAAAAAACCCTGGTCTTACACACGGAAAAGTACGGTAATTGTTTTATTATTAGCTGGATATTAATTAACTAACTTTGCATACCACCCTTCACCTGCAGATCTCAGGGTTGCGGCTGACGACATAAAGACACAAGCACAAAATACCAGAAAGAAGAACAAGTACAGACCGATAACTACCCCCCCTCCATAACGGGGGGTTGGGCTAGAGGACCTTTGAGTTCCCCGTCAGCTCGACAGTTGTGTGGTTCCAGGAGCTCAGCGGGGCTTCCTCCGCAGGGCTGCTTGCGACTGGGCTCCCCCCCCCAGGTTGGGCTAGGGAGGCAGCTGCCTTTTGGGGGGCTCCAGCGAACCCACCTTTTCCTCCTCGTTGCAGGTTCCGCAAACGCAGCCAAAGAGACCGTTGAAGATCTGGAGGGCGCAGAGGCAGAACTCCACCAGGCCGGAGGCCAGGATGATGGAGAAGAGGATGACGTTGAAGCGGGTGACGCCGGGGGGGTCCCGGCAGACGTCCCACAAGCTCGTGTCAAAGAGGTAGTTTTTCTCGCTGGAAGAGAAGGGGGCGGAGAAGAGATGGGCAGCCTCGTCACGCTCACAACTGTCTCCCTCGCACAAGCCCCGGACCCCTTTCTTCCCCCCTGAATGAGGGCAGTGAGGGCCCCCAAACTGGACGGTGAGAAAGATTCAGGGAGGAGGAAAGGGCTATGGAGGGCTGCTAGCCCCTAGGGGGTTAAGCTTCTGGAAACCGCAGGAGGGGAAGAGTTGGTCTTGTGTTCGAATCCTGATTGCGGATCACCTGCGAGAACAAACGGGATGCTGACCAGGTGGGACCCAGACTTAGGATGGGAGAAAACAAGGAGGGCCATGGCAGGGCTCCACCCCGGGTTAAAGGTAAAGGGAGCCCTGACCATTAGATCCAGTCATGACCGACTCTGGGGTTGCAGCACTCATCTCGCTTTACTGGCCGAGGGAGCCGGTGTACAGCTTCCGGGTCATGTGGCCAGCAGGACTAAGCCGCTTCTGGCAAACCAGAGCAGCGCATGGAAAGGCCGTTTACCTTCCCGCCAGAGCGGTACCTATTTATCTACTTGCACTTGGACGTGCTTTGGAACTGCTAGGTTGGCAGGAGCAGGGACTGAGCAACGGGAGCTCACCCCGTCGCAGGGATTCAAACCGCCGACCTTCTGATCGGCAAGTCCTAGGCTCTGTGGTTTAACCCACAGCGCCACCCGCGTCCCTGGGTTAGGAAGAGACAAAAAGAGCTTTAAGTCAGCAAAGCTGATCTTGAAGGGGCAGCCTCTCTTTGCCTCCAGCGACGCTGTACATAAATCAAATGCCAACAAAAAATGGCTTTGTGCCTCCAGAGCTCTTTCCTTCAAAGGGAGCCTGGTTTGCACAGCCCCTGGAACTCCCTGCCACTTGAGACGCCCGGCGCGAGTAATGTCTCCTTTAAAATAAATCAGAAACACCGCCGTGCCTGCTCTGAAGGGTCTCCCATGTGCCAAAACTGAAGCTAGCTGAAGCTGCTCCCCACAACACCCTCCAGACCCCTGACTCACCTGAAGTCCTCCAAGCTGCTCTCAAAGGGGCGGCCCCACTCCAGCGTCCCGTTGGCCAGGGGGTACTGACACACGGGCCCGTGAACAAGGCCCAGAGAGGAGGTGGCGACGGCGTAAATGCCTCCCAAGGCCCCCACAGCTGCAAAGATGATTGAGAGGCACATCTGGGGAGGAAATGTGGGGCGGGGGTTAGTGGCCAGCCCAGGGAAACTAGAGCCCTGAAGGTGGGACTTGGTTCTGGGTGGAGCACCAGTTCCCCCTGATATTGAAGAATAATAAAATAATTCTATTTATATCCCGCCCTCCCCAGCCAAAGCCGGGCTCAGAGCAGCCAACAACAATAAAAGCAACACAGTTCACATAAAACCACAATCGATCAATTGAAATGCATTCTAAAATCAATTCATTTAAAATCAATTCAAAATCAAATTAATGGCAACCATTGGGCTAGAGCTCCGCGAAGATTGCCGAGGGAGGGAGTCAGACTGTGCCTCGGCCAAAGGCCTGGTGGAACTGCTCTGTCTTGCAGGCCTTGTGGAAAGATGTCAAGTCCCACAAGACCCTAGTCTCTTGTGACAGAGCGTTCCACCAGATCGGGGCCACGGCCGAAAAAGCCCTGGCTCTGGTCGAGGCCAGCCTGACCTCCCTGTGGCCCGGGACCCCCAAGGTGTTTTTATTTGAGGACAGTAAGGTCCTCCATGGGGCAGACCAGGAGAGGCGGTCCCGTAGGTACGAGGGTCCTGGGCCGTATAGGGCTAATATTGTTATGAGTTTCACCCCCTAAATTCCTGGTTCCAGTAGGGGCTAGGATTTAGCAAGCGTTCCCAGCATGTTCGCACTCCTGTCTCACGGACACTGGCTTGGCCATATCCATGGAAGAGGGCAGGATCCCGCAAAGATATTCTCTACGGGGAGCTGCTTTCTGGTACGAAGCCCCTTGGCAGACCAACTCTGCACTACAAAGCTGTCTGCAAACGTGACATGAAGACTGGCAACATCAGCCCCACCGTGTGGGAATCCCTTGCAGGAGATCTTGGTGCCTGGAGACGGGCAGCCGAGTCCATAGCAATGAACAGAGAAGAAATGACCGCCATAGTGTCAGATGTGCCTCATTCCCAAAAGGAAACACGGACGGAAGCGCCTGGAATCTCGCGCTGCTCGGAGACTGGGGTGGCATGCAGTAATATATATATATTTATTTGGGGAGGGGGCTTTGAAATAACAGCATGAGAGCGCAGAATGGGGAGGGTGCCGAGGTGAGAATGGAGAAAGGGGACGTTTCACGGTGCTGCAGGGGGCCTGGACTGGACGACCCGTGGGTTCCTTCCCGCTCTACAGTTTTATGAGGTTTTGCCTGGGAGTTTGTGGCACTTTGCCCGCCCCTGCTCCACGCTGGCATGTGCAAACAAACAAGGGGGTGGGGAAAAGCAGAAGTTTCTGCCCCACATCTCACCCCGCAGCGGTTCCCACAGCAGCCTTTGCGCCCGGTGGCCTGGATGTGGACGGCTGGAACCATCACCTGGGGAGGGGAGAAGACCCGTCAGCTCAAGAAACGTGATCAAAATGTCCCCCCCGAAACACATAGATACAACCCCCTCCCCCCAGTCTCCTGCTTCCCCATAACCACAACATCCTCCCCCCATTCTGAAGCAGGGCAGCCAGCCTGGCATTCAGGTCCCATTCCTGCGGGAGACAGATCAGGCCCGCTCCCTTAGTCCTCACCCACCCACCACAAGGGGAATTCTTAATCTGTTTCCCAGCTTTACTCTACTTATCACACACATACACACACACAGTCATGAGGTGGTCGCCAAACCCACTAAAGGCAATTCTCCACCGAGATGTGGTAGCCGCAACCCCTGCCTTGCCCGGGGTTGGACTGGATGACCTTTGGGTCCCTCATGCCACGATTCTCAAAACCTCTCAAGGCAGCTTGCGAGCAAAATGAAAACACCTTCGGAGGCGAAACTGCGCAGGATCCTTCCCTTAAGGGCCGTTCATCCTGCTAGTGTCCCAGAGGGAGTTGAAGGGGGGGGAGTAGGAGAGAAAGAGTCGGGTTTTGGCACAGCCGCCCCCCCCCCAATATCCTCTGCCAGATTATTCCTTCTGTTGCAAAGACCGTACAGGATTCCTAAGAGCGGCTCCCTCTTGCCGTGGAACCTTACCATGATGCCCCCTCCGATGATCCCGCCCAGGTAGAGGATTTCAGGGGTCAGGTACTCCCCCCAGTGGTGGACATACTGGGTCTTCCAGTCCGGGAAGGCAAGGACGATGTTGCAGACAATGCACAGGAGAGCGAAAGGCCAGAGGGCAGCCCCCAGCACGCGGGAACAGGCCCCCGTGCACATGGCAACGCCGAAATGGGGCTCTGCGGGGCAGGAGGCAGCCTTATACGCCCGGGGGGTGGCACCCAGTAGACTCATGAGGAGGAAGTGGGGAAAGTCTTTGGACTTTCTCAGCGCAATTGGCTCGTAAATGCCACCTTTGTCCCCTCGGATGCCGTCCAGCAAGTGGCGTGAGCAGATAGTGGCACTGGGGGCAAGGGGTTCCTGGCGTGGGCAGAGCCCTCTCCTCCAAAGGATGAGTCAGAGAGGCATAGAGGAGGAAGGGACCTCCAGGGGTCATCCAGTCCAACCCCCTGCAAGTGCAGGAGTCGCAGCTGATGCGATGGCCACCTGACCGCTGCTTAAAAGGAAGTAGAAGCTGCCCCCTTTCGAGGTCACAGAATGACAGAGCCGCATTTCTCTCCTAAAATCTACTGTAAAAAAAGAGAAAGACCTCTCACAGCAGTTTCACAAAAAGATAAAACGACCAAGAAACATTTTCAAGACTTTAACATACCCAAAGTTAAAAGACTGAACACTTTCTAAGCATCTGGGACGGCTTGTCTAAACAAGGAAGTTTTTTGAGAAAGAACGGAGGAGGTTCCTGCTTGATATCATTCGGATCAACAGGCAGGGAGTTCCAGAGTGTAAATGACCCGCTTCTTACAAATGTGGAAGGGGAATTGTGCCAACTCCTCCAACCGGAGCCGTCAGTCTTGCAAGTAAACTGGTCCCAGGTTGTTAAGGGCTTTTTGTGTACTAATAGTAATGCCTTGAACTTGGCCCAGTAGCAAACCGGGAGCCAGTTCAGATTTCTGGCACAGGTGTTGTGCACTGACAAGGCCTCCGTCCCGTCAGCAATCGTGCTTCAGCGTCCTGCACCAGCGGCAGCTTCCAGATCAAGAGTGAGGGAAGCCCCACAGTGAGCGCACTGCAGTAGCCCCGCCTTGAAGTAACGAACGCATGAATCATTGCAGAGTTGGGAAAACCCCTGAGGGCTATCTAGTGTGGGATATACAGCTGTCAGTCAAGTCCAACTTTCTGAGAGGACTAACTGCCTCTGTGTGGCAGGCAGTTTTGTCAGTTGGTTGGTTGCTGCAAGGAGCGTTAACTGGTAACCTTCTCATGACTCACGACTATCTAGTATATAGTTTATATATACTATATACTCAAGACTATCTAGTATATAGCCTTCTCATGACTCACGGCTATCTAGTATATAGTTTATCTGTTATGTCACCTAAGCCTGCCTTCAGGAACAACTCTGTAAAACCTGAATGAATCTGATAATAAAGCAGTTTATGTTAATACGATTCAGATTCATGTGTGTTTTCTTTAAGAGTTACAGAAAAGGATTATCAACCAGGAAGGTATTGATAGGACTCAAATGAGTTAGCAACCCGCTTGACGCTGCATAAACTCAAACAGGGGACCGTTTAAACTCTGCTAAATTATATCAACGTTCCCACATCTAGTACACCCTCCTGCAACACAGGGATCCCGCATCCTGCCCACCACCTCCAGACCACTAAGGGGATACAAACAGGAAGCAAAGGAAGAAGAGCCAGAAGAGGCTCGAGCAAGCTAGCCAAGGCGCATCTGGCAGGGGAGTGTAAAAAAAAAAATAAAGTCCATCAGGGTCACTAAACAGAGGGAGGAGGGTCTTCTGTGGCCACTGTCAAGGTGTTTCTGGGCGCAATTAGTACAAGGGCTAGGTAAAGGTAAAGAGACCCTGACCGTTTGGTCCAGTCGTGACCGACTCTGGGGTTGTGGCGCTCAGCTTGCTTTCCTAGCCGAGGGAGCCGGCGTACAGCTTCCGGGTCATGTGGCCAGCAGAACTAAGCCGCTTCTGGCGAACCAGAGCAGCGCCTGGAAACGCCGTTTACCTTCCCGCCGGAGAGGGACCTATTGATCTACTTTCACTGGCGTGCTTTCGAACTGCTAGGTTGGCAGGAGCAGGGCCTGAGCAACAGGAGCTCACCCCATTGCAGGGATTCAAACCGTCGACCTTCTGATCGGCAAGTCCTAGGCTCTGTGGTTTAACCCACAGCGCCACCCATGTCCCTTAGTATAAGGGTTAAAAGCCCAGAATTAATTGGAATTCAGGTACTTGAAAATATTTATTTATTTCATAGAATTGCAGAATTGGAAGGGACTCCCAGGGTCATCTAGAAACCTAACGCAGGAATCTCAGCTAAAGCATCCATGGCAGACGGCCATCTAACCTCTGCTTAACACCCCCCAATGAAGGAGAATGTTCCACCCCCCCCCCGAGTTTCCACTGTCAAACTGTTCTCACCATCAGAAAATTCTTCTTGACGCTGAGTCGGAATCTCCTTTCTCGGAGCTTGAAGCCATCGGTTCGAGTCCTACCCTCTGGAGCGACAGAAAAGACGCTGACACCTTCTTCCATAGGGCAGCCCTTGAGATATTTGAAGTTGCCTCTCATATCTCCTCTCCTCTTTCGCAGGCTAAACATCTCCAGCTCCCTCAACCGCTCCTCACAAGGCTTAGTTTCCAAACCCTTCATCCTCTTGGTCACCATTTTTGTTGGGGGATGCAGAGCAGCTCTGCAGTTCTTGGCTAGGGCTGTAGAGTCCACCCAGACCCTCCCCTCGAGACCCAACTCCTTCCCTGAAGACTTGGAAGGGTCCCCCATGCCCTGGCACGATGAGGTCCGCCACGCCCAGGGCACGGGCCCTGCTCCCTGCCTGCCGCGCAGGGTCCTCGCTAAGCGGCTGCCACTCTCCTTCGTCTCCCTCACGCTCAAACAGGTCTCCGGCCACCAGGACGTCCCCCAGGGAAGTGCCGCGGACCAGCAGGCTGACGTCGTTCCCCGTGTGGCCGGGGGTGGGCAGCACCTCCAGGTGCCCCGCGTGGAGTGGGTAGGGGAGCCCCCGGCGCAGATCCGTGGGGAGGTAACGTCCATCAGGCCGGCTGACGTCCGTGCCCACGACCAGCAGGGCCTCGGGGAAGAGGTTGAGGTTGCCCACGTGGTCCGAGTGGCCGTGGGTGCAGACCACGTGGCGGACGTCTCGAGGGGACACGCCCTGCTCGGCCAGCCCCGCCAGCAGCCGCTCACGGCTCCAGGGACCCCCCGTGTCCACCAGGGTGAGCTGGGGACCCAAGACCAGGGAGACGGTCCCGTCCGCTCGGGTGCTGCCGTCGCAAAGCTCCTCCGAAAAGCCCTCCTGGAGGACCAGCACCGAGTAGGGGGAGCCGGGGATCAGCCGTGCGGGGAAGGGGGCTGTCCGTGGCTTCGAAGAGGTGGAGGCCGGGGAGCAGAGAGCCATTGAGAGGGAGATCCGGAGGGGAAAGGGTCCGGGGGAGTCCTTTCTTTCTGTCTGGTGGAGGGACGGCTTGAGGGCAAAACGCCCGGCAGGTCCTGGCAAAGCAGATCCTGAAGACCTTTAAGAAACAGGATAAGGAAGAGTTGGAAGGGTCCCCCCAAAGTTCATCTAACCCAGGGGCAGCAACCTTTTTCAGCTGTGGGCCGGCCCACCGTCCCTCAGACCTTGTGGGGGGCCCGACTATATTTTGGGGGGGAAATGAACGAATTTCTATCCCCACAAATAACCCAGAGATGCATTTTAAATAAAAGGACACATTCTACTCATGTAAAAATACTCTGATTCCTGGACCGTCCGTGGGCCAGATTTAGAAGGCGATTGGGCCGCATTTGGCCCAAGGGCCTTAGGATGCCTACCCCTGATCTAGCCCAACTGCCTGTGACATAGGGATCCTTGACCAGGGGCTGGGGCAACTTTGGCTCTGCTTGCCAACCTGGCAGAGATTTCTGAGGCTGCCCTTTGCCAGAAAAGGATCAGACAGGGAAATAATAATAATAATAATAATAATAAATTATTTGTATCCTGCCCTCCCCAGCTGAGGCCGGGCTCAGAGCAGCTAACATCATAAAAACAACACAATATGCATAAAAACAGAGATCAATTAATTAAAATACACTAGCGTTGCTAGTGGCCCCCCAAACCCCCGGGGAAATGAGGAGACAGCACCATCCATGGCAACGTCAGGGGTGAAATGATGCCAGTAGAAAGGAGAACCCCCCGCCCACCTGGCCCGCGACAACGGACCAGGCACGTGCAGGTGTGGCCCCCTAGCCTCCCCACGGCCTCCACCGAGCTCCCCTGAATCCAAAACCCATCAGGCTCATCCAAGAGGATCAGACAGAGGAACAGAAGGTAGGCTGGGGCTGGTAAGAGGTGCCACTGCAATGGCCCTTTCCTCCCTTGACTTTTGGGGGCAGGAAAGGTGCCCTGAGAGCCACATGCCGGGAATCCGGGGTGGGGAGAAGGCGGCTGTGGCGCTCACCTCCCTCCCTGGCAGCGCGAGAGCGGGGCCTTCTCTGCGGTGGCTCCCCGTCCGTGGGATGCTGCTCTCCCCAGGGAGGCTCCCCGGGCGCCTGCCTTCCCCTTCCGCCAGGCCTCGGCTGACCCGCCGGCGTCTGTCTCCTTACGCATTCCCCCCCCCTTTTTATACCGTAAACCACCCTGGAGAGGGGCAGAGGAATTTAAGAAATAAATAATTTATTCATACCTGTAAAACCACCTTTACCAAAAAAAACCAAAACGAGAACCGCTAGAAAAAAAACGAAAATAGGGAAAAAAGGAACCATTCAATTGCAAGCAACAGTGACAGAAGGAAATACACCTGCAATTTGCTATTTCCCACCGCGTGACGTCACGTCCGCTGCACGCACCGTCGCCGGACCGGAAGTACTCGCGCACACGCAGGCGCCGCTCTAGCACCTCCTCCTCTGTACTCTTCGCCAATCCTGAGAGGAGGAGGAGGAGGAGTGCGCATGCGCGTGTGGATAAAAAAACCACCCCCACCAACCAGGCGCCGGGGCGAAAAGGAAGCTCCGCCCACCTCCTCCTTCAGCGGCTCCCTTTGGGCATTTCCGGTCGGGGCTGTGGGCGGGGCTTCGGTCTCCCCGTCGCGGAGCAGGGGCGCCATCGGATGACGCCACCTGGAGTGGGCTACCGTATATGCGGATGTAGGGGCGCCGCGGGAGGCGGCGGTACCGTATTGGCGGCCGTAGCCAGGGAGGCCTCCGCCGTCGGTAAGTGGCGCGCCGCCGGCTGCGCTCTGCACATGCCCCGGGGGCCGCTCCTCCGGGGGCAGCGGGCGGGCGAGCTGCTTCGTGCATGGCGAGGGGGGCTGGACTAGATGGCCCCGGGGGGTCCCTCCCCGAGGCGGCCCTTGCGGGTCCCCCGGGCAGCCTCGCCCCAGCTGCGCGTCTGGCCGCTGCCCCGTCCCTGCTTCCCCCGCTGGTCCCGGCGCCGAAGGCGGAGCCCGTCCGGCTCCCGCTTCTGGCATTCAGCTGCATTTGCCCCTTGGGCGCCCATTTCCTCATCATCTCCCACGGCTAGTCTGCTTCTGTTCTGCCGCCTGAAGGAGCCCAGGGGGGCAGGCAGGAAACCCCCCTATTAACAACAGCACAGTGGGACCTCGGGTTACAGACGCTTCAGGTTACAGACTCCGCTGACCCAGAAATAGTGCTTCAGGTTAAGAACTTTGCTTCAGGAGGAGAACAGAAATCGTGTGGCAGCAGGAGGCCCCATTAGCTCAAGTGGTGCTTCAGGTTAAGAACAGTTTCAGGTTAAGAATGGACCTCCAGAACAAATTAAGTACGTAACCAGAGGTACCACTGTAATAGTTTAAAAACCGTAAAAGCACTGGTTTCTGGGTTGCCTGGAAGAGCATCATTCAGCCATCTTTAGATTTCCTTCCAAAAGTCCCTAATAATAATACAGTGGTACCTCAGGTTACAGACGCTTCAGGTTACAGACTCCACTAACCCAGAAATAGTGCTTCAGGTTAAGAACTTTGCTTCAGGATGAGAACAGAAATCGGGCTCCAGCGGCACAGCAGCAGCAGGAGGCCCCATTAGCTAAAGTGGTGCTTCAGGTTAAGAACAGTTTCAGGTTAAGAACGGACCTCCGGAACAAATTAAGTATGTAACCAGAGGTACCACTGTAATAATTTATTATTCATACCCTGCCCATCTCACTAGGTTTCCCAACAGAATCTCAAAAACACGATAAAACGTCAAACATTTAAAACTTCCCTAGTCAGGGAGAGATTGTGGGCAAGTGGATGCTCAGGTTGCGAACGTGATCCATGCGGGATGCACGTTTGCAACCCGCAGCGTCTGCAACCCGCAGCAGCGCGTCTGCACACGGGCAGGTTGCAGTTCAGTGCTTCTGTGCATGCACAAAGCGTGATTTATCACTTCTGCTCATGCATGACCGCCAAAACCCAGAAGTAACCCATTCCGGTACTTCTGGGCTTCGGCGGTCCACAACCCAAAAAAAATGCAACCTGAAGCGTCTGTAACCCGAGGTATGACTACATTGCAGTTCAGCATTGGGGGTCTCTGGCCTGCAATGCGTAAAACTACTTCCATTTGTTACCCAGATTCCCATCTCCATATCTTACCTCCTTGGCTTTCCTCAGCTGCCTCTGTTTCTTTTCCGTGCTCCAACAAATAATACTGAGTTCACAGTTAGGTTTTGTTATGTCGGTTTTGTTTCTTAGCATGTGCTCCTTACGTGTCCACAGAAATCTCCATGGAAATCAGTTGGCAAAGCAGTAACAGGGGACGCAGCAGCACATCTCCAGGGAGGGCGTTACGCCAACGGGGAGCCACCACCAAAAAGGCTTCGCTATGGGTCGGCCAATGTTGGGGGCTGAGAGGGTTGAGGCAGAAGGCTGCCTGGAGTGAGGGATGCCGGTGACCAGAGCAGATCTTTGTGGTCTTTCCACCCGCAGGGGCAGCCGTTGAGCCAAGATGGCGGAAGAGAAGAAGATGAAGCTGAGCAACATGCAGCTGCCCACTGAGTCCATGAAGGTCATGGCCGAGTCGATGGGCATTGGGCAGGTCCCTGAGGAGACCTGCCAGATGCTGGCGGACGAAGTCAGCTATCGCATCAAGGAGATTGCTCAGGTCAGTACTTCTTCCCACAGCACGGGAACTCCCTTCCACAGGAGGCAAGACTGGCCACCAACTCAGATAGCTTTATAATAATAATAATAATTTATACCCTGCCCTCCCCAGCCAAGACTGGGCTCAGGGCGGCTAACAACCGATTGATTGAAATACAACTTAAAAACAAGATTAAAATACAACATTAAAACATTAAAATGCAGCCTCATTTCAATAGAAACTCAAATCAAAAACTTTTTGGGGATGAAAACATCAGGTCTTCACCAAGGCTAGCTTTGAAAGAGGATGAGCAAACAAACAAACAAACCCCTGTGCTGCAAAATATGAATCAGCAATATCAGAAGCAACACGATGGCCAGAAACAATTACAATGTGAAAAACTTTATGGAATAATTCAAAACATCAAAACTAAGAAAATGAAGTCCCTGCAAGTCCTGTTTTGTTGAATTCTTCATCATGCTTGAGCCCTGTTCCAGAGTATTTTTCATTCTCATGTATATTATATCTATTCAAAAAAAAAGATTGGTTAATGATGAAATTACATATCTTTCTACTTATGAGTGTTGAACTAATTGGCTGATGAAGAATTCAACGAAGCATGTCAAAATATTGTTCTGAAAATGACACGTTAATAGGCTTAGAGTAAAAAATGTAAGCAATAACAAAACCAATAAAGAAAGAAGGAAAAATAAGAATTTAACAAAAATAACTTATTCTAGAATGCAAGGGGGGAAAGGTAGAAAGAAATATAAAGAAGTCAAATTGCTGTGGAGGGAAGTAGAGGGCGGGGGGGGGGTTTATAATTAAGTGCATAATTATGCAGCTGTTGTTATTTAGATATTATATTTTATGTGAGGGAATCATTGGGAATTTTGGTTATTATGTATATATGTTAAGTTGCAATAAAGATCTTTGAAAATTTAAAAAAGAATTCAACGAAGCAGTAGTTGTTATCCGGAAACACTGTTGCAGAGTTCAGAGTTGGACATCAGAATCGGACATTTGCTGATTATACAAAGCTGTTCACAGCTTTCTTTCCGCCGGGTAAAGTCTGGCACCGTGATTCATTTAAGGACTTGCAGAGACTTCAGCTTGTTAGTTTGGATGTTTGGAATTATTCCCTAAAGTTTTTCACATTGTGATAGTTTCTGGCCATCGTGTTGCTTTTGAAAGATGACAGAGAAGAGGGCCTTGAAGGGCTACCAGCCACGATGGCTACACTCTGACGCCAAGTTTGGAGGCAGTATATGCTCTTCTCATGTTCACGTAAAGATTCGGGGGACCCCAAAGGTTTGTGGGGCTGTGAGATTCATCTCCGCTCACCCTGCTTGACTTCCAACTGTGCAGGGCCCAGAAAGCGTCAGTGTGACATCGGTTGATTGGCAGGCGGTTGCCCTGCAGGGTTTGGGGAGGTGGGGGAAGAGGGAGCTTTGGCCTCCCCTCTTTGAGGCGCACCCAACCCTTTGCCCGGTCTCTCTTTTTCCTTCTGCGACTTCCACCCGCTCAGGATGCCTTGAAGTTCATGCGCATGGGCAAACGCCGGACGCTCACCACGGGAGACATCGACTTGGCCCTCAAACTGAAGAATGTGGAGGTGAGTTTTTGGGTGGGGCAGGCAATTTCGGCAGGGCTGGGGGTGTTTGTGCCATCTTCTTGAGCTGCATGTTCCTGCCTTGCAGGGGGTTGGACTAGATGACTCGTGGGGTCCCTTCCAACTGGGATTGTGTGTTCATTGCTGCCTCAGAGAAATTGGCATAATGGCTAAGGGGTGACCCCACCTCTATTTGGGGGTTATTTTTTATTAAACATACAGGTGAAACTCGAAAAATTAGAATATCGTGGGAAAGTTCATTTATTTCGGTAATTCAACTTAAAAGGTGAAACTAATTTATGAGAGAGACTCATGACATGCAAAGCAAGATACGTCAAGCTTTGATTTGTTACAATTGTGATGATCATGGCGTACAGCTGTTGAAAACCCCAAATTAACAATCTCAGAAAATTAGAATATTGTGAAAAGGTGCAGTAGCTATTTAATCCATAACACCTGCAATGGGTTCCTGAGCCTTTAAATGGTCTCTCAGTCTGGTTCAGTAGGAAGCACAATCATGGGGAAGGCTGCTGACCTGACAGTTGTGCAGAAAACCATCACTGAGACCCTCCATAAGGAGGGAAAGCCTCAAAAGGTAATTTTCCACAATATTCTAATTTTTCGAGTTTCCATCGCAGCCACGTGGGTGCCAAATTCCTTACATTTGGCGGCATCTGTAAACGGACGAGACCCTTTTGTTTATTTCACTGCCTCTTTCGTTGTGTCAGTTGTGTTTTCATGCCCCATGTACAATTGCATCCGTTTCATTCTCGAAAGCTCCTTGTGCTGAACTTAACAGTACTTTCCCATCATTATTTGCTTTTTCTCCTGGTCCGTGTCATAGGAAAGAACTAAAAATAAATGAGCAATCCTGGATTCATAGAATTGCAAAGTTGGGAGGGAACCTGAGGGTCATCTAGTCCAACCCCCTGCAATGCAGGAATATTTTGCCCAACGTGGTGCTTGAACCCTCGACCCTGAGATTAAGAGTCTCCTGCTCTACCAGCTGAGTCGGGGCTGGGTGGCAGCCGGTTGTTTTGAGTTGGATTCAGTGAGAGAGGCAGCAGGGCCTTATCCAGGGTGACCCCTTGACCCGCTTCCTTTCTCTGTTGCTGCCACAGCCGCTGTACGGCTTCCATGCCCAGGAGTTCATCCCCTTCCGCTACGCCAGCGGCGGGGGGCGCGAGCTGCACTTCTACGAGGAGAAAGAGGTGGACCTGAGCGACATCATCAACACCCCCTTGCCTCGCGTGCCCCTCGACGTCTGCCTCAAAGGTGAGGTGGGGTGGGAGCCCAGGGGCTGTGTGGCGCTCAAATCGAGGGTGGGCTCCGGGGAAGGTGGGTGCCGGCTGTTGGCAAAGCAACATTCCTGCAGGAGGAGAGGGCGATGGAGGGCAACCAGCCACAACGTTTTAATGTTGTATTTTAATGTTGTTTTTATTATCGGTTGTTAGCCGCCCTGAGCCCGGCCTTGGCTGGGGAGGGCGGTGTATAAATAAAACTTATTATTATTATTATTATGAATGGCTAGTCACTGCCCTCCACTGTAGCGATCAGGGGGATTGCTAGGAGGAATTATAAAAAATATGGAGCAAGTCATTTGTGCCAGCAATGAAAGCATTGACCGGGTTTGAGCCATTCTGATAAGATTTCTGACCAGTCCACGCCTCTGCATCCCTGTCCAATTTCTCTTGCTTGGCAAGTCACGTACACAGGCCAGTGGCTTCACCGGGCGTCCTCCGTATATGAAGTACATAAAAAATAAAAAGTAAGGGGAAATGTGTGTGCGTCTTATGGAGGGAAGGCAGGCTGCGCAGTTATCCTAGAAGCCAGAACAGCGAGAGGGATTGCTGCTTTCACTGCACAGCGATCCCTCTTGCTGTTCTGGCTTCTGAGATTCAGAATATTTTTTTTCTTGTTTTCCTTCTCCAAAAACTGGGTGCGTCTTGTGGTCTGGTGCGTCGTATAGAGTGAAAAATACAGTAGATCTTAAGGGCCAGGAAGAGAGTTCACAAGGATACTGCCATCCTTGTTATTATAATCCTTGTTATTCATGTTTTTATACTGTATTTTATGTTGCTTTTATAATTGTTTTAAAATTGTTGCTAGCTGCCCTGAGCCCAGTTTTTGAACCAGGAAGGGCAGGGTAGAAATACATTTTTTTATTATTATTATTCTTGACCCTTGGCAGTCCCTTCTGGCCCTGGTGTGAGGGACCTTAGAATTGTAGACTTCGAAAGGACCCCGAGGGTCATCCAGTCCAACCCCCTGCAATGCAGCGATCTTTGAAGAGGTGTTTTCCAAGCGTCTAGGAGAAGCGACTCTTGAGATCCGCGCTAGGATCCTCAAGCTTGTGGGTCGGCAGCTTAGCAGAAGCGTTTGGAGGTTTGCCTCTCTCTTTGGCTCTGATGTTTCTTTCCCCCTCTCTCGTAGCCCACTGGCTGAGCATTGAGGGAGTCCAGCCCGCCATCCCGGAAAACCCACCCCCAGGTGAGTCGCCCGCTTCAGTTGATGCCGCAAATCTGCTGGGGCACTTTCAGTGTTACTTCCTTTTCTTTCTATGTATGTAATTTTAATTGCATTTTCTGTTTTTCAATTTAAAATGCTCATTTTTACATCCTTAAGATATCAATAATGATAATAATTTAATAATAATTCATTATTTCTAACCCGCCCAGCTTGCTGGGTTTCCCCAGCCACTCTGGGTAGCTTCCAACAGAACATTAAAAACAGACTAAAATGTCAAACATTTAAAAACTTCCCTAAACAGGGCTGCCTTCAGATGTCTTCTGAATGTCAGGTAGTTGTTTATTCCCTTGACATCTGATGGTAGGGCGTTCCACAGGGCGGGAGCCACCACTGAGAAGGCCCTTTGCCAATGACTTCCGTTCTTCTCTTTCCATGGGTCATTTTACATATCATAAATCTCTGCGTATTTTACAAAAACTATACCATCCAGTATTCCATTATTACATCCATCAAAACTTATTTACACAGTTGAATTTATCTTGGTGCTGCTGGCATTTTCAGCTGTACAGAATTATTTCCCATATATTCAATAAACATTTTCCAATCTTGTTCCAATATGATGTTCTTCTTCTCTTATTCCATATGTTAATTCTGCGAGTTGCGCATATTCTGTCAACTTGAGTTGCCATTCTTCTTTGGCTGGGTCCTCGCTCGTTTTCCATTTTTAGGCTAACAAAACACGGGCCGCAGTAGTGGCATGCGTAAATAGTCTTTTTTGACACCTGGGAATTTCAGTCTGAATTATCCCCAGCAGAAAGGACTCTGGGTTTTTTGGGAAAGTACTATTAAACATTTTTTTCAATTCGTTATGGATAGTTTCCCTTTCCATGTTACTTTCTGCAGGGCTGGATTAGTGCTCTTTTACGACCATTAATTAACGAGGGTTGCCCATGTTTATGACATATACGACAGAACAGTCCTTTTTGAAGACAAGGCTCGTCCCAAACCCGGCAGACCTGGAAAGAGACTTTATACTCTGATAAAAATAATAGTCTTTAACTTGGACTCTCACTATTTTGCAGATCTTTGCAACTGGGCTCAATACATGTACCCACTTTTACAGTTTTGTTTATCCTTTAATTTTGTTTGTTTGTTCCTTTTTATTTATTGATACCTAAAAAAAAGGACAAAAGTTCATACCCGTTACAAAGTATATTTTGATAATATACTGAAATTAAAACAGCTACTTAATATAAGGGAAGAACAAAGGCAGAAAGAAGCAAAGGGAAACAAGAGACCGAAAGAGAGAGAGAGAAAGCAAAAGAACAGGAGAGAAGGGATTAAAGAAAGATAAAAGGATTTATGGTTCTCTGTCCTGCAGCTAAATATACTATTCACCCATTAAAACCCAATCTTTTGTAAACCAGTATTTTTTCAGTCTTCAAATCCCAATATTGTAAGTTCGTTTTCACGCGAAAAGTCCATGAGAAGTTTCCAATCCTGATTTCCATGATTTTTCTCTAATTAAGCATGCTTGCTCAGCCATTTCAGCCAGATTCTAGGATCTTTCCATCTTTGTGCATGTAACAAATCTCGCCGCTGCAATCCTGTATTTTTGTTGGTTGATAGGAGCATTCTCTCTGTTCGGTGCACGTTAGGAAGTCAATAAACGAAACTTCATTTGCACAGAGAAGCAGCAGACCCTGACCGCCATCCATCTTTTTCCCTTCCTCTCCAGCCCCGAAGGAGCAGCAGAAAACAGAGGCCACTGAGCCCCTCAAGGCAACGAAACCAGGACAGGAGGAGGACGGCGCCCTCAGGGGCAAAGGGCAGACCACCACGGCCCCCGATGGCAAAGGTCAGGCAGGGCAGCAGTGCTCTGTAGTTTGATAAATGCTTGCCCATTTATTTTTTTGATGGAGTTACCAGCTTGGTGGATCAGGGGAACGCTGTGGATGTAGTGTATCTTGATTTCAGGAAGGCTCTTGTCACAGCCCCCTGTGATATTCTTGCAGAGAAGCTGCTAAAATGTGGACTGGGCAAGGCACCGTATTTTTCACTCCATAAGACACACTGTTTTCTTCCTAAAAAGTAAGGGGAAATGTCTGTGCGTCTTATGGAGCGAATGTGTGGTCCCTGGAGCCGAATTGCCCAGGGGTGAAAAGCAGATCATGCTCTCTTTTTTTGAAAGAGGGAAGGGGGTGTTGAAACAAAGCCGTTGATTGTTTGCTGATCGGGGAGAGAGATAAGGGACGCTAGAGATAAAGGAGGCTGCCTGGGAGGGGGAGGTAAAAGCCCATGGATCCTCAGGATTTTTGCACTGGGTCACCCCAAATTCACCATCAGATCACATAGCATGTCCATGGCTACAGCCTGCAGCAAAAAAATCACGCATCCACTGTTGCGTGGGGCCGCAATGGCACAAAAACGTGGTTACAAAGCACAGATCCACATGGATCCTCAGGATTTTAAAGACTTTCAGAGACTTTGAGTCTAAGAGTTCATTTTGAACTTGTTATTATTTGAAGGAATTCTGTAAAGATTGCCTGTTACGTATGTATATGGTCGTCGTGTTGCCTAAACTTTGTTGACCTGCGTAAGGAAGCTGGAGGGGTCAGCCAGATGGAGACATCCGTTGTCAACCAACCTGGCGCCCACAGATCTCCAGCTGGTCATTTCGACCTCCGCCAGCCGCCAAACCCTTTGCTGCCCCTCCGTGACCCTGCCTTCCTTCCCTCCCTGCCAGGCAAAGAGAAGAAAGGCCCCCTTTTGGAGGGCACCCCCCTGAAGCTGAAGCCCCGGAGCATCCATGAGCTCTCTGTTGAGCAGCAGCTGTACTACAAGGAGATCACGGAGGCCTGCGTGGGCTCCTGCGAGGCAAAGCGGGCGGTGAGAAACCATGGAAAGGACCCCCGGGATCCGCTACTCCAGCCCCCTGCACATGGCAGCAGTCGCAGGAGTTGGGGACCTGCTCCTGCCCAGAGGAAAGCTGGCTCTGAATCAGCTGGCTTAGGGTACAGGAAGAGCCTGGCAGCAGGATCAGGCCAGCGGTTGCCCATCTGGCCCAGAACCCTCTTCTTGCAGTGGCCAGCCAGGTACCCGTTATGGGAAACAGGCAGCAGGATCTGAGCACGTGCACCTTCTCCTCTCCTGTTGTTGCCAGCAACTGGGATTCATAGCGTCTGCTGTTGTGGCAGAGCCCTCACTCCTTCTTTAATTTGCCTAATCCTCTTTTAAAGCCAGGTTGGTGGCCGTCCCAGCCTGCTGTGGCAGGGAGTTCCACAGCTTAACCCTGCGCTGCAACAATAATAACAACAACAACAATAATTAATAATAATAATAAATTTATTTATACCCTACCCATCTGGCTGGGTTTCCCCAGCCACTCTGGGTGGCTTCCAACACAATATTAAAATACGGTGATACATCAAACATTAAAAGCTTCCCTAAACAGGGCTGCCTTCAGATGTCTTCTAAAAGTCTGGTGGTTGTTTTTCTCTTTGACATCTGGTGGGAGGGTGTTCCACAGGGCAGGCGCCACCACTGAGAAGGCCCTCTGCCTGGTTCCCTGTAACTTGGCTTCTCGCAGGGAGGGAACCACCAGAAGGCCCTCGGAGCTGGACCTCCGTGTCCGGGCAGAACGATGGGGGTGGAGAGGCTCCTTCAGATATACTGGGCCTTTGAGGCCGTTTAGGGCTTTCAAGGTCAGCACCAACCCTTTGAATTGTGCTCGGAAATGTACTGGGAGCCAATGCAGGTCTTTCAAGAAGTGCCCTGAATCTTCTTAGCTCTCCCTCCATCACCGCAGTGCCTTGGACAAGGGACAGTGAGGGGCTTGTGTGGCCAGTTTATACAGTAGTACCTCTTTGTGAGTCCGCCCCACGTAGCATCCATTTCGTGGAACGTCCGCGGCAAACCTGGAAGTACCAGGATGGGTTACTTCCGGGTTTGCCGCTCGCGCAAAATAGCGCTTTGTCGAGCGTCCAGTTTTCCTGAACGGATCCCGGACTCAAAACAAGGTACCACTTTAATCCCACCCTGGAGCCCTCCTGCTGGTGACTTGAACTACAACTCCCAGGAGCCAGTATGCCCAGCGCTGATGCATCATGGGAAGTGGAGTCCAACACTTTTCGAGGCCGGTGGCTGGAAACCACAGGATAGGAGACTATTGCTCTGTTGCTCGGATCCTGCTTGTGGAGTTCCCTTTGGGGTGTCTGGTTATGAGACCAGGATGCTAGCCAGGTTTCCTACGATTCCCACGTGGAGCCTCCATGGACAAAGCCAGTCTACCTCAGAATGGCAGAGAACAAGAGCGGGAGGAGGCCGCTGCCCTTGCATCCTCCTTGGGGGTGTTGGGTCGGCCACTGTGAGAACAGGATGCCAGTGGCCTGATCCAGCTGCAACACCCTCCCTGATTCCTGACCTTATGCCTTTTTTTCTACAGGAGGCTCTTCAGAGCATCGCCACAGACCCCGGCCTCTACCAGATGCTGCCACGCTTCAGCACGTTCATCTCCGAAGGGGTAAGGGGTTTATGTGCAAAGGGCGGGGAGGATTTTAGAAAAGTCTTTCAAAACCAGATGAAAACTCGCACCTGCTCCCTAAGCATCCGGACAGGCTTGCCTAAGCGAAGCATGTTCTCAGTAGGCGCCGAAAAGAGTACAGCGAGGGTGCCTTTGCTTGATCTCAAGAGGCAGGGAGTTCCAGAGTCCAGGCGCCGCCACACTAAACGATCGAGTTCTTCCAAATGTGGAATGGCTGTCGCATGGCACCTGTGGCGGAGCCCCTCCTGCTGTTGAGTTGGGCACTTGTGGAGTTAGGCGATCATGCAGGTAAATGGGTCTCGAGCTTTTTAAGGGCTTTGTATCCTGATAGTGAGGGAGGTGGGTTAAACCACACAGCCTAGGACTTGCCGATCAGAAGGTTGGTGGTTCGAATCCCCGCAACAGGGTGAGCTCCCGTTGCTCGGTCCCTGCTCCTGCCAACCTAGCAGTTCGAAAGCATGTCAAAGTGCAAGTAGATAAATAGGTACCGCTCTGGCGGGAAGGTAAACGGCGTTTCCGTGCGCTGCTCTGGTTCGCCAGAAGCGGCTTAGTCAAGCTGGCCACATGACCAGGAAGCTGGATGCCGGCTCCCTCGGCCAGTAAAGTGAGATGAGCGCCGCAACCCCAGAGTCGGCCACGACTGGACCTAATGGTCAGGGGTCCCTTTACCTTTACCTTTTATCCTGATAGTAGCAGCAGCACCTTGACCCTGGCCCGGTGTCGGATCAGACCCCTCAGCAGCAAAGGCACTCACTGCAGGCAAGGCCTCCTTGCTCCTGTCAGCAATTGTGCTGCAGCAGCCCACGCCTTCTGCGGCCTCCGGGTCAGGCGCCAAAAAAGCCCTGCATTCGAGGGCACATTTTTAAAAAAAATATTTTTTAAAATTGCGTTTTTATGCATATGAAACAAAACCACTTCAAACATTAAAATACAAGGTTCTTTCGAACCTCCAGACCTCCTTCCCTCCCTCCCTTCATGAGTTCCATGTTTAAATTGCTGCATCTTTTACCGTTACCCATCCATTATATAACCATAGTTGCCATAAATAGTTCCACATTACAAGTGTCCTTACATCCCTGCCAAAGATTTTAACTGTTTACAGTGGTCTTTTAAACAAATTACAAATTTACTCCAGTCTTTAGAAAACACTTGAGCTTCCTGGTTTCAGATCTTCCCCATCAGTCTCGCCATCTCTGCCTATTCCATCAGTTTCGTCTGCCATTCTTCTTTTATTGGTACTTCTCCTTCCTTCATCTCTGTTTTTTTTTAAAATAAATATTTATTAAAGTTTTCACAATATTACAAAATGAAAAAGAAAAAGGAAATAATACAAAATAAAAAATAGTTAAAAACAATTCCATCTTTTCGTCACTTATCTTTCATTTACTTGTTTCCCGGACCTCCTCATACCTCCCCTTTTTGTATTCCAGTTCAATTTATTAGTTCAGCAATTCCTTTCCCTCCTTATTTTATCCTGATCTTTAATCTTAATATATTATAGCTTTAATTTACCTGTTAAGAATCCAATTTTTTCATATTCTTTTATACCATTACGGCTAGAAACCACTTAACTTCAATTCAACATCATTCTAACATTCGTTAATTTTGCAATATTTCTGTAAATAGTCTTTAAATTTCTTCCAATCTTCCACCGACTCTTCTCCCTGGTCTCGGATTCTGCCAGTCATTTCCGCCAATTCCATGTAGTCCATCATTTTCATCTGCCATTCTTCCAGAGTGGGTAGGTCTTGTGTCTTGCAATACTTTGCAATAAGTATTCCTGCTGCTGTTGTAGCATACATAAAGAAAGTTCTGTCCTTCTTTAACACTGATTGGCCGACTATGCCCAGGAGAAAGGCCTCAGGTTTCTTCAAGAAGGTATATTTAAATACCTTTTTTAATTCATTATAAATCATCTCCCAGAAAGCCTTAATCCTTGGGCACGTCCACCATAGGTGAAAAAATGTACCTTCAGTTTCCTTACATTTCCAACATTTATTATCCGGCAAATGGTAGATTTTTGCAAGCTTGACTGGGGTCATGTACCACCTGTATATCATTTTCATAATATTCTCTCTTAAGGCATTGCATGCCGTAAACCTCATACCTGTGGTCCATAACTGTTCCCCGTCAGCCATCATTATGTTATGTCCAACATCTTGTGCCCATTTAATCATAGCAGATTTCACCATTTCATCCTGAGTATTCCATTTCAACAGCAAGTTATACATCTTTGACAAAATCTTAGTTTTGGGTTCTAACAATTCTGTTTCTAATTTTGATTTTTCCACCTGGAAGCCGATTTTCTTGTCCAAATTGTATGCCTCCGTTATCTGATAATAATGAAGCCAATCTCGCACTTTGTTTTTTAGTTTTTCAAAACTCTGCAATTTCAGTCTATCTCCATCTTGTTCCAAAATTTCCCAATATTTCGGCCATTTGACCTCCATATTGAGTTTTTTCTGAGCTTTCGCTTCCATCGGTGACAGCCACCTTGGAGTTTTATTTTCCAATAAGTCCTTATATCTTATCCAGTCCTTCCTTCCATCTCTGGGCTAGAAGCATTCTCGCTGCCGCCATTGCATACATAAAAAGTCTTTTATCTTCTTTTGGAGACTCTGTTATACCTAGTAAAAAGGCTTCTGGTTTTTTGACAAATGTATTTTTAAGCATTTTCTTTAGTTCATTATACACCGTATACCATTTCCCAGAAAGCCTTTACCAATGTACATGACCACCACATACGGTAAAAGATGCCTAGAGAGCGTATATCTCTGTAGCCACCGGCTGCCTTTCCCAATCTGATCTGGAGCCTCTCACCTGACGTCCCATTCCCTCCCTCTCTCCAGGTGCGGGTAAACGTGGTACAGAATAACCTGGCTCTGCTGATCTACCTGATGCGGATGGTGAAGGCCTTGATGGACAACCCCACCCTCTACCTGGAGAAATACGTGAGCCTCTCTCTCTTCTCTCTCTCTCTCTCTCTCTTTCTGGCATGGAGGGACCATTAAGCAAAATAAGCCCGTTCTTAGGGCATCAAAGTAAGCAGGAGAAACCACAGACATGGACCATGGGCCACATGGTGCCGCTGAACCGGAGGGCGGGGGAGAAAAAGCCTGAACTGATTAAATAAGTGTAGAAGACTATATCGAGCGTGCCTCATCCAAACGCTTTGGTATACAGTGGTACCTTGGTTTACGAACTTAATCCGTTCCGGAAGTCCGTTCTTAAACCAAGGTACCACTGTATTTGCCTTGGTGTTTTTTAAACAAGAACGGTCACAAATGGCTCAGCTGAGCGTTCCTTTTCTCAGCTAGAAATCCCAGCAGAGCAACTAGGCAGGCCGGACGCCTGTTCTCGACAAAGTACAGAAGCAGGTGTGTTACGTAAGATTAGTTGAGGATCCGATCAAGGCGAAAATTACCCTAACCCACACACGAACTGATCCCGGCCGTCATGACCTGCATCGTCAGCCATCAGCTGTGTCCTCGTCCAGCCCTGGGGGGGGGGTGTTTCCTGGGGTGCCCCAAAGTGAATCGGGAGCCGGCGCTGACCTTAACGCCATGGGCATCTTTTCTTCCCCACCCCCTGGCAGCTCCACGAACTGATCCCGGCCGTCATGACCTGCATCGTCAGCCGCCAGCTGTGTCTTCGGCCGGACGTGGACAACCACTGGGCGCTGCGGGACTTTGCCGCCCGGCTCATCGCCCAGATCTGCAAGAACTTCAGCACCACCACAAACAACATTCAGTCGCGCATCACCAAGACCTTCACCAAGGTGCATTTTAATGCCGGAACACAAAGGCCTCCGATGGAGCTGAGCGTGGGGAGGTTGAGTTGGACTGCGGAACTCCCTGCCACCGCAGGCAGCGATGGGCACCGTCTAGGGTGGCTTTAAAAGAGGGTTGGGGGAATTCATGGCGGAGGGCAGGGTTTCGAGGGCTCCCAGGACATTTCTGGGCACAATTCAAAGTGTTGGTGCTGAGCTTGAAAGACCTAAATGGCCTCAAAGGCCCAGTATACCTGAAGGAGCGTCTCCACCTCCATCGTTCTGCCTGGACGCTGAGGTCCAGCTCCAAGGGCCTTCTGGCGGTTCCCTCCCTGTGAGAAGCCAAGTTACAGGGAACCAGGCAGAGGGCCTTCTTGGTGGTGGCGCCCTCCCATCAGATGTCAAGGAGATAAAGAACTATCTGACTTTTAGAAGACATCTGAAGTCTTTCATGTTTTATGGTGTTTTTAATATTCTGTTGGGAGCTGCCCAGAGTGGCTAGGGAGGCCCAGCCAGATGGGCGGGGTATGTCATAATAATAATAATAATAATAATAATAATAATAAAAAATAATAGCGATGCTTCTGAATCCCACTTGCTGGAAAACGCAGGAGGGGAGAGAGCTCTCGGGTTCGGATCCTGCTTGCAGCTTTCCTATAATAGGCAACTTTTTGGCCGCTGTGATGCCAAATGAGCCCCGTTTGGCCTGATCCACCAGCCAGGCTCTCCTCCTGTTCATATAATAAATAATAATAATTTTTATTTATAACCCGCCCTCCCCAGCCAAGACTGGGCTCAGGGCGGCTAACACCAGATATAAAAACAATTGATTAAAATACAACTTAAAAACAAGATTAAAACACAACATTAAAATGCAGCCTCATTTCAGCAGGAACTCAAAAACTTTTTGGAGGATGAAAACGTCAAGTCTTTACCAAGGCTAACTGTGCAGACTGGTCCTAAAGGTAAAGGGACCCCTGACCCTTAGGTCCAGTCGTGGCCGACTCTGGGGTTGCGGCGCTCATCTCGCTTTATTGGCCGAGGGAGCCGGCATACAGCTTCCGGGTCATGTGGCCAGCAGGACTAAGCCGCTTCTGGCGAACCAGAGCAGCGCACGGAAACGCCGTTTACCTTCCCGCTGGAGTGGTACCTATTTATCTACTTGCACTTTGACGTGCTTTCAAACTGCTAGGTTGGCAGGAGCAGGGACTGAGCAACAGGAGCTCACCCCGTCATTGCGGGGATCCGAACCGCCGACCTTCTGATCGGCAAGCCCTAGGCTCTGTGGTTTAACCCACAGCGCCACCCGCATCCCTTCCAGACTGGTCCTACATGGGCCAGAAAAAAGCCAGGGAAGTCCCCAAGTAGGAGTTCCATCACAGGAAAGGAAAAAGGATAGAGGGGAAGGGGATCAAATTGATTCCAAGCCAAAGGCCAGGCGGGACAACTCTGTCTTACAGGCCCTGCGGGAAGAAATCAGATCAAAATATGCATTTTGGGAGTCCCCTCCCCTACCCCTGACTCCTCTCTCTCTCTCTCCTTCCCCCACTAGAGCTGGGTGGACGAGAAGACCCCCTGGACCACGCGCTATGGCTCCATCGCAGGGCTGGCTGAGCTGGGGCACGACGTGAGTAGCCTCGGACCCAGCTGTGGGTACGGCAGGGGCATCCCGGGGGCAGGCGCTGGGCCTCACTCTCTCTCCTCCTGCCTCCCCAGGTGATCAAGACCCTCATCCTGCCCCGGCTGCAGGTGGAGGGGGAGAGGGTCCGCTCCGTCCTCGAGGGGCCGGTTGTCAGCAACATTGACAAGATCGGGGCCGACCACGTCCAGAGCCTCCTCTTGGTAAGGGGGCAGCCGGGGTGGGGTGGGGTGGCTGCTTCCAAATGGCTTGCGTGCGTACAGAGAAAGAGCTAGTCCCAAGCACAGGGAGAAGCTGTGGGGAGGAAAATATAGGTCACCCATGTGGGGTAATTGATCGGCTGGAGCCCTAGATCCAAGGTTTGGGACTGGACAAATCTCTCCAGCAAGAGGGGAGCTCCCAGAAAAGTATTAAGGTCACAGAATCACACAACACAGTGATGAAGCATGAGGAACACGGTAGAATTGGTTGGAAGGGACACCAAGGGTCATCTAGTCCAACCCCCTGCAATGCGAGAATCTTTTGAACCCACAACCCTGAGATTAAGAGTCTCATGCTCTGCCAACTTAGCCGTCCCCTATATAGGCAGTTAGATCCTTTAAACATCCCATTTAGTCCACTGCCCTTCTCTGCCCCTCTGGCAACGAACGGACCACACCGTTAGGAAGTTTAAATGCTTTACTTACAAACTTCAAAGGTCAGATTCACGCGTTACTGCATGCAGCAAGGAGAAGAACGTGGGTGGGAAATTCAGAAAAATATTTCTGAGCGCACGGTCTGGGCAGTGCATCACTCTCCTCCTGTGCAACTTCCTTGCGCTTGAATCCTGCTTGCGGGCTTGCCAAGGGCACCTAGTTGGCGTCTGTGAGGGCAGGACGGTGGAATAGGCGGGTCCCCTTTTTGCCCGACCAGCTTCGGGGCTCTTCTGCTCTTCCGATGGAACTTCCACATCCAGGGGCAGTCTTTCTCAATTCCCGGGCGAGGGCGGGATGCTGGGCTTGGGTGGTCCTCTCCCCCCACTGCTCTTTTTAAGTTTCTCCTATGTCCTCCCCGCACTGCAGAAACACTGTGCTCCGGTCCTGGCGAAGCTGCGCCCCCAGCCCGACAACCAGGAGGCCTACCGGGCGGAGTACGGGGCGCTGGGCACCCTCCTGTGCACCCACGTGGTCAAGGCACGTGCCCAGGCAGCCATGCAGGCACAGCAGGTGAACCGCACCACCCTCACCATCACCCAGGTAAGGGGGGGCAGAACCCCCACCCCCAAGGGGGGGCAGAACCCCCACCCCCAAGCACCCACGGGCTCCGGGTCTTGCCCTGGGCGGCCCCACCCAGGGCTGCGGTTCCCCTCTCCCTTAATAATAATAATAAATTTTATTAATTTTATTTAAATAAATTTTAAATATTTAAATTTTATTTAAAGAGGCAGCCCTGTTTAGGGAAGCTTTTAATATTTAATAGGTTATTGTATTTTAGTGTTTTGTTGGAAGCCGCCCAGAGTGGCTGGGGAAACCCAGCCAGATGGGCGGGGTATAAATAATAAACTATTATTATTATTATTACTACTACTACTATTATTATTATTATTATAAGGGCCTGGGGTCTGTGGTGTGCATGCCTAGGATGCATTAGGAAGACTGGGTGCCATCTGTGCATGTGCAAAGTGCATTTGCCCCGCCACTGAAGGAACTCACACTCAGTAGTGGTGCCCGCCCTGTGGAACTCCCTCCCACCAGATGGGAAAAAACACCTACCAGACTTTTAGGAGACATCTGAAGGCAGCCCTGTTGAGGGAAGCTTTTCATATCTGAAGGGCTATTGTATTTTAACATTTTGTTGGAAGCTGCCCAGAGTGGCTGGGGAAACCCAGCCAGATGGGCAGGGTATAAATAAAAAATTATTATTACAGTGGTACCTTGGGTTAAGTACTTAATTCGTTCCGGAGGTCCGTACTTAACCTGAAACTGATCTTAACCTTAAGCACCACTTTAGCTAATGGGGCCTCCTGCTGCCGCCGCGCCACCAGAGCCTGATTTCTGTTCTCATCCTGAAGCAAAGTTCTTAACCTGAAGCACTATTTCTGGGTTAGCAGAATGTGTAACCAGAAGTGTATGTAACCTGAAGCGTATGTAACCCGAGGTACCACTGTATTATTATTATTATTATTCCTCCCCAGCCAAACACCAGCTATAAAACAATTGATTGAAATACAGTTTAAAAAACAAGATTAAAATGAACCTGGGAGGGAAAATCTAACACCCCCCGTGATCCTCTCTCTGTCTCTCTTTCTCTCTGCAGCCTCGCCCCACGCTGACCCTGTCCCAGGCCCCCCAGGGGGGATCCGGCAGCGCCTCGCGGGCCCCCAGCATCATCAAGATGCCCGGCTCCCTTGCCCTCCCCATGCAGACGCTGGTCTCTGCCCGGCCGGCCACCCCCACCCAGCCCTCCCCGCCGCCCACCAAGTTCATCGTCATGTCCTCCTCGGCCTCCGGGACGCCCACCTCGCAGCAGGTGATCACGCTCAGCGGGGGCCCCGCCTGCACCTCCACCTCCCCCGTCACCACCACCGTGCCCAGCACCCAGCCCCTGGTCAAGCTGGTCTCCGGCGGGCAGGCCGCCCCCAGCCCCCCGGTCTCCGGCAGCGTCCAGAAGTACATCGTGGTCTCGCTGCCCGCCGCCGCCGAGGGCAAAGGAGCGGGGGCCGCCCAGCTCTCGCCTTCCTCCTCGGGGGCCGGCGGCTTGGCCCTGGCGGGGGGCATCAAGCAGGAGCAGGGCGAGAGCCCCCCGCCCCCCGGGAGCAGTGCCAGCACCTCAGCCGCCACCGCCTTCCTGGCCAAGGCCAACGGGGCGCAGGGCCTGGTGCCAGAGTCCCCCCAGACGCCCTCCCTGTGAGGGAGGCCGGGCACGTCCCTGGATCGCAAGACGGCTGGGGGGCCTCAACACAGCACCTCCCCTTGCCCACCGCGTGCCAAGGAAGGGGGGCGACGGTGGCATCTCAACAGCCTCTGCGTGACGTTAAGTCTATTCCCTCCCCACCTTTGGAGCAACTTGGGGGGCAGAGGAGAAGGAATCGAGACTCCGTGTTGTTTTTTCTTCCTGCGAGCAGCAGGGCCAAATTGGGGTGTGTGTGTGTGTGTGTTTGTGAACATTGGGGGGGTCCCACGTTTCGTGTTGTAGAAAAGCCCCCTCTGTCCTTTCGTCTGTGTCGCAGAACTGTAAATAGATCCTCTTTTAAGTTCCAATAAACTCGACTCTTCTACCTGTCTGTGAGAGTGGTTTCGCCCTGTTCCCCTGTGGGATTCCCCCCCCCCCCCCAAATCTAGGACACAGTAAAAGGAACCCCCTTCCTCTTGAAAGGCCCGGGGAGATGGTGACGGCCAGCTGGGCTTGGCAGGGAAGGCCTCACCCAAAGCAGGCAGCTGTGAGTGTGGCAGATGCAGCTCCCATCAGAGAGTCCTAGACTTGGAAGGGACCCCGAGGGTCATCCAGCCCAACCCCGAAATAGTAACTTTTTCTGAGGGCGCCCGGCCCTCTCTCCTACCTTCAGAAAGTTCTTTCTAACATCTGCTTGGAGAATCTCGCTGGTGTGGGCGACACTGCAGGCCCCCAGTTCTCCATCTGCTGCTGCCGTGTGCATGTGAAGCCCTTGCTTTTGCTGCATCCTGGCGCTTTCTTGGCACGCCAGTCCAGGGCGTGGGGGATCCTGGCTCCCCAACCGGTTCTGCCAGCTTCCCGTGGGGCTCCCTGGTAGGTCTGGATGTGGGCCTGCCCCTCTCTGCAAGCTCCAGCCTGCGCCTCCCGCAAAGAGGAAGCTGCGCTGGACCCGCCGGGAGGAAGCAGGTAAGAGGCCTCACCTTTGCCCACCTGTTGGGAGGGGAGGGGAGGAGGAGAAGTCCCTTGGGTGGGACCAGAGGCAGAGCGCAAGGCCTGGGAAAAGGGGTTGTGTGAAAGCACCAACGCCAAAAAGAGCCTGGGGCAGAAGCGAGAAAGGGGTGCCTCTGGAAGAACTTTCTGAGGGCCAGATTGACAGAAGGTGGTGGCCTCTCCTTCCCGGGTTCTTAAACAAGGGTTTGGGTGGCCAGGGATTCCTGCATTGTATGGGGTTGGACTAGATGGCCCCTGGAGGAGCCTTGCAGCTCTGTAATTCCAGGGTTGATTTTGAAGCGCCACAGGTTGGACGCCCTCGCTGCCTCCGGAGATGGCGAGTGCCACCACTTTTGGCTGGCAAGGGTCCTCTAGTAGTCCAGCCCCCTGCGACGCACGGTGCCCCTCACCGCCTCCCGTCGGAGAGGGGCAGGATCCGGCTTGCCTTTCCCACGGATCCCTTCCTAGCCCCGCACCAAGGCCGTTTTTCGGAGGCGAACCTCCCAGGGCGCGCGAGTACCCGGGCGCACGGCGGCAGCAGCCTCCGCTCCCCACAAACACGCGGACACGTCTGGGGCTCACTTCGCGACTTCTTTACTGACTCGGGCGGGCGAGACCCCCCCTGGCCGCCTGATGGGGGGCGTCCGGCCGCACAGCTCTCGGAGCTGCTGGGGCAGCAGCGTCGCCTGTCCGCCCTCGCCCAGGACGCAGGGGAGCCAGCGCGCGTCGTAGACCACCTGCCCTCGAGGGGCGCCGCCGCAGCTCCCTTTGGGCACTTCGCCCTTGGAGTCCGTGCGCAGGATCAGGATCTTGGAGGGGCAGGGGGCGCGCAGGCGGCGCTCCCGAGGGGACGGCGAGCGGCTCGGCACCTGCTGCCCCGAGCGCCGGCGCCGCCCCGACGGGTCCTCCAACTCCTCGGGTTGCTGCTGCTGCTCCCGCCGTCGGGCGCTGCTCGACGGCTCGGGGCGCTTCCCGTCGGTCCCGTCCCGCCTGGAGCCCCGACGGCTCACTCCGCTGCCGCCGCCGAGGGCCGCCCGGCTGGAGCTGTGTCTGTGCGTCCGGGGAGCCGCCTCTGGACGAGAGGAGGCGCGGTGGGTGCTGCGCGCGCTCTTGGGGCGTCCGCCTTCTGCAAATTGGGGTGCGGAGAGAGAGAGAGAGAATGAAGATGGTGAGGCCCGAAGGAGGAGGGTCCCCAAATTGCTGCTCCCTCTCTGTGCCCCCGTCCCAATTTTGACGCACTCCTATCTGCGGACCTTTCCGTGCGCCAGAGGCACTCGGCCGTTCCAGTACCCAAAGTCACACCGGCCCACCCGACGGGAGATTTTCATTGCATGAGGGGTTTTTTTTGTTTTTTTGCACCGCCTACTTGTAGGAAACGGCGACAGCAACACCATCGAGCGGTTTACCAGGAAGATATACCGTTACCCGGGGAAATGGGGAATAATTTGTAACCTGACTTTAATGCGCACAGGACAGAATGCAATTTCTAAGCACCTGGCGCCGGAAGTAGTGCCGTTGAAGGTTCCTGCCTGGTGTCAAACAGTAGGGAGTTCCAAAGTTGTATGTGCTGCCACACTAAATTATAGATTTCGTGTAAGGGAAGCCTCTCCAAGGGAGCATTAGCAGGAAGGTGCTCTGAGGCGGCAGGGGCTGTGTGTGTGTGTGTGTGTGTGTGTGTGTGTGTGTGGTTGGTCCCGCGAGCTCCAGAGTTTTCCTGCCTCAAGCACAACAGCAAAGACTCTCTCTCTCTCTGCATAGCAGCCAAAGTCAGCCAATCTTGGAGGTCCACAGGGAGGTTAGGCTGGCCTCAACTAGGGCCAGGGCCTTTTCGGTCGTGGCCCCGATCTGGTGGAACGCTCTGTCACAAGAGACCAGGGCCCTGCGGGACTAGACATCTTTCCGCAGGGCCTGCAAGACAGAGCTGTTCCACCAGACCTTTGGCCAGGGCACAGTCTGACCCCCTCCTTTGGTAATCCCCACAGAACTCTAGCCCAATGGTTGCCATTAATTTGACTCTGAATTGATTTTAGAATGAATTGATATTAGAATGCATTTCAATTAATTGATTGTGATTTTATGTAAACTGTGTTACTGTTACTGTTGTTAGCTGCTCTGAGCCCGGCTTCGGCTGGGGAGGGCGGGATATAAATTAAATATTATTATTATTATTATTATCATTATCATCATCATCATCATCTGAGGTAGAGGATCCTGCAAGCAGGGGTTTTACTCTCTCTTTCCCTTACCGTTCAAATGCAACTATTCAAATGCATTTTCTCAACACCCCAAAATCAGTCGCCTGATGTGGCCACCTCACTCTCAGAGGAGGGGGCCAGGATGTGGATGGGGATCTTGGTCCAAGGCTGCCCCTGCATTGTTCCTGCCCCCCCCCCCCGCCTCTGGTGGCTCCCCAAGTTTTCTCATCCCACAAAAATGATTCCCCGACCTTGGCTGCTTGTCGGCTCCAGCGCCTCCTTCGCCTCCTGCTCCTCCCTTTCCTGCTTCTCTCTCTTGCGCTTGCTCCGGGGAACCTCTTTGCTGCTGAAGGGCGGCGGAGGCAGGCAGAGCTGGGGAGGGGGGAGAAATAATAATAATAATAATAATAATAATAATTTATTTATATCCCGCCCATCTGGCTGGGTTTCCCCAGCCATTCTGGGCGGCTGCCAACAGAATAATAATAGCGATAAAAGACCAAACATTAAAAACTTCCCTAAACAGGGCTGCCTTCAGGTGTCTTCTGAAAGTCAGATCGTTGTTTATGTGGCCGTTCCACAGGGCGGGTGCCACCACCAAGAAAAAACCAGGCCCTCTGCCTGGTTCCCTGTAACCTCACTTCTCCCGACCAAAGCTGTTCCAGTCCCGTGATGAGGCCTGAATCCTGACTGGAAGGGACCCAAATGGTCCACTTCTTCCAGGCGTGCCTGGAGTCGTTCAGCAACCCCCCTCAATCACCTTGCCCAAGAATGGAAGATTTGAGACCGGGTCTGGGAACGCTCCTTCACAGAGGAAAGTATTCCCTGCCCCACAGAGCTGATCGCTCAGCCCTTCCCTGCTGGCTTTTATGAGGTCAGCAGGTCCAGTGAGTGGGGCATCAGGTGCCCTCCTCCAAAAACCAGTCCCAGCTTCAGGTGGGCCATTTGGGCTTGGGTCATTCCTGCATTTCAGGGGGTTGGTCTAGATGACCCTTAGGGGTCCCTCCCAAATCTACAGGTCTACAATTCTTGAATTTCCTGCCCCAGAGCCAGAGGGAAGAGGTCAGGGGTGGACTCTGGCGCCCCTGGCTGGCCACTGTTGGCAGCTGGAGACTTAATATTTGGGGGTGTTAACAGAGAAATCTGAGGGCTCCCTTGGACAAAAAAAACAAGAACCCCAGCCAGGAATACCAGAGCAAAACAGCAGCCAGTAGGCTTGGTCTTGATTGAAGACTGTCGCCACAGGACTCCCACCTGTCACCAGGTGGAACAAGGTGGAAGCCCCGAACAAAAGAGAACCCAAACTTTTATTAGCTGCTAATCCCCATGTTAAAGGTAAAGGTAAAGGGACCCCTGACCATTAGGTCCAGTTGCGGCCGACTCTGGGGTTGCGGCGCTCATCTCGCTTTATTGGCCGAGGGAGCCGGCGTACAACTTCCAGGTCATGTGGCCAGCATGACTAAGCCGCTTCTGGTGAACCAGAGCAGCGCACGGAAACGCCGTTTACCTTCCCGCCGGAGCGGTACCTTTTTATCTACTTGCACTTTGACGTGCTTTCGAACTGCTAGGTTGGCAGGAGCAGGGACTGAGCAATGGGAGCTCACCCCGTTGCGGGGATTCGAACCGCCGACCTTCTGATAGGCAAGCCCTAGGCTCTGTGGTTTAACCCACAGCGCCACCCGCATCCCAGGCCTCTGGCCTAGCAGGCATTATTCCTCCCCCCAACACCTTTCTACCGTCCTCACCAGAGCAATGACGTTGTTGGCTACGCAGAGCAAGACCAGGCCGCCCAGAAACTTGATGGCCAAGTCCCCGACCTCCTGGCAGGAGCTGTGCTTGGAAGACATGGCAGGAGGTGGGCGGCCATTGCAGACTGAGGACCAAGAAACCAGCCGGTGGGGGGGGGGCAGGGAGGAGAAGCCATTGTGAGGCGGCAGCGATGAGCTCACAGTAGGAGAGGAGGGGGCAGTGAAGGCCTGGCACTGTGTGGGGCCTTCCCTCCCTGCCCTATACGCCCCCCGTTGACCCGCGAAAGGCAAACTCTCAGGAATTTTTAAGGAATTGACAGGCTGCGTTGATTCCTGTGTTGCGGGTTGGGATGGATGACCTTTAGGGTCTCCCTTCCCACTCGCCAATTCCGTGATTAGAGTTCAAAAGAATAAAAGTCAAATCTGCCTCCTATTTTTACTTCTTCCTGTTTTATTCTGTCGCTTTGGGGGCTTCTTCTTCTTTTTGAATTTGCATTTTATTTATTTGTTAACATTCTTATATTACATCGGTAAACGTTGTCCTATTACATTACAGGACTTAGTGTAATATAATTTCCAACGTGTATACAAAAATTATATACAAATTTTATGTACCTAGAAAGAAAATGAAAAACAAAAAAAGAAAGAGAAAAAACAAAAACCAATTCCCCCCCCAAATCATATACATACCAACACACTAGACTTCCTGTCTTTCCCGTTGTATATTCCTTTTTTGCAAATGAATGTACGATACAATACGATATCTTTATTGTCATTGTCCCATACAGAACAATGAAACTGAAAAATCTACATAAGACATTCAAAAACCCCTAAAAACTCTGAAACCCCATTTTAAATACAATATACTCCTATAGACACTCCTTATACTGGGTTTAAAACCAGAATTGCATTTGGGTAGAAACTGTTTCTCAGGCGGCTAGTCCTAAGAAAATGTACTCTTATTATTGTATATTTCTTTACATATTATCTAATACATTCCTAGATCAATAGGTGCTCTTGGTCTTGCTTCTCAACTCAGGTCTCACTCCAATGTCAGTCGAATGCTAGCTATGCAAATCTGCCTCCTAACCTGTCTTTTTGTTCCCTTTCCCCCCTACCCTCATAATTCTGACCCGAGGTCCCTCCTCCCTCCTCCAAGGGCTGGAGCCCCCTGCCCTATGTCCCCCCCCATTGCTTCCTCTCTAGGTCGCCATGCCTTCCAGGCTGAAGTTCTTCCGGGGACAGCGCTACCAGCACCTGAAGAAGCGCTGCCGGCAGCAGCAGAGACTCTTTGAGGACCCCGAGTTCCCGGCCACAAACGCCTCCCTCTTCTACCGCAGAGACCCTCTGCAGGGAGTCTCCTGGAAGCGCCCCGGGGTGAGCAGGAGACAGGGGCGCCTAGTGGTTAGAGCCCTGGAGAGGCCAGGGTTCACATTCCCCCACTCGGCCCTCGTGAAGCTCCCTTGGGGGCTGGTCCCCGCCTGGCCTACCTCGCAGGGATTATTGAGAAGGGGAGCCCCCCCCTTGAATCATGGAATTGCAGAGTCTCAAGGGATCCTCAGAGGCCCTCTAGTCCAACCCCGTGTGCAATGCAGGAATCCTTTGCCCGACGTGGGGCTCGAACCCACACCTTGAGATTAAGGAGTCTGCCAACTGAGCTATCCCTGTATTAGGAGGAAAAAGTGGGGTGGGAATTAAATGAATACATAAATACGGGGTCTTGGGGTGGGGTTGGTGAATCCTACTGTACCCAAAGGACTTCAGCTCAGCAGATCCCCATAGACTTGGGGTCCCCTCCACGAGCAGGGTGTGTCCTTGACCCAAAGGGGTGGGAGAGAGTGGGGGCCTGGGCAGATGTGGGGGACTCCCTGGTTCTGAATGGGGTCACTGTGCCCCTGAAGGACCATGTGTGCAGCCGGGGAGTCATTTTGGACTCACAGCTGTCCATGGAGGCGCAGGTCAAATCTGTGTCCAGGGCAGCTGTCTACCAGCTCCATCTGGTGCACAGGATGAGACCCTCCCTGCCCGTGGACTGTCTCACCAGAGTGGTGCATGCTCTAGTCATCTCCCGCTTGGACTACGGCAATGTGCTCTACGTGGGGCTACCTTTGAAGGTGACCCGGAAACTACAACTAATCCAGAATGCGGCAGCCAGACTGGGGACTGGGAGTGGCCGCCGGGACCACATAACACCTACACTGGCTCCCAGTACGTTTCTGAGCACAATTCAAAGTGTTGATGCTGACCTTGAAAGCCCTAATCGGCCTCGGTCCAGTATACCTGAAGGAGCGTCTCCATCCCCATCGTTCTGCCTGGATACTGAGGTCCAGCTCCGAGGGCCTTCTGGCGGTTCCCTCATTGCAAGAAGCGAGGTTACATGGAACCAGGCAGAGGGCCTTCTCGGTAGTAGCACCCGCCCTGTGGAACGCCCTCCCACCAGATGTCAAAGAGAACAACAACTACCAGACTTTTAGAAGACATCTGAAGGCAGCCCTGTTTAGGGAAGCTTTTAATGTTTGATGCATTACGGTATTTTATTATTTTGTTGGAATCCGCCCAGAGCGGCTAGAGAAACCCAGCCAGATGGGCGGGGTATAAATAATAAATTATTATTATTATTATTATTTTATATAAAGCGCGAAAGGCAGGAGCGTCATTTCCCACATTGCCAGGGTTGGACTAGGCGCCTCTGGGTGCCCCTTCCAGCGCTATGATTCTTTGCGATGCTGCCTCTGGCTTCTGCTGCTTCAGCCGCAGACGTGGCAGGGCTGTTTCTCAGGGGGTCCTGCCCTATAATGGGGGGCGTTTGGGGTTCCAATGTCCAGAGAGCCTCTCTCCCTCCCTTGGCCAGGAGCTGTGCGCTGACCCCCGGCTCTTTGTGGACGGCATCAGCCCCAGGGATCTGCACCAGGGCAGCCTCGGGAACTGCTGGTTTGTGGCGGCCGCCTCCTGCCTGGCCAGCGAGCCCAGCATCTGGAAGAAGGTAGGGGCCCCTCCTTTGCCCACCCCCTTCCCCCCTTCCCTGCCCCCTCTCTGCCCAAGCAGACACCAGCCTCTCTCTTGTTTGCAAGTGGGATCTAGCCATGATGTGAACCGGGGCTGGTTGGTTCAGGCCAGGGTGCCTCTGGTCATGTGCAGAGTGCCCGAAAGAGAGATGCAGCCCTGTCCAGAGGGCTGCCCTCTGAGGGGTGCCAGGGTGCCAGGCCTGCTGCGCCCAAGCAGAATCCAGTTCTACTCTTTTTATTTTTTAAAATTAATTTATTTAACATAATTATTACAAAATATAAGCTAAATATTGCAAATACATACATATATTTCAGATAAGCACACATATATAAAAAAAGAGAAGAAAAGAAAAAAGAAGAAAAAATAAAGAGAGAAAAAGTCTCTCTTTTTTAAAAAAACAAACAAACCCAGAACCTAGCCTTGACGCTGGCTTCTTTGAGTGCCTCTGGGCATGTGCAAAGTGACGAGGATCCATTAAGGGTTCGGACAGTCAGCCAGCTACAAATCCACCTAACAGCTGCCTCATCGCCCCCCCATTTTACCAGCTTCCTCGCGAGAAAATCCTGGCCACTTTGTCAAAAGCCTTCCTGAAATCAAGATAAACTATGTCTTCAGCATTCCCCTGATCCACTCGTTTTGTGTCTCGGCCTTTTTCCTCCTGCCCGAGTCCAAAGCCCTTCCTGCTTCTCTTCCCTCAGGTCATCCCCAACCCCCGGGAGCAGGATTGGGACCCTGGCCGGCCCCATGCCTACGGCGGCATCTTCCGCTTCCGCTTCTGGCGCTGGGGCAGCTGGACGGAGGTTGTGGTGGACGACCGGCTGCCCTGCCGCCAGGGACAGCTCCTCTTCTGCCGCTCGGCCGAGCCCCGCGAGTTCTGGAGCGCCCTGCTGGAGAAGGCCTACGCCAAGTGGGTGGGGCAAAATGGCGGGGGGAAATGGGGGGCTCTTCTCAAGGGCGTAAGGAGAGACCTGCTACTGGATCAGGCCACCTGGTTTAGCATCCTGGCCTCAAAATAGCGGAAGGACCCCAGGATCCTAGGGAGCGAGATATATTGGCAAAACCTACTGGTGTTTCTCAACTTTCCGACTTGTTGCAGGACCTTAGCCAGACCTAGCAGAGTAAGCGCAGAATCCACGGAAGGAAATGGCGACTTGGCTGCAGACAGGATAGACGAAGCAGGAACCAGGAACTTGTAGTTAGGTGTTTATTATACACAGCGGACTATTTACAGGAACACCGGGATGCAGATGGTGCTGTGGGTTAAACTACAGAGCCTAAGGCTTGCCAATCAGAAGGTTGGTGGTTCGAATCCCCGTGACGGGGTGAGCTCCCGTTGCTCGGTCCCTGCTCCTGCCAACCTAGCAGTTCGAAAGCACGTTAAATAGATAAATAGGTACCGCTCCGGCAGGAAGGTAAACGGCGTTTCCATGCGCTGCTCTGGTTCGCCAGAAGCGGCTTAGTCCTGCTGGCCACATGACCTGGAAGCTGTATGCCGGCTCCCTTGGCCAATAAAGCGAGATGAGCGCCGCAACCCCAGAGTCGGCCACGACTGGACCTAACGGTCAGGGGTCCCTTGACCTTTACCTATTTACAGGAACAGAACACGGACCTTTTGCTAGCTCTCTCTGACACGACTCACAACTCCTACACTCACTGACACACTGAACCACTGAACCCTGAACTAACACATTCCTGTTAGTAGGCCATTAATTATCGCTCCCTTGAGAGAGCTTGACCAATCAGGGAGCTGTCTCCATGTCTCTGTTATCACCAGGCAGACTTACTCCTTCACATGGCTGCTGGATCGAGCCAATGGGGGCCCATCTAGCCCTGTTCTCACAGTGGCCAAGTGGGTCCCCCAGTGGGGAAGCCTGCGGTCAGGATTCGAACACAAGAGCACTCCCCCATCCCACGATTTCCTGCAACTGGGGTTCAGAAGCATTGACTGCCTGTGAACGCAGAGCAATAATCGATAGCCCTCTCCTCCTCCATGAATTTGTGTGATCCCTTTTTAAAGGCATCCAGGTTGGCTCCTGTAGCAGGGAGTTCCGGAGTTGCAACGCAGGAGTCGCGGCTCAAGAACCCCTGACGGACAGCCGTCAGATCTCATGTGGCTCTTTTATAATATTCCAGAGTACTTTAAAAAAATCTAATCTAGAAAAACAAACAGGAGAAGGAGGAAAGTAAAAGGAAAGGAAAAATAGAAAAAGATGAAATAGCTTCTGATTCTCTGTCTGCCAGCTACTAATATATTCGTTCAAATTAATATCCAGCTATTCTATTTTCTATCGACCATTATTTTTTGCCAGATATTATTATTTATTATTATTTAATTTTATTTATACCCCGCCCTCCCCGACCAAGACCGGCCACAGGGCAGCTAACACCCAGTATAAAAACAATGGATTAAAATACAACTTAAAAACAAGATTAAAATACAACATTGAAATCCAGCCTCATTTCAGTGGAAGCCCAGATCGAAAACTGTTTGCGGGGAGAAAACGGCAAATCTTCACCAAGGCCAACTCTCCAGACTGGTCTTATGTGGGCTAGAAAAGTCAGAGAAGTCCCCAAATAGGGGTTCCATCACCGAAGGAAAAGGAAGTTAATTTAAAGTCTGCTTTTAGTCTTAATAAATGTCAATAGTGGGCTTCGCAAGTGTGGGGAGGGCGGCTGGGGCGCTCAGACCCTCCTCCTGACAGACTCTCCATTGGGGCAGCTGGCTGGCTGTAATCCCCCCCCCCATTCAAGGGCTGTGTGGTCGAATGGTTAGGGCACCTGCTCTGAGGATGGGCCTTGTTCCTTTGCCCAAAAGACTGGTCATTGGGGAGTGACCAGCCCGCCCCAGCCCCAACTTCAGCATTGGGGGGGTCCCCCTCCCCGCTAACCACTGGGCATTCCAGCCCACCCACCCTCTTTCCCCTCTCCTCCCCAGGCTGAATGGGTGCTATGAGGCCCTGGAGGGCGGCAACACGGCCGAGGCGCTGGTGGACTTTTCGGGGGGCATTTCGGAGCCCCTGGCGCTGGACGAGGGGGGCTTTGGCACGGACCCCGAGAAGCGGAAGGAGCTCTTCCAGCAGCTGAAGAAAGCCCACGCCCGAGCGGCTCTCGTCAGCTGCTCCATCCGGGTGAGAAAAGAGGCCGAGGTGAAGGAGAGGCAGCGCGGCGCAGTGGTTAGAGCGCTGAAAGAGACCAGCGTTCGAATAATCCCAATTCTCGCTTGGTGTGACCCTGAAAGCCAGACTCTGTCTCTTGGCTTTCCTCACAGGGCTGTTGTTGAGGGTTGAATGAGGAAGGGGAGAGAGAGAGAGGGAAAGGGTTGGGATATCAGTGCAATAAATAAATTAAATAAAGATTAAACTGGCCATTATAAGTTAAAAGAGAAGCAGGGGAGAAGTTCTGACCTGCTGCTGCTGCAAAGGCTTGCAATAAATAAATAAGAACTCAGTAATAAACTGGGGGTGTCTGTGTGCCTCAGTTGTGGTCTGGTTGGCCGGCGTTCTTTTCTCCCCCCCCCCCCAATTTTTATTTCTACTTTTCAGATATATACATTTCACTGATTTTACAATCCTTTTGACATTCAGAACTTGACTTCCTTCCCCTCTTTCTGCGGCTCCTTAAATTTATTTTTTTAATATCTTCTGCATATCCAAATTCACTTAACTCGCTCGTTTATCTTCTTCCAATATTTACTCTTACGTAACTGCAGGTTATTACAATAATCCTACCAGTGGTTTTTTTTTATCTGTTTGCAATTTACCTGTAAATAATTCAATAAACCATTTGCACTCTTTTATAAAAAAGTTCGTTATCTGGATTTCTTATTCTTCCAGTAAGTTTTGCCACTTCTGCATATTTTTGTATCCATTCTTCCTTTTGCTGGGAATTCTCCTTTCCCTTTTTGGGCAAATAACATTCTTGCCGCTGTAGTAGCAGACATGAATAAGTTTCTGTACAATTTAGGTAGTTCCACCCCTATAATTCCCAGATGAAAAGCTTCTGGGTTTTGTTTGTTTTTTAACAAATGTTACTTTAAACATCTTTTTCAATTCATTGTATATCGTTTCCCAGTAAGCTTTAACTTTACTGCAAGACCACCCCATATGCTAGAAAGTAACATTCATGCTGCTGTAGTTGCAGACATGAATTAAGTTTCTATACAATTTAGGTAGTTCTGTCGCTATAATTCCCAAGAGAAATAACATTTTCGAATGTTATTTTGAACATCTTTTTCGTTTCATTGTCTATCGTTTCCCAGGAAGCCTTAACCTTCCTGCAAGACCACCACAGGGCGTTCTTAGTCTGGCACGGCCGTTCTCTGAATCTGTGTGTGTTGTGTGTCCCCCCCATAGTCCCTCCCTGGCGAGGGGCCTGAGGCTGAGCTGCCCTGTGGTCTGGTCCGGGGCCACGCCTACGGGGTCACGGCGGTCAGGACCGTCCACCTGCGCAGGAGGAACCTGCTGGAGCTCTTCAAGGTCAAGAAGCTGCAGCTGATTCGCATGCGGAACCCCTGGGGGACAGTGGAATGGAACGGGGCCTGGAGCGACAAGTAAGGGGGGGCGGGAAGGCTGCATTGGGGTGGGTGGAAGGGGCCCGGGGGGGGAGAAGTCAGCCCCCATAGCCACAGAATTATGGACCTGTAGAGATAGGAGGGGGCACCAGTGGTCATCTAGTCCAACCCCACAATGCATGAATCTAGGGGAGAAGTCAGCCCCCTTAGTTGAAGACTTATGGATCTGTGGAGGTAGGGGGACCCCAGTGGTCATCTAGTCCAACCCCCACAATGAATGACTCTGGGGGAGCAGCCAGCCCCCTTAGTCGCAGAATTATGGACCTGTAGAGATAGGAGGGGATCCCGGTGGTCATCTAGTCCAACCCCCACAATGCAAGAATCGCAGTTGAAGAATCCCTAAAGAGATGGTTGCCTGATCTCTGCTTAAAAACCTCCAGCAAATCTTAGAATGTAGAGTGGGAAGGGGAACTCAAAGGTCATCCAGCCCAACCCCATGCAATACAATGTGGTGGGGTCCCCCTGGAGAGGAAAGGAGACCGGGTGGGCTCTGGGGGGCTGTTAGAGAGGGTCCTGCTCGAGGGGCGGACGCTTTTGACCTGTCTCACTTCAAACCCCCCCCCCCACACACTTCAAAGGTCCCCAGAATGGCAGAAGGTGAGCCAGCGAAACCGGAAGCAAATGGGGGTAACTGTCCGGGACGATGGCGAATTCTGGTAAGTTGGGGCTTTTTTTGGGGGGGGTCTCCATTGGTCTCTCTGTGATTGTGGTGCCCCTCTGGGTCCGATCCTGCAAGACTCCATTTCAGGGGTCAGCTGCAGGTTTCTAGGACAGGCATAGGCAAACTCCGGCCCTCCAGATGTTTGGGACTACAATTCCCATCATCCCTCGCTAACAGGACCAGTGGTCAGGGATGATGGGAATTGTAGTCCCTAACATCTGGAGTTTGCCTATGCCTGCTCTAGGATGTGGAAAGACCCCAAGGCAGGCTGACCCCTCTTTCCCTCTCCATGGGGCAGCCCCTGCAGCCCCACTCCCAGCCTGCCAAGACCAGACTCTGACAGCTGATGGATTGATTGATGGATTGATTGACTGGCGGATAGTATTTCTGTTCCGGTTCAAATGAGTCCCAGAGCAGCTCACAAGCAACAAATAAATGCACAACGTCAGTAATTGCAACCGATAAAACACTATATTAGCAAACCAGCAAACTAAAATATAGCTGGACGCCACAATTGGAGCATGGCACACCATCTGATTAGCAAACCAATAAGGCGTTTATAATCTCTGAAGCAATATTCACTAAATTGCAGCTAAAAAATAAGCTGCAAAGTCTACACACCCCAATGTTTCATAATCTTTCGCTCTCTTTGGTTCATTGAGAGAGCGTGTCTAAGGAGCTCCAGGCGGCTCGAGTAAGTGAGCCAAGCCACACACACGCACCGGAAGGTTGAAGGAGAATATTTCCGACCTCGCCAGTCCCTGCCTGACTCTTCTTCCCTGTCTCCCTGACTTTCCCGGCAGGATGAGCTTTGAGGACTTCTGCGCCCATTTCACAGACGTTGTCATCTGCCGCCGCATGAACACGGCGAGGCTGAGCTGCCGGCGGAGCTGGGTGGAGGGTCTGTAGTTTGGGGAGTGGGACCCCCAGAAGAGGCAGGCAGGGGGCTGCCTCAACCACAGGGACACCTTCCTGGAGAACCCCCAGGTGATTGGGGGAAAGCGATGGACGTTCTGGGACCCCATATTTCGAAAACCTCATCAGTTTCGGTTGTTTGCAAGCTGAGAATAAGGGCGATAGGCTGAGCTCTCCTCTTTTTAGCGTTTTATTTCTTTTGCTTTAAATGCCCTTGCTTTTCCATTTTTGCTGCGATTCCGGCATTGCAAGGCGGGTTGGACTAGATGACCACTGGGGGTCGCTCCCAATTCTGCAGTTCGATTATGTAAATTTATTGATCTATTAAATCTGTATACTGCCCTCCATCCGTAGATCTCAGGGAGGTGCACAGCATAAAAACGCAAGATAAAAAACACAAAATACCGTATTGGCCCGAATATAAGCCGCACCCGAATATAAGCCACACCTTTAAAATTCAAGGGGGGGGGGGAGAAAAAAAAGACAATACCCGAATATAAGCCGCTGCCTTAAAATTCTGCAGGCACTCACACCTGTTCCGTTTTACCGTCTGTCTGTTTCAGCAGTGATATCATAAAAGCACATTTTTGTAAGGTCGCGAATTTAAGCCACACTTTAACTTTTCACGGTCGGAATTTGGGGGGGAAAAGGTGGGGCTTATATTCAGGCCTATACAGTCATACCTGTTTCCTGCTTGGCAGGGGGTTGGACTCGATGGCCCTTGTGGTCTCTTCCAACTCTGATTCTATGATTCTATGATTCTATGATTCTTGCGAATGCTTCATGTTGCATTTTTTTCAACCCGGAAGTGTTTATTTCTGGGTTTCGCTGTGTGTGCGTGCACAAGCATTCTGCGTGGTTCGCGCATGTGCAGAAGCACTCTATCGCGCTTTGCAGATGCGCAGAAGTGCGGCTCTAGTTATGGTGCGAACCACAACCCCAGAACGGATCATGTCCACAACCACAGGTACCACTGTACAGTACATAATAAAAATAAGAACCAGAACAAACACACACACACACACACATATATATATATATATATATGTGTGTGTGTGTGTGTGTGTGTATACATATTAACAGATATATATACCATATAAGCAGTCAAAACAATAGGCTGACCTTTTCTCTCTTCTCCCCCCAGTTCTTCTTCGACGTGTCTGGGGTTCGAGACTCGGTCCTGATCTCGTTGCAGCAGGAAGACACACGTCAGCTCCGGGGGTCTGGCTCCGGGGGGCACAACCTCCCCATTGGCTTCGAGCTCTTCAGCGTGAGTTCAAGCACCTCGTTCGGGGGGGGGGGCTTGGGGGTGCAGGAAGCTCTGGGTGTGGGGAGTAGGACAGGTCATAAAAAACTTTTTCTTTTTAAATGCCTGCTCCAAAGGTCTTAGCCCAGCTTTGCCTGGGGAAGATGGGATATAAATAAAATCATCATCATCATCATCTTGCTACACTAGGGATTATCTAGCTATATCTGAAATTTCACGCATATCAGTTAATATCTTGACCCTGCTCCGCTGAATTGAAATTTCAGCCTTCATGACTTGGGAAAATGGCCAAGTAAACAGCTATTTTCATAGAGGAGGGTCAAGATATTAACTGATATGCGTGAAATTTCAGATATAGCTAGATAATCTCTAGTGTAGTAAGATCAGACCTTTGGAGAAGGCATTTTCAAAACAAAGCTTTTAATGAACCGCCCTGGGGGGGGGGGCTTGCCTGACGGCAGGGGAGTGGCTGAGGAGGGGGGCCTTGGCGCTGCAATTTGACCTGCAGAGTCGGAAGGGACCCCCAGGACTCATCTGCCCCAACGGAGGCCTTTGAGCAGGGACCGGCTGGCCACCCCCTGGCGATTCTCGAGCGGCGATTCCTGCCTTTCCGGGGTTAGGCTGGATGACCTCTGGGGTCCCCTCCCCGTTCCATGTAATTCCCTTCCTCGCAGGTGGAGCAGAACCGGACTTGGCGCCTGCATCGCATCCCGCCCCGCATGGCCGGCTCCACCTACATCAACTCCCGCAGCGTCTTGCTCCGGGCGGAGGTGCCTGGGGGCCGCTACGCCCTCCTGCCCACGACCTTCGACCCCGGCCAAAGCAGCGCCTTCCTCCTGCGCATCTACAGCGAGCGCCCGGCCAAGCTGCGGTGAGCGCGGCCCCTCGAACCCCAGCCTCCCTCTCCCTCTGAGCATCTGCAGAGTGCATTCGCCTCGCCTCACGGGCCTCTTCGCAGCAGCCCCTTTCAGCTTGGCAACTTGAGATTTCACGATGGTGACAAGTGTTCCTCTGGGCATGGGCAGAGTGCCTTTCCCTCGCTACAGATGGAGCGGATTGTCTGATAACATAAAGACAGAGGGTGGTGTCTCTCCTCCAGGGGGTGTTCTCTCCTTCGCTGTGTATTTAATTTTAAAACACCCACCACCCCCAAAAACGATTCCTGGGAGCTCACGTGCCCCTCGCAGACCCCTGGTTCCCGGCGTTGTTGGCAAACTGCAGTTCACAGGGGAGTTTAGCGGGTGGGTGGGCTTTGGACGAAGGGGCCCTAAGCAGGGATGGCAGGGGGTGGACTGGATGACCCCTAGGAGCCCCATACTGATCTATGTTCCTGTAAGGCTATTTCCCCCCCATATTTAAATTGCATTTTAACCTGTATTTTAAATTGGTTGTTTTTTTCCTATTATGTTTTTACTGTAATTTTATTGGTGTTAGCCGCCCTTAGCCTGGCTCTGGCCGGGGTGGGCGGGGTATAAATAAAATTTATTATTATTATTATTATTTATTATTATTATATTAGAATAAAAATACACTTCTTTCCCTCCCTCTCTGCCCCCCAGGGCTGTCAACCGCAATGACCCCCCACCTCCACGCTGCAGCTGCTGCTCCGGATCCCACCAGCTCATCACCTCCGTTTGTGTCCATCGGGCCGTGGGACTGGCACTCCCCAACTCCAGCAAAGGTGAGCTTGCGACGACTCCTGCATTGCAGCGGGTTGGGCTAGATGACCCCTGAGGGTCCCTCCCAACTCTGCACTTCTGTGATTCTGCAGAAAGACGCTCCCCTCTCCCAAATGCCTTGCCAAAAGGCACAGGGTGAATTCAAGGGGGAGGCGGCAGGAGAGGCCTGCCAGCTGCTGTGAGCTGTGTTGCAGAGCCTCCACATTCAGGGATAGTCTACCTTTGCCCAGGGGGGTTGCTGGTGAGGGAGGGGCTCTTGAGGAAGGCCTGGGCCCTGGGCGAGGGGTCCCACAAGAGGCCTGGGGGCAAGTGACTGGGGTGTGTCCCCCTCCCTCTCTCTCTCCAGCCCCAGATGTCTACGTGAAGGTCTGCTCCGAAGGCCAGGCGGTGCGATCCTGCCTCCACAAGGCCACCTCCAGCCCAGACTTCAACTTCAAGGCCGTCTTCTGCCGCCGGCGCCCGCAGAAGCCCATCCGCATCGAGGTGAGTGGAATTGGGGGGGGGGACGGGACACATGGGCAGCAACATGATCTCCCACCTGTTACGTTCTGAAGGCAAAGGAAGGATTGGACCCGGGTTAATACAATACACACGAGGCTTGGCCAGCAAGACTCTGGGAGGCAGTGCCAATAATAATCTGCCACACCCGGGCCCAGGTCTCTTTTATTAACAAAAGAACTTTTAACACAGCGCTTGTAAGAACCAGTCAGATGTCCTCTGAGCATAAAAAAAAAACCAAAAACCTACCAAGTTAAAACTACAAAGAACTAATTTGAGCATGCATACATTTTGGGTAAATAAAACAGGAATCAAGGAGGAATGCATTTAGCAAACCCTAGAGGTCATAAACAGGCATTAAACAGGAAAGGAAGGATGGCAAGGAAAGATAGTATTTACCAAGCCAGAGGGTTATGTATGTGGAGGTAGTTTTCTTTCAATTCACAACACGCTGTAAATTACAAATCTGTTTTCCATAACTTTTCTTAATCTACCAGCTCACATTCCTCTCCTTTTGTTCTCTGCTCCACAGGTGTGGGCCAGGCGGTTCCTGCGCAGCACCCGGCTGGGGTACGTCAAAGTCTTGGCTGCGGAGACCCCCCCGGACGCCGGCAGTGGGCAGGTGCTGCGGCTGCAAGGGGGACCCCCTGCCTGTCCCCCAGGCTCCATCCTCGTGGAGACCTCCACCAGCTCCGACCTCCTGGCTCTGTGAGCTCGGCCGAGGAGCCCTTTGTGGGCGCCAGGGAGTGCATTGGGTGCCCGCCCAGGGGTGGGCGTGTTAGGATATAGTTCCATTCCACCTTAAAAGGGTACAGGCATGATATTCGTGTATCACATGCCTGTTTACGTCCAGCACAGTCTGCTGGGAACTTCCGTTGTGTATTGCTTTTGCTATACTGCTCTTTTGCCGGAGACGAAGGGATGCAGACATGTTTTCCTTTGTTCCTGAACTATGCTGAATAAATGCTATAAATAATGCTTACATCTGCCTCTGTCCGCCTCATCTGCTGTGTGATGGTTTACACACTCTGCTGACAGAGAGTGCAAAAGTCTCTAAGCGTATCTGAGGCTCGTGTCGCTGGCTGACTCATGCTGTTTCACGGGAGACCGGTGATCGTCCGGAGCAAGCTGGGGGCCCGCCTGATGCCCCTGTCTCCCCGGCAGTATCCCAACAACACGGTTTCGGGCCCAGATCCATGGTGCTTACAGGAGAGTAAGACTGCTGATGGCTGCAATCCGATCCCGGCAGTGACAGGGGCATGTGAAGCGAGGTTTTCTGTGCCGCGGCAGAGACCTGTAGGCGCACACGCAAGGACCGCTGTCCTTCTGCTCAAGAAGAAGCCGTGCTGCTTGTTGTCATTGATTTCTGTTGCGTTCCCAAAGCAAGGAAGGATTGGACCCTGATTAATAGAATACACACGAGGCTTGACCAGCAAGACTCTGGGAGGAGTGCGTATAATAATAATTCCTTCTCCACCCCTCGGCCCAGGTCGTTTTATTCACAAAAGAATTTTTTGCACAGTGTCCGTAAGAACCAATCAGATTTCCTCTGAGCATTTCAGAAAACCCCTCGTAGGACAAAGTCAGATCAGAAGAAATCCTGTTAACTACAAAGAAACGATTTCCTACTTGAGCATGCATAGTAGTTCAGAGTAAATAAAATAAGAAGCAAGGAGGAATGCTTTAAGGAAACCCCAGAGGTCATAAACAGGCAAGGAAAGAGTATTTCCATTTCCTTGTGAACTCTCTTCCTGGCCCTTAAGATCTATCTAAAGATTAACAAAACCAAGGAAAGGTACATCAAAGAAGCTACCTACTGTCTTTATGTACTGAGGATGCCTGATGAAGCAACTGGCCTGTGTTTAGAATGCTGATACGTGCCTGTCAGGCATAGAGAAAGCAAGTGGCACAAGTGCAGAGACTTGTGGGATTTGATTAGAAATTATTGTCAATGAATCAAACCCAGTCAACGCCATGCTTTCATCGTGGACACAATGGCTTGATGCATATTTCGTAATTCCTCATAGCAATCCCACCTGACCACTACAATTTCTGCAGACGTTTCTTGAAATTTCACTTTATAACGTGTACGTAAAATGGAGAGGACGGTTTCAGCAGCCAATGAGAAGCGAAAGGTGGGGAACAAAAGGGGAAAAGAGCCACACGGGACGAGTCCGGTTGCGCATGGGTGGAATTTCTGTCCCGACAAGGTCCAAGGAAAGGCTGTTGATTGTCAAGTCTAGTTCCTGGGACCTTCCGAGGGAGACCGTTCTCTTCTTGGATGCCACAAACGGAAAAGGGAAGCTATAAACATTTACAAAACCTCTCTTTGCTGGGCACCAGGAACTTAGCTGTGAAGCTTTTAGCTTCTGGAACTTCTTTGCTGCTTTCAAGTGCTGCTGGTGAATTGCTGAACTTCAAATTTTATATTCTGCTTTAATAAAGTCTTCTAAACCCAGCAGGATCTGTAAAAGCACAGCTGCACTTGTGTAAAGAGTAGAAATTAACAGCGTTTGAACCTGGGAGGCTGTTGGCTTTGTGGTTGGGGGAGGCTGGAGAGTGGCTGGCTGGGGCAGGGTAACCCCCCCCCCTTGGAAAGAGCAGGTTTTTGGGGTGCTCCTGGACCCCTCTCTGTCACGCTCAAGAACCCTCTGTGGCTAGGAGCACATTTTCCCAGCTACGGCTGGCGTTATAATAATTTTAAGGTCCCAGGAAAATGGAAAAGCCTCCCCATTGTCTTTTCCTGCACAAATCCTGCCTTAAGGGTATGTCTAAGTATGAATAGGGTGAGCCTGTGACCTGGCTCAGGAACTAAGTATTTGTCATTACAAAAGACTGGCCAGGCTCCCCAGGGTATCCAATCAAGTAAGCATTAACAGGTAACCTGCCAGACAGGAGGTAAACAAACCACTCAGATTTCTGCCGTAGACTGCCCCTTCTGTGATGTATGTATGATGTTCCTGGGGGTGGTCTTGGACTCCAGGGCAGGCAATTTAAAATGTCTATATAAGGGTGGGCACACCTGGGTTCGGGGTCCTCCTCCATCCTCCTGCGTGTGAAGGGGGCACCCTGTTGCAACAGTTCAATAAAGATCAGGCTTACTAGCTGCTTTGCTTCTCAGTATTCTCTGGTTGGCCTCTGTTCTTTTCTCTGACCGATGGAGAACCTACATAAGGACTCTGTATGGGCTCTTGGATACCCCATAAGGGACAAAGGAGCAGGGTTTTTCCATAACAGCTGGGAAGACCACTCCCATGGGGGGAGGTCCTTAGCCAATTCCTCCAGGAGGCAGAAGCCCACCTGGTGGGGCCGGCTTACTCCCAGTCCTATAAAAGTGGGTGCCTCTTCCATGGCTGGGGTGGGGTGGGGGTCTCAGTCTGCCTGTGCTCAGAGGCCAGCACAATTTTCACAAGACTGACACCTCACTTCCTCCTCCTTTCTGTGGCTGTGGCTGTATGCGCTTCGCCATTGCTCAATCTTCCACCCGAATCTCCAGCACTCAGGGGAGAGAGGCTTACTGGATGTGGCTGTGTGTGGCTCTTGTGGCTGCAGCCGGGCTTTGCTCTGATCCCTGAAGCCACCAGAGACCCCCCAGCAGCAAAGGATATGATCCGCCAGGGGCTGTTGCTGCTCCTGCTGGTCCTGGGTGGAGGTGAGTGAAAGGGCGAGGCAGAGGAAGGAAAGAAGCTCTGGTGGGGAGCCCTCCCGGATCAGGCCAAAGTCATCCACCTAGTCCAGAATCCTGTTCTCACGGTGGCCAAATCCCCCTCAGAACCTAGGAAGCTAGATAGACTTCCTCTGGCCCTGGAGGTTCCATAATGCGACCCCGTCAGTGATGGGTGGGGTATAAATAATAAAAAGATGGTGTTACGGAAATGACATGGGGGCGGCCACATCTTTAAAATTCATAGAAAATCCATACTTTAACCGACACTCCTCATTCCAACGCCATTTTGACCCTTAAAGAAAGGTGGGTTTGGGCTCCACGTCCCTCCATGAACAGGGCACCCCGCCTTAATTCCCCAAATGTGAGAGCACAGACATGGCCCCCCACCCAGGGAGTGACCAGGGGGGTGTTAACGGAGAAATCTGAGGACTCCCTTGGCCAAAAACAAGGATACCAGCCAGGAATCCCAGAGCAAAACAGCAGCCAGTCGGCTTGGTCTTGATTGAAGTCTGTCGTGACAGGACTCCCACCTGCCACCAGGTGGAACAAGATGTAAGCCCCAAACAAAAGAAGACCCCAACTTTTATTAGTTAATCCCCATGTTACACCCCCCCAAACTACATCACTCGTACATCACTGTTACATCATGAAAGGGGAGGTCTGGTGGCAGGAATCCTGGACCCTGCCCCATGGTTCCCCTTGTCCTCCACCAAACACCCATCAAGTGAAGCAAAAGATATATTTACATTTCCCTGTTTCCCAGCCAATTAATCACACCCTTTTTTCTTCATCTGGGTTTGGTATTTCTGGAATGGCTACCTGTCTGGCTCTCAGGTATCAGGAGGCCAGGAATTATCACTCAGGCAGAGGGGCTGCTGAGGAGCTGAGCTCACAGGTCTATAGGAATTTCTGAAGTTTTCCCAGTGAGCCAGTATATAGATACATTTATCACTGAATTCTTACATTTGGTATCGTGCAGCAGAGGCCCTTTGAATAGACAGGAAGAAACTGTGATGAAGTGTTTTGTGGGGACAAGTCATAAAAGTCACAAAAGGGATTGTGCTGGTTTTGGTAGTGGGCTGCAGGTGCCTGATATCTGCTGGAGGGGCAACCCCCACCCCCCCAATCTATACATAAATTCGTGCAACAGGGGCAACCACAGACATCTGCAGAGGCAGTTGAGCAAGTCAGGTGTTCTGAAAGCCCATCTCCAGACAAGCCCTGAGGGCAAGGAGATGTCAAGAGTTTTATTTTTCTTCCAGTGATGGATACTTAAGGGGTGTTGGGAAAGGTGTCTGATAAAGTGAACTCATGTTGAACTTGCGTCACCCTTCTAGACCCCTCCCCATTTGTGACATGCTAGTGATGTACTGATGATGTATCCACGATGCCCCTCAAAGTGTATTCTGGGGGAAAGAGGGAAGTTTTAAAAGAGGACGTCACCCCATGCTCAGGGTTCTTATTCCTGGGGGGACCTGTTGCGCAGCAATAAGGACCATGGTCTACTGACCGCTCTTTTGCTCCAAATTACTTGGCTGGAACTTCCTTCTTTCACTGGCCACATGGACCCGAGACAAGCTGGGCTATTGAGTGGTCTCTCACCCCAGAATTTTTTCCATAACAAGCCAAACTATGAGGGAGATAACCAGGCAGAGAGGGGCAAACAGCCAAGCTATGTTGAATTGGGAGAATTAAGGGAGGGGGAGAGCAGTTAGGGAACACTTCAATAGACAGTGTGGAAGCTTCTGTCCCCCGGGACGTGACAACGTTTGGGCCGGTTCTGTTGGGGAGGGGGAAAGGAGGAGGAGCCCGAGGGAGAAACTCCATCATGCAGTAAAGGCTGCAATTCTTTGTCTGTTCTCGAAGCGACTGAATAAAGCATACCGCATTTTTCCGTGTATAAGACGAGCTTTTTTGACCCCAAAATGAGGTTTAAAATTTAGGCTCGTCTTATACACGGGTAGTGCTGAGGGGGGACGTGCGAATGTTTTTTGGGTGCGAGCCTGAGATTGTAAGCGGTGATTGGCTCCTTCTAATCATGTGATTCAAAAACCCTTGCGCACCCTAGTTATCTTATACCAGAGGTACACATGGCATCCATAGAGCAAATCAGCCCCTTCCAAGCCTGAGTTTTAAGTGGCGATTGGCCGCTTGGTTGTTTGGGGGAATGCTGAAAATTGGTGGAAACCGCAGGAGGAGAGAGCGGATCTTGCGTTCGAATCCTGCTTGCGGGTTTCCCTTTGGGGCATCTGCTTGGCCCAGGCATAGGCAAACTCGGCCCTCCGGATGTTTTGGGACTACAACTCCCATCATCCCTAGCTAGCAGGACCAGTGGTCAGGGATGGTGGGAATTGTAGTCCCACAACATCTGGAGGGCCGGGTTTGCCTATGCCTGGCTCGGCCCCTGTGAGGACAGAAGGCTGGACTAGCTGGGCCCCTGGTCTAAGCCTGCAGGGCTCTTGGTATATGCTCAGGAGCCAGTGTGGCGTAGTAGTCTCGTAATCTGGGGAATCGGGTTCGCGTCTCTGCTCCTCCACATGCAGCTGCTGGGTGACCTTGGGCCAGTCACACTTCTCTGAAGTCTCTCAGCCCCACTCACCTCACAGAGTGTTTGTTGTGGGGGAGGAAGGGAAAGGAGAATGTGAGCCACTTTGAGACTCCTTCAGGTAGTGATAAAGCAGGATATCAAATCCAAACTCCTCTTCTTCTTCTCTTAAATGATAAATTATTTCCCTGATTTGCCATCACAGGACACTTTCGGTTGTGTCCCTCAGAGTCCCCCCCCCCCCCCGCTGACATGTGATGCCATTTCCTTCTCCCTGAAACCACCAAGAGCTTTTGCTACTTCCTTTTCAAAGCAGAAACCCACAAACTTCTGCCTTTTTGGGTCTGTTTAGCCTGGGAAAGTGGAGGCGGAGATATTGGCCATCTCCCAAGATTTCCCCATGGAAGAGGGAGCAGGCTTCTTTTCTCTTGCTCCTGGAGGGCAGGACTCGAACCCGTGGCTTCACCTCTTGAATTATTCTTATTCTTATTTACCCGCAACAGGGAGTACAGACTCATCCAAATCGCCACGTGGGGCGGCAGCAGGCGAGAGCAATGGGGCGTTTCAGAGATGCAAGGACTTGGAACCGGACCCTTCGAGGTGGAACGGATTTGTTAACGGTAAAACAGCCTATATTGCCTGTTTTGTGATTTTAAATCTCTGCTGTGGCTCTATCACCAAAAGTAAAGGTAAAGGGACCCCTGACCAGTCGTGGCCGACTCTGGGATTGCGGCACTCATCTCGCTTTATTGACCAAGGGAGCCGGCACACAGCTTCTGGGTCATGTGGCCAGCATGACTAAGCTGCTTCTGGCGAACCAGAGCAGTGCATGGAAATGCCGTTTACCTTCCCGCCGGAGCGGTACCTATTTATCTACTTGCACTTGACATGCTTTTGAACTGCTAGGTTGGCAGGAGCAGGGACTGAGAAACAGGAGCTCACCCCGTCATGGGGATTCGAACCGCCGACCTTCCGATCGGCAAGTCCTAGGATCTGTGGTTTAACCCACAGCGCCACCTGCGTCCCCATCACCAAAAGTACTTTTACCCAAACTTGGATTTATGCCTCCAGATAATTTTCCTTTTATCCGTTAACCCCAATACTAAAATAAACAGTCTTTTCTTCTGTTTTTCTTTCTTTCTCTCTCCGTTCTGCTTCCTTTGCAGATTGTACCACTTGCTACCTGAAATTCCGCATCTGGCAACCTTGCCATCTCACGGCCAGGACAAAGGAATCCGTCACCCTGCCCTGCACCTTCAACTACACCTTGGAGGCTCAAGAGACGGCTGAGGTGTATTGGCATGTAGAAAACTTTCACGGAGAGTTCCTCTTCAAGCACCCCCACGACCCCGCCCACAGGTACACCCACCCGAACTACACAGGGCGGGTGTCTCTGGTCGGGGACTTGTCAAAGGGGCTCGATGCGTCAATCCAGATTGAGAATCTGGGGGAGTCGGACTCCAATCTATATTTCTGCAGCGTCTTGGTAGAGACAGTTCGTGAAGGTGTGAAGTATTGGCGAAACATTGAGGGGACAAACCTCACGGTCACAGGTGAGCTGGCACATTTTTAAAAATGATGCTTATTTTTGAGTTTTTCAGTTTAGCAATTGCACTTGTGTCCCCTTCTTATACAATAGTTCTGTTTGACTTCCCACCCAGCGTTCCGTGACTGTTCTTTTTACATCTTGCTTAGCTGCAAATACATTAATTATTCCTTCGCCCTATTTTCCACACTCCCGTATCTTTCATATTAACAACTGTTGGTCACAAAGTACCCCCTACCGGGAATTTATATTTGAGGTCCATTTTTTTGCAAATATACCCCTAGGTATTCTCTTGGTTTCCACTCTCTTGCATATTCTATCCTTGTCGCATATAAAAATAGGTTGTGGGCTTTCTTTGGTAATTCATTCCCAAGTATACCTAGAAGAAATGCTTCCCGTTTCTTGGGGAAGGTAAATTTAAAGATTTTCTTTAACTCATTGTACACCACCTCCCCAAAGTCTTTGGCCTGTTTGCAGTTCCACCATAAATGAATAAAGGAACCCTCTGCTTCAAGACATTTCCAACACATTTTTTTAATTTCTTTTGTACATTTAAGCCAATTTAACCGGTGTCAAATACCATCTATACTGCATTTCATACCTATTTTCTCTTATTTGATAACATGCCGAAAGAGTCCATAATTTTCCCCTCTCATCAATTCTGATATTACGCCCCATATCAATAGCCCATTTTATCATTGCCTCCTTAATGAGTTTGTCTTTAGTCTCCCACTCTAGCAGTAGTTTATATATTTTAGAGATTAGTTTTTTATTGGGCCCCAAAATCACCCTTTCAAATTCTGATCCTTCTTGCACAAATCCTCTTTGTCTTTTTAAAGCTTCTCCTTTATCTGGAAGTATTGAAATGAGTCGTGTATCCAATTAGACACCTCCTCTCTATCTTTTAATTTTATGTTGTCATCTTTGTATCCAAGGAGATCTTTGTACTTTCCCCATATTCTGTCCACGTTTAGCTTTTCCACTGTAACCGCTTCCACCAGTGAGATCCAACCGGGAGTCTTTCTTTCCAAAATACCTTTACGTCTCATCCAAACCTTACATAGACTCCTTCTAATCATGTGATTCAAAAATCCCTTGCACACCCTAGTTTTCTTATACCAGAGGTACACATGCCATCCATAGAGCAAATCAGCTCCTTCTAAGCTCAGTACATTTGCATCCTTCAATTTGACCCACTCCTTCATCCAGCTTAGACAGGTTGCTTCATAATATAATTGCTTGAACACCATTTGTAAAGGCCAATCCAATGTCCATATAATCTAGGATCTTTGTCATAAAGGTCCATGAGACATTGTCGAAGGCCTTTTCCCGGTGGCGGCAATGTTATTCTTGAACCTCAGTCACCATTCATGGTGACAAGACTTCTCAAAGTGCTCACATTCTGACAATCCGCAGTCACAAAATGTGCCTGGCGCCTGGCTAATTTCGAACGCTGCCTCAGCCCACAGCAATTGCCCACAGCAGCCACCTTCTCCCCAGGGATGGCACTCCATTCTGCTTGGTTCAAAGGGGACCCCGGGGGATGGCAGTGGAGCCTGAGGCAGAGCAGAAAATGGGGATCCACTCTCTCCCAGACAAAGGGCTGCGGAGGACCCAAAGTGACCACCCGAGGCAGGTAGACCCACAAGTGCCTCCCCACCACCACCACCCTAGACAGCAAAAATACCACACCACAGAAAACACATTAGATACATCTTCCCAGAGAGAAGATGGAGCCAGCTTGCTTCCTGCTGCTCCAGAGGGCAGCACCTGAACCAACGGATCCACATTGCAAGAAAGGAGATTTTGACTAAACATTAGGAAGAATTTTACCAGGGTAAGAGCTTGTTCAACAGAGGAACGGTCTCAAAAAACAACAACACAGAGGAATGGTCTCCCCGTGAGGTGGTGCCCTCTCCTTCCTTGGAGCCTTTTCCTTGGATGGCCACCTGTCAACGAGTCTTCAGCTGTGATTCCTGTATGGCAGGGGGTTGGGCTGGATGACCTTGGAGGTCCCTTCCATACATGCAGTTTAATATTTCAACGAGGCGCTGCTCTCTCCCCAATGCTGAGGAGGTGCAATTGCAAATGGCAGGCGCCTAGATCAGGAGGCCCTTGAGGGTGCATGAAACGGCTTGTGGGCTCCTGTGGGTGCCCCCCCTTCCTTGAAAGAAATGCCCTTGTGCCAGGCCACTGCAGTGTGTGCCCGTCCTCAGCCTCTGCCTTGTGCCTCGGCCTAACTCTTGCTTTCTTCCTGCCCCCCAGGTCCTCCACTGCCGGACCCCCCCAGCTTCAACTTCAGCCTTGTAGGTCTGGTGATTAGGGGAACCCTCGTAGGTGCCATCCCTCTGGGGCTGCTGGCATTCCTTGTATGGAGAAAAGGTAGGGGGGCTGTTGTGGGGCAGGGAGGGAGGGGGCAGTTACTGCGCTAGGGTCCGTCTCTCCCTCCAATCTGGCCCTCCAGAGGCGGCAGCTGGGAAGCCCCTCCTGCGTTTCTGTGCCAGCCCTTCTGCAGCCAGGAGAGGACGGGGGGGGGGGCAGCCTTTGAGCTCAGCCTGGCCTGGTTGTCCTCTCATCTTTCCAAGCCATCTAGGATGGTGGTGTTGCAGGAATTTATGTACAGGTTGTGGGGGGGGGTGGTGGTGTTTGCCCCTCCAGCAGATATCCTGCACCTGCAGCCCACTACCAAAATCAGCACAATCACTTTTGTGACTCTTGGGATTTGTCCCCACAAAACACTTCATCACAGTTTCTTCCTGCTTATTCAAAGGGCCTCTGCTGCACAATACCAAATGTAAGAATTCACTGATAGATGTCTCTATGTACTGGCTCACTGGGAAAACTAGAAAATCTAGACCTGTGAGCTCAGCTACTCCAGAAATAACAAACCCAGATGAAGACAAAAAGGTGGGATGAACTTGGCTGGGAAACAGGGAAATGTAAATGTCTCTTTTATTCCACTTGATGGGTGTTTGGTGGAGGGCAAGGGGAACCATGGGGCAGGGTCCCGGATGCTCAGATTCCTGCCACCAGACCTCCCCTTTCATGATGTAACCATGATGTATTAGTGATGTAGTTTGGGCGGGTGTAATATGGGGATGAGCAGCTAATAAAAGTTTGGGGGCTCTTTTGTACATGGCTTCCATCTTGTTCCACCTGGTGGCAGGTGGGAGTCCTGTCGCCACAGTCTTCAATCAAGACCAAGCCTACTGGCTGCTGTTTTGCTCTGGTATTCCTGGCTGGGGTCCTTGTTTTTTGTCCAAGGGAGCCCTCGGATTTCTCTGTTAACAGTTGGCATCACTGCCTCCCGCAGCAGGGAGTTCCACAGTGTAACAGATGTGCTGGCTAGCGCTGATAGGATTGGCAGCCCAAAACATCTGGATGGCCACCAGGCTGTGAGATGCCAGCCCTGATGGCTTCAGGTTGCTCAGTGAAACATCAAAGGCACAGGACCTTCCTTGGAGTTTTTTAAGCAGAGGTCGGTGACCCTCTGTCAGGGATTCTTCAGCTGAGATTCCTGTAAGGCAGGGGGCCAGACTGGATGTCCTTTGGGGGTACCTTCCAACTCTACAACTGTGATTCTATGGCCAAAGGAAAAAGCTCCCAGCACCAGATGTTGGCTTGGGGAGGAGAGGGGAGGCAGAGGAAGATGAGCGGAGGGAGGTGGGGGCGAGGAGAATTGTATTTCAACATTCAGTTCATAAGTTTAGTGCAGGGGTAGGCAACCTAAGGCCCAGGGGCTGGATCCAGCCCTGTTAAGTTGTGGGTGAACATATCAGACGACACAGTGATTCTTCAAACAGCTCTTGTTTATTCAGAGGCCAGAACAGAACTGAACTGAGGAGCTCAGTCAGCCTGCTTATATAGAGCTCCAGTACAACGTTACTGTAGCAACTTTCTAAACTATCCAATCACTGAACGTCACTTTCAACCTTTCATTTGCATAACTATCTACAGTATCCCCCTGCTGGCCCAGGGTGAGAACTTCAGTACATAACAGGCCCAATTGCCTTCTCAATCTGGCCCACGGACGGTCCGGGAATCAGCATGTTTTTACATGAGTAGAATGTGCCCTTTTATTTAAAATGCATCTCTGGGTTATTTGTGGGGCATAGGAATTCGTTCATTATTCTGCGTAATGCAGAACTAGCCAGATTGACAGGAAGAATTCGAGACCAGGATAAACAGAAGTTTCAAGAAAGTTGGAGTAAACTTATGGTGTACATAAAAGATCATTGTAAAGCCTTAAAAACACTGGCAGGACTGGAATAACTCTTACAACGTATGGCAGATATAAAGTTAAATAAATAGAATACGCAATATAAGAAAATATAAGATACTAATTGAAGGGGTAGAGGGAAGTCATAAGCTCGGCAGAGCTAAGGTAATTATGTGATATATGTGTATTACAACTGGATGTTTAAAGAAAATAATAAACATTTATTGGGGGAGAAAGGAATTTGTTCATTATTATTATTTTCCCCAAAAAATATAGTCCGGCCCCCCACAAGGTCTGAGGGACAGTGGACCGGCCCACGGCTGAAAAAGTTTGCTGACCCCTGGTTTAGTGTTCTAGCCAAAGGCCATGTCAAATTTGTATTCGGCAAGAGTATTAATAAAATTATACAGAACATCCACCCATAATCTTAAAATCCACAATATAAAAACTTGACTTTGCAGAGTTCCTGATCATTAAAATGCAGTTTCCCTTGTGCATCTCCGACAGCTCCAATTCTAACAATATTTCGCCTTTTTAAGATTTTCCAACATCCGCGAGTTAAGAGAGAGAGATGATGCCAGACACAGCAACAAATGTAATGTTGGATATTTACAATCCTCTCCTCGCATCTCTACACATCCCTACACCTAAATCTATCTTGATTTCAGATTAGACCTCCGAATCATCAGAACAATTTATAGCAATTTTATCTGACTCATTCTTTTCCTGTTGTTGTTTTTCCTAGCCTGTGCCAAGAGAACTGCTCCATCTGCCACAAAGCCATGATTGTCGCTCAAAAGAAACCGACCCATTTCTGCCAGCGTGTGTGAATAAATGTCTCAGAAATCGATCTCTTGGATAACCACAAGGTGCCTACAAGGTCTTTCCATAGTGGGCTGTATACAAATTTAATTAACAATAACAAATAAATACATTTATTAATGAATCAAATATATTTTATTATTATTAATAATAGCTGTCTCCTGATAGCCAAGGGTTAAAGAAAAATAGGGGTCGCCGCTGCAGCCCACGCCTCACTCGAGGGTCTTGCAGTCCTGCAAGGTCCACTTGTGGGTCAGGAGGAAAGCAAGAAACTGCAGCCAGGTATATAGAAAGCAGGGCAGCTAGTAAGCCTGATATTTATTTTGCTGATGTGGCTTTCGAAATTCCAGGACACTTGCTGTTGCTCAGAGAACCACTCCGGTTCACTCTGTGCATGAGGTCTTTGGTTTGAATTCCATTCACAAATACGGTAAGCTATTCCATTCATTAAACTATTTCCATTCACAAAACAGGACTTAGCCCGTGTCTCCACTTCACTGCCTGCTGTTTGACGGACAAGGTGATGACGAGCAGGTCGCTGTTGCGCAAGGGAATCACAGTTTCTTTAACTGTTCAAGGACAAGGGGATGCAATTTCCCCCACAAATGATTTTTATTAGTTTTCCAAATTATTACAAATCAAATCAATTTAATACAATTCGCTTGCTGTTAGACATTCTTCCAGCTGGCTGCTTTTCCTACCTTACAAACAGCACCTCCGTTACATCTTAAAATAAGTAATCCCTTTCACGCGTGTAGTCCTTCATGTACATTGTTGTTCCAGACCTGGTGTGCTAGGAGAGTTCATTACAGTGGTACCTCGGGTTACATACGCTTCAGGTTACAGATGCTTCAGGTTACATACGCTTCAGGTTACAGACTCCGCTAACCCAGAAATAGTGCTTCAGGTTAAGAACTTTGCTTCAGGATGAGAACAGAAATTGTGCAGCGGCGGCGCGGCGGCAGCAGGAGGCCCCATTAGCTAAAGTGGTGCTTCAGGTTAAGAACAGTTTCAGGTTAAGAACAGACCTCCGGAACGAATTAAGTACATAACCAGAGGTGCCACTGTACTATCTTCCATTATTCAGTTCTTTGCAGTGTTTACCTGGATGGTACAAGGTCACATTCTGTTCCTTCCGCTGTTTACAGACCAGCGTACGAGCTGCAGCCATAAATAACTCACAGAATGCATCTCCAGTCTCCGCCATTAAAATTCCGCTCTGGAGTTCTTCCTCGGCACACAGTTAGAAACAAGATTATTTTCTCAATTTCAGCCTCTTTGCCAGATCTGTTCGGCGGCAGTTTATTCTTTTTTCACTACGTTGCTCCATCAGCACTCCTGGTCCAGTCCAGGAATAATTTTAAATAAAGTCCATTCAGCCTCGGTGGGGGGTGGGGAGGGCATATTAAAGACTTGTTAAGTTCCTTACTGAGCATAAATCAAAAGCCTCCCCCCCTTTTCCGAAGTAACGAACAGAATAGCACAACAGCGGCTGCACACGTCTCTTTCATTTTACAAGGGAGGACACGAAGAAAAGAGACAATTTGAAACCCATAAGAAAGCACCAAGCCCCTTGCCCTCCCCTTCCTTACCAGGCTGTTGTCACGATTCTCAAGCTTCAGGGGAAAAACTATTCAGATACCTTCAAAGAGCCAAGCCCAGTCCTTTCGGCAGCTGACTGATTGCAGCCCCTTCGCATATGTCGGTCCAGGAGCGCCACTTGATTGATGCCAAGTGTCCGAATTATGGAGGAACAAGTGACAAACAATGTCGGGGACGGAGGCTCGTCCATGGCAGGGACACGCTCCCAGGTCGCGCCCGCTCTGCCTTTCAAGTAGGCAGACCCGGGCTTGAGCGGCGCAATGGGGTGCAGGGAGTGTAAAGGGATGTAAAACGGCAGTCAAGCACAACATTCCTACAGTGGATGTGTGAGGGGATGTTTTGCACCACTCAGGAGAAGACTTCCTGTTTCCTCCTGAGCTGGGACAGACTTGAAGAGGGTGCGGTCTGTTGTTCTAGTATGGAGGAGCCCATGGCCTCCATGTTCGGATCCGTGTCTCTTCTCCATTTTGGATGTTGCTGTGTGTTTGGAGAAGCGGCTGCTTAGTCGCAGTCACTTGGGACTCACTTCTTTATGGAATAGTTCCAGTTCTTATGTAACCCAAGCCTGCCTTCAGGGATAGGTCTGTCAACCTGAATGAATCTGTGAGTGAACTACTTTTATATTAACATTAGTCAGATTCTTGTGTTTATTCTTTTTAAGAGGGATTAGAAGGGTGGCGCTGTGGGTTAAACCACAGAGCCTAGGACTTGCCAATCAGAAGGTCGGCGGTTCGAATCCCCGCGACGGGGTGAGCTCCCGTTGCTCAGTCCCAGCTCCAGCCCACCTAGCAGTTAAAAAACACGTCAAAGTGAAGGAGATAAATAGGTACCGCTCCGGTGGGAAGGTCAACGGTGTTTCCGTGCGCTGCTCTGGTTGGCCAGAAGCAGCTTAGTCCTGCTGGCCACATGACCCGGAAGCTGGACGCCAGCTCCCTCGGCCAGTAAAGCGAGATGAGAGCCGCAACCCCAGAGTCGGTTGACTCCTCAGCTCGGGAGCAAGATGGCACCCTGGGGCCACCTTCCCACAAATGCTGCTGGGGGGGGGGTTGAACTCTGAAGTGGAGGTGGTGGCAGCAGCCCTTGCCCTCGTCTGGAGACCTCTCAGGCTTCCTGGGCAAAGCGAAGGGCGACGTTTGGGCTCTCCTCCGAGCTTTCATAAGCCCAACTTGGGATGGTCCTCGGACGGAGGCGTGTGGCAAACCCTGGAGTCACCGCCTGGGCTGGTGGGTATCCAATGTTCCTGCTTTTAGTTGACGCAATGCTTGCCTTGCCCAGGGCACTGGCAACCCGTGCCACGCCACTGCTCAGGGGAGCCCGTCTAGGTCAGCATCCTGTTCTCACAGTGGCCACCCAGATGCCCCAATGGGAAAACCACAAAAGCAGGATCTGAGCACAAGACCAGCTCTCCTGTCCTGCTGTTTCCAGAAGGTGGCATTCAGAAGTTTTGCTGCCTCTGACTGTGGTGACAGAGCAGAGCCACCTGGCTAGCAGCCCTCAATAGCCCCCTCCCACTCAATAATAATAATAATAATAATAACAACAACAACAATTTTTTATTTATATCCCGCCCTCCCCAGCCAAAGCCGGGCTCAGAGCGGCTAACAACAATAAAAAGTAACGCAGCATTCTAAAATCAATTCATTCTAAAATCAATTCAAAATCAAATTAATGGCAACCATTGGGCTAGAGTGCTATGAGGATTACAGAAGGAGAGAGGGGGTCAGACTGTGCCTTGGCCAAAGGCCTGGTGGAACAGCTCCATCTTGCAGGCCCTGCGGAAAGATGTCAAGTCCCGCAGGGCCCTAGTCTCTTGGGACAGAGCGTTCCACCAGATCGGGGTCACGGCCAAAAAGGCCCTGGCCCTGGTCAAGGCTAGTCTAATTTCCCTGGGGCCCGGGATCTTCAGAGTGTTTGCAGACCGTAAGGTCCTCCACGGGGCATACCAGGAGAGGCGGTCCCGTAGTACGAGGGTCCTAGGCCGCGTAGGGCTTTAAAGGTTAAAACCAGCACCATAAACCTGATCCTGTACTCCACCGGGAGCCAGTGCAGCTGGTATAGCACCGGGTGAATGTGATCCATGAACTGGCCCAGTCCTCTTTCAAAGCCATCTGAGCTGGTGGCCACCACTGCTTCTGGTGGAAGGGAGTTCCACAGTCTGCACTGCGTGAAGGGTTTTGTTTCATCTGCCCTGAGTCCTCCAAGATCCAGCTTCGTTCAATGTCTGCAGGTTCCACTGTTATGGCACGAGGTGCCAGGCAAAGTTTCGTAATTCTACTCTACCCCCCCTCCCCCGCCAGCTGGGAGGCCTGAGCCATGGGGCCTCCCACCCCACCCCACCCCTCTTCAACTTCCCCCTTTCCTCCCCCTGGGCTCAGGTCCAGTTGCACCATTGCCTCAGAGGAAGGAAGGAAGGAAGGAGGCTGGTTCTGTGGCAGTGAGTCAGGCGACTGGGGGCACCTCGACTGCCCCCTCCTTGCCCCCCCCGGCACTTTGCTTGTGTCACTGCAAAGGAGGAAGCGGAAACATCATCTGTAGCATTGCAAATACTTAAAAGCTGATGGGCATTTTGATGGCATCAGCAAGCATTGCAAGGGATCCTGAGAACAATATCTGGAGGGTACGGGGGGGGGGTGTCGTGGGTTGGCTCATTGTGGCAGGATCAGGCCAAAGAGGGATTCTTGAGCTGTGGTTCTGGCATTTGCAGGGGGCTGGACTAGATGGCTTTTGGGGTTCCCTTCCAGCTGTGCCGTTCTGTGTCCCTGAATCCCCTTCTCGCCTCGCAGGGGGTCCGGCAGGTGCCTGTTTGCCTGTTTCTTGCAAGAAGGGGTGATCTCTTTCTTGATTGAAAGTGCTTCTGAGAATCTGATCTTTTCCCTGCAGGACAGAAATAAAAACAGCCTAAGTGCGTGGCGCTGGGGGTTAAACCACAGAGCCTAGGGCTTGCAGATCAGAAGGTTGGCGGTTTGAATGGTAAAATCTGGGTGCGAGGCTGCTCTGCCACCCAGCTCGTCGGACTAAGTCCACGGGTCCCTGCAGAAGAAAATGAGCTCAGCCGGAGACAGGAGCAAACTGCAGAAGATCCAAGTTTATTGCGCAACAGGTTCAAGACGAGATTGAACAGCGAGAAAGGGGTGACATGAACTTTTGAAACTTCCCTCCATGTCCCAGAATACAGTGCAAAATACATCCCAGTTACATCATGAATACATTAAGAAGAGGTTGGGTTACACAGATTACATCATGAATACATTAGGAAGAGGTTGGGTTACACCAGATTAACATATGGAGGAGGGAGGGGGGAATATGCAGAGCTGGAGATATGCGCAGATAAGCACATCCTGAGAAGACAATGGTCCATGTATGCATAGTCTGTCACCTGGCATCGCCCGGAGGAAGGGCTTGGCAGAGCGATTTGACAGGATTAGGGTCTTGACACCTTGCTTGAGGGATTATGGAGGACAGGGGAGGTGTCATGGAGTCCTAGAGAAATTGAGCAAATTGGCACGTTGATTTTCTATGAATTTTATAGATTTTAGTCCCTTTTGATATTGGCAATTGTAAATAAATGGATATATTGTAGCGAAGAAGAAGGTGAAGAAGAAGACATGCCCCCCCCTTCCGTATCATGCCCACCTAGCAGTTCGAAAGCACGTCAAAGTGCAAGCAGATAAATAGGTACCACTCCGGCGGGAAGGTAAACGGTGTTTCCATGCGCTGCTCTGGTTCACCAGAAGCGGCTTAGTCATTCTGGCCACATAACCCGGAAGCTGTACGCCGGCTCCCTCGGCCAGTAAAGCGAGATGAGCGCCGCAACCCCAGAGTCGGCCACGACTGGACCTGATGGTCAGGGGTCCCTTTACCGTTTAAGAGAAAAATGAAGGAATAATCCCAAGAAGAAGAAAAAAAATGAAATATCCGGTTTCAAATGAAGCAGCATTAGCTGCGGAAATCCAAATGCCCACACGCGCAGACTCAGGGCAAAGGGGGCACCTTCACTGGGCAACAACATCAGTCAGTGTTGCGGCGTGAGAGCCAGCTCTGCAGGAGAGTCGAAAGGGACCCCCAGTGGTCATCTAGCTGAACCCCCACCATGCAGGAATCTCAGCGAAACCATTCCAGGCAGGTGGCCCTCCGACGTCTGCTTAAATATCTCCAATGAGGATGTCCATGGCCAAGGAGGCAGGAGCTCGCCTGGTGGGGCAGCCAGGAAGGTGGGGCCTCATCCATTGCTGGGCTGGGGGGCTCAGAGGCCTCCCAGATTTTCAGGCGAGCGACACCCCACTTCCTCCTCCTTCTCCGTTGCCTATCTGCTGACTGTGGCAACAGGACTTCCCTGTCAGATGGGCTCTGCTGTTGCGCAATCTGCCACCCGAATCTCCAGCGCTCAAGGGAGAAGAGGCTTGCTGGATTTGGCCGTGTGTGGCTCCTGCGACTGCAGCCGGGCTTCCGAGGGGGGTGGTCTTGTTCCTGCTCCCTGAAGCCACCAGAGACCCCCCAGCAGCAAAGGATATGATCCGCCAGGGACTGCTGCTGGTCCTGCTGGTCCTGGGCGGAGGTAAGTGAAAGGGCGAGGCAGCGGCAGGGAGGAAGGAAGGAAGCCTGGGGGGGGGGGGGGACAGAAGGGGAGCCCTCCTGGATCAGAACAAAGCGGCCCACCTAGTCCAGAATCCTGTTCTCACGGTGGCTGAAGGAAGCAGGTGTAATAAACTTAAATCTTCCCTTATTTCCTTATGGGGGACACAAGAGCCCTTAGAGAGTCCTTTGCAGGTTCTCCGTCAGTCGGAGAAAAGAACCGAGGCCAAGCAGAGAATACTGAGAAGCAAAGCAGCTAGTAAGCCTGATCTTTATTGAACTGTTGCAACAGGGTGCCCCCTTCACACGCAGGAGGAGGAGGAAGACCCCGAACCAAGGTGTGCCCGCCCTTATATAGACATTTTAAATTGCCCGCCCTGGAGTCCAAGACCACCCCCAGATACATCATACCTACATCACCGAAAGAGCGGTCTACAACAGAAATCTGAGTGCGTTGTTTACCTCCTGTCTGGCAGGATACCTGTTAATGCTCACTTGATTGGATACCCTGGGGAGCCTGGCCAGTCTTTTGTGGTGACAAATGCTTAGTTCCTGGGCCAGGTCACAGGCTCACCCTATTCATACACAGACATACCCTTAAGACAGGATTTGTGAAGGAAAAGACAATGGGGAGGCTTTTCCATTTGACTTTGACGGTTTTAGGGGCTCATATTTCCAAAGCTGGCTTCATGGGAGGGAGTCCTAGTCCAAATCTTGCTGCTCTTCCAATTCCCATCATCATCATCATCATCATCCCTGACCATTGGCCATCCTGGCTCCTAGGAAAGCAGGGCCCTCCCCTAGACCGAGTCTAGACCTTTGAGGTCCATCCAGTCCTTCTTCACACAGCACATACCATATTTTTCGCTCCATAAGACTCAGCTGACCATAAGACGCACCTAGTTTTTAGAGGAGGGAAACAAGGGAAAAAAATATTCTGAACGAAACAGTGGATGTATGATTTTTGTGGTTCATTCTGTGGCCACAGGCGTGTGATTTGAAGGTGATTTTGGGGTAGCCCAATGCGAAAATCCTGAGGATCCATGTGGATCCGTGCTTTGTAACCACATTTTTGTGCCATTGTGGCCCTACGAAACAGTGTGTGTGGGTGTGTTTTTGGTGCAGGCTGTAGCCAGGCAGCAGGCAGCTGCTGTGTGATCTGATGGTGAATTTGGGGTGACCCAATACAAAAATCCTGAGGATCCATGGGCTTTTACCTCCCCCCTCCCAGGCAGCTTCCTCTAGCCTCCCTTATCTCTCTCCTGATCCCGCCGATCAGCTGCTTCCTTTCAACACTCCTTTCCCTCTTGTTTGCCTTAGTGTCTTTTCCTTAGCTGGAGCAGTTTTTTGCTCCTCCTTTTCTTCTAATTTCTCTCCTCATTGATATAGTCTTCCTGTTTCCCCCCTTTGCAAGTTTTCTGTCTTTATCTCCCCCCTCCCAGGCAGCCTCCTTTATCGCTAGAGTCCCTTATCTCCCTCCCAATTGGCAAATGATCAGCGGCTTTGTTTTAACACCCACTTCCCTCTTTTTTAAAAAAGAAGCATGATCTGCTTTTTGCCCCTGGGCAATTTGGCTCCAGGGACCACGCATTCGCTCCATAAGACGCACAGACATTTCCCCTTACTTTTTAGGAAGAAAAAAGTGCGTCTTATGGAGCGAAAAATACGGGTAGTTAGACTGTGGAACTCCCTCCCACCGGAGGCAGGGATGGCCACTGACTTGGATGGCTTCAAAGCAAGACGAGACATATCCATGGCCCTGGTCTGCCTCCATTTGTCAGAGGCAGCGATGCTTCTGAAAGCCAGTTGGTGGAAACCGCAGGAGGGGAGAGCGGATCTTGTGTTCGAATCCTGCTTGTGGGTTTCTTATTGGGGCATCTGCTTGGCCCCTGTGAGGACAGGAGGCTGGACCACATGGGCTCCTGGTCTGAGCCTGCAGGGCTCTTGGTCTATGTTCTTGAATGATAAATTAGTCCCCTGATTTGCTGTCACAGGACACTTTCGGTTGTGTCCCTCAGAGCAGCCCCCGCTGACACGAAGGGAAAGGGCCGTGTGATGCCATTTCCTTCTCCCTGAAACCACCAAGAGCTTTTGCTACTTCCTTTCCAAAGCAGAAACCCACAAACTTCTGCCTTTTTGGGTCTGGGAAAGAGGAGGCTGAGCTATTGGCCATCTCCCAAGATCTCCCCATGGAAGAGGGAGCAGGCTTCTTTTCTCCTGCTCCTGGAGGGCAGGACTCGAACCCGTGGCTTCACCTCTTGAATTATTCTTATTCTTATTTACCCAAAACAGGGAGTACGGACTCATCCAAATCGCCACGTGGGGCAGCAGCTGGTGAGAGCAATGGGGCGTTTCAGAGATGCAAGCGCTTGGAACCCGACCCTTCGAGGTGGAACACATTTGTTAAAGGTAAAACAGCCTATATTGCCTGTTTTGTGATTTTAAATCTCTGCTGTGGCTCTATCACCAAAAGTAAAGGTAAAGGTAAAGGGACCCCTGACCATCAGGTCCAGTCGTGGCCGACTCTGGGGTTGCGGCGCTCATCTCGCTTTATTGGCCAAGGGAGGCGGCGCACAGCTTCCGGGTCATGTGGCCAGCAGGACTAAGCCGCTTCTGGCGAACCAGAGCAGCGCACGGAAACGCCATTTACCTTCCCGCCGGAGCGGAACCTATTTATCTACTTGCACTTTGACGTGCTTTCGAACTGCTAGGTTGGCAGGAGCAGGGACTGAGCAACGGGAGCTCACCCCGTCACGGGGATTCGAACCGCCGACCTTCTGATCAGCAAGCCCTAGGCTCTGGGGTTTAACCCACAGCGCCACCCACGTCCCCATAACCAAAAGTACTTTTTCCCAAACTTGGATTTATGCCTCCAGAAAAGTTTCCTTTTATCCATTAACCCAAATACTAAATTAAACAGTGTTTTCTCCTGTCTCTCCTTCTCTCTCTCTGTGTTCTGCTTCCTTGGCAGATTGTACCACTTGCCACCCGGAATACCACATCTGGCAACCTTGCCATCTCACGGCCAGGCCAAGGGAGTCCGTCACCCTGCCCTGCACCTTCAACTACACCTGGAAGGCTAAAGAGACGGCCCAGGTGTATTGGCGCTTAGGAAACTTTCACGGAGAGTTCCTCTTCAACCACACCCACGACCCCGCCCACAGGTACACCCGCCCGAACTACACAGGGCGGGTGTCTCTGGTCGGGGACCTGTCAAAGGGGCTCGAAGCGTCAATCCAGATTGAGAATCTGGGGGAGTCGGACTCCAATCTATATTTCTGCGGCGTCTCGGTAGAGACACTTCGTGAAGGTGTGAAGTATTGGCGAAACCTTGAGGGGACAAACCTCACGGTCACAGGTGAGCTGCCCCATCCTCAGGAGGACCCCTCTGTGCCTGGATCTCTCTTGGCCCTCTGCCCCACACCTTTCTCCGCAGCACCCCCCTTCTCCCCAGGGCTGGCCCTCCTTTCTTCTTGGTTCAAAGGAGTATGGGGTGTGTGTGTGTGTGTGGCCGTGGCGCCTGAGGCAGAGCAGAAAATGGGTGTCCACCCTCCCCCAGCTGAGGGGCCGCAGGGTACCCAAAGATATTTCAGCACCTGAGGCAGGGAGTTCCGCAAGTGATGCTCCTCCCAGGCTGCAGAAATAACACAAGAGGATGAGAGCATAGCCGCCTTCAAACATCTGAAGGGTTGCCCTGTGGAAAGTGGAGCAAGCCTGCTTCCTGGTGCCGCTCCGGAGGACAGGGCCCGATCCAGGAGTAAACATGAGGCAGAACGTCCTGAGAGTAAGAGCAGTTTGACAGTGGAACAGACTCACTCATGAGGTCTCTCCTTCCTTGGAGGTTTTAAATTTATTTTATTCTAAAATGTTTCTTTATTATTTCTTTTGGTAGTCCACTGGCAAACCGTTCTGCTTTGCACCCACAGAAATGACCTTTTTATACTGCAGGGAAGGAAGGCCTAAGACATAGTCTGTCATTTGGTAGCTACAACTCTTAAGTATTTTCCCTTCTTGAGTCTGGACTGTAACTTCTATTGGGATGCAAATACCTTCTTCAACTCCCTCTTGTCTATCCAGAGAAGGTAAATCGGTAGTTCCAATTCTCCCCACGACTCCCCACACTTCATCGCCAGGACTATGGATTATAGTTGCTGTACTTCCATGCCAGTTAGATGAGAGCCAAAAGCAAGTTTGTAATCCAGTAGCTGTGCCAGGGTGAGAAAAACTGCAGGTGGGTTTCTTAACATTATCCTCTGCCACAACCAGTTACTAAAGGTAAAGGTAAAGGGACCCCTGACCATGAGGTCCAGTCGCATGACTCTGGGGTTGCGGCGCTCATCTCGCTTTATTGGCCGAGGGAGCTGGTGTACAGCTTCTGGGTCATGTGGCCAGCATGACTAAGCCGCTTCTGGCGAACCAGAGCAGCGCATGGAAACTCCGTTTACCTTCCTGCTGGAGCGGTGCCTATTTATCTACTTGCACGTTGACGTGCTTTCGAACTGCTAGGTTGGCAGGAGCAGGGACCGAGCAACGGGAGCTCACTCCGTTGTGGGGATTCGAACCGCCGACCTTCTGATTGGCAAGCCCTAGGCTCTGTGGTTTAACCCACAGCGCCACCTGCAGCCCTTAACCAGTTACTACTGTAGGCAAAATATGATCAGCTTTCATTCCCAAAGCTTTGGACATCCAGCCCTTCACCCAATCCGGTTGGTGTACAGTGCTTAAAGGTTTCCATCTGCTAGAAAGGAGCCCTCAGCCCTGCCTTCCTTGAAGGTTTTTAAACTGAAGTCAGATGAGCACATGTCAAAGGGCCTTTGGCTGCGAGTCCTTCACTGCAGCGGGTTGGTCTGGATGACCTTTGGGGGTCCCCTCCAACCGTACGATTCTCTGTTTCTGCAAGATGTTGCCTCTTCTCGGGCGTCTGCCTCTCTCGGCCTAACGCTGACGCCCAACTCAGGGCGCAGGGAACTGTCTCCACCTGGGGGCTGCTAGGTGTGGGCCCCCCTCCTCAGAAGAAACGCCCTTGTGCCACTGCAGTGGGGAGGGTGCTTGTGGGTGCCCCTGCTTTTGCCTCAACCCCTGCTTTCTCTCCCCCCACAACCAGGTCCTCCAATGCCAACCCCCCCCAGCTTCAACCTCGTGGGTCTGGCGACCGGAGGGGCAGCCGCTGCCGCCGCTGTTGCTGTGGGCCTGCTGGCGTTCGTCGCCTGGAGAAAAGGTACGGGGGCTGTTTTCGGGGGGGGCAGGGAGAGGGCCGTGGCTGTGCCAGGGGCCGGCTCTCCCTCCGACCTGGCCCTCCAGGTGTGGCTTCTTCCCAGTGTGGTGATGGCTCCTGCATCTCACCTGCGGAGGCACTGGGCACCCCAGCCCTGCTGCCCTGTGAGGCTCAGCCTGGGCCAAACCGCTGCCCCCCCCCATTCTCCAGGGCTCTCCCCCACCAAGAGCTGCCCTCTCTGAAGGACATTTTCTCCTCTCTGTTCCTCCCCAGGTTGCTGCCCAAAGTGTGCCCCAAGGAGGTGAGTGCCTTTCCTGCCTCCTGCTGGTCTCCTTCCTAACTGGGGGAGGGGGGCTGACTGCGGCCCCAGATTGGCTCTGCCATGGCTGGTGACCAGTGGGCAGGACATCCTGTTAACGGAGAAATCTGAGTTCTCCCTTGGACAAAAAACAAGGACCCCAGCCAGGAATCCCAGAGCAAAACAGCAGCCAGTCGGCTTGGTCTTGATTGAAGACTGTCGCGACAGGACTCCCACCTGCCACCAGGTGGAACAAGATGGAAGCCCTGAACAAAAGAGAACCCAAACTTTTATTAGCTGCTCATCCCCATGTTGCACACCCCCCCAAACTACATCACTCATACATCATGAAAGGGGAGGTCTGGTGGCAGGAATCTGAGCATCCTGGACCCTGCCCCATGGCTCCCCTTGCCCTCCACCAAACACCCACCAAGTGGTACAAAATAGATATTTACGTTTTCCTGTTTCCCAGTCAAGTGAATCAGCCCTTTTGTCTCCATCTGGGTTTGTTATTTATGGAATGGCTACCTGTCTGGCACTCAGGTATCAGGAGGCCAGGGATTATCCCTCAGGCAGAGGGGCTGCTGAGGAGCTGAGCTCACAGGTCTAGATGAATTTCTGAAGTTTTCCCAGTGAGCCAGTATATAGGAACATTTGTCAGTGAATTCTTACATTTGGTATCGTGCAGCAAAGGCCCTTTGAATAGATAGGAAGAAACTATGACCAAGTGTTTTGTGGGGACAAGTCACCAAAGTCACAAAAGAGATTGTGCTGGTTTTGGTAGTGGGCTGCATGTGCATGATATCTGCTGGAGGGGCAACCCCCCCAACCTATACATAAATTCCTGCAGCAGCCCTGTCCTCCCTCTCTTATATCATAACAGCAATGCAATAATCTCTCATTCCATCTGTTGCTCACAGTTCGAATCCTGCTTGCGAATTCCTCATTCTATAACATTTCTCTAAATAGACCGAAAAAGGCTTCCTTTCATCCACAAAACAATCATCATTTGGTTCTCTTATTTTAAGCTGTTCGTTTTCTGATTCAACGCAGCCCATTCCTTTACTATTTATTCGTTCTTCTTAGGTAGGAATTTGTTCATCTTTCCATTTCTGGGTATAAGGAATTCCAGCTGCTGTAGTTACAGGCATAAAAAACCGTTTTAAGCCTGGTGGTGAAAATCCGCCTTTTTACTTTTACATCAGTTAGTCTTTTGAATTCAATCCTTCTTGCAAGGCACCCCCTACAGCCCCAGGGTGCTTCGAGGGGGGCACCCATGTGACCACCCACAACTTTTCTTGCAGGAGAGCTTCACCCCAGAGCAAGGAGACGCCAGAGGAGAAAGAATACGAGGAGTTTCCCATTGAGGGTGAGCTGGGGTGGAAAAGCAGATAAAGGGTAAAGGGACCCCTGACCATTAGGTCCAGTCACGGCCGACTCTGGAGTTGCGGCGCTCATCTCTCTGTAGTGGCTGAGGGAGCTGGCGTGCAGCTTCCGGGTCATGTGGCCAGCATGATTAAGCCACTTCTGGCGAAGTAGATAAATAGGTACCGCTCCGGCAGGAAGGTAAACGGCGTTTCCGTGCGCTGCTCTGGTTCGCCAGAAGCGGCTTAGTCCTGCTGGCCACATGACCCGGAAGCTGTACGCCGGCTCCCTCGGCCAATGAAGCGAGATGAGTGCCGCAACCCCAGAGTTGGCCATGACTGGACCTAACGGTCAGGACCCCTTTACCTTTAAGGTGCTACTGGACGTTCTTTATTTCTTTAATTTATTTCAACTGCCTCAGACCAGCACGGCTACCTACCTGAATCTCATAATGCTGTAACTCTGGGCATACCGTAAAGCAGAAAATTCAGGGCAGATAAAAGGAAGTTGCACCTTCGTGCAGCGTGAAGTTAAACTACGGAACTCCCTGCCACAGGAGGGGAGAGTTGCTCTTGTAGCCGGGCCCCGCTTGCAGGGTTCCCTTTGGATGCTGGACTAGATGGGCTGGTCTCTTGTGGCCTGGTGCAGGTAGCCAGGCTGTTCTGATGTTCTTGTGGAACCTCCATGCCCAGAGGCAGTCTACCTTGGTTCCTAGGTCCTTAGGGGTATTTGGCCACGGTGGGGACAGGGTCCTGGGCTTTTCCTCTGAGCAGTCGTCTCCTCTGCCCAGGGCCTGCCTGAGCTGCTCTGCCGCTGGAGGGAGGAGGAGGAGGAGAAGGGTGATATTCTGTTCCTCTTTCTAACCTGCGTTGTCCCCCCTCCCTCCTCCTCTTCCAGGTCCAAAAGCCCCCCCTCCCGCCTCCCCCCAGCCTCCTCCTCGCGCCCCACCGCCGCTTGCCCCCCCCAAAGACTCCGAAGGCCTCCTGTACGCCGACTTGAACTTGGCCGGAGGCAGAGGCAAGAAGAAGATGCCCGAGGGAGGAAGGGGCGAGGAGAGCACCTATGCCATCCTGCGCCACTGAGAGGGGGCAACGGACGACTGGGGGGGGGCACTTTCCTTGGCTGCCTCCAGCCCCCTCCTGCCCCCAGCCTCCTCCTCTTCTGCTTCCTTCTCCCTCTCCCAGGTGGGAGCGAGCGACCTCCCTTGCAGGATCGGGGCCCTGGGTGGATGGCTTTTTCTTCCATTTTTCAAACTTTAATAATAATAATAATAACAAACAGCTTTGGAAATAATAATAAATAATTCCAGTTGGTGGAAATCAGCAGTGAGGAGAGTTGCTGTTGTTGCTCTCTCAGGTCCTCCTCCTGTGAGGGCAGGATGAATCCCTGGTGCTTTTCTTGAGGCCAACAGAGAGCAGGGCGCCCAACCTCTCAAGGGAAAGGGGCGATTTTGGGGGCTAAAGCACCTTTCTACTTGCATAATAATAAAGTACCAACGGGTTCGTGTGTCTCCATTCCAAATATTTGCAGAGGCAAGGACTGACCCAATAGGGTGGCATTATGGGATGGACCGGTGGAGGGGGGGCAGGGGAGTCCTCCATGCGGGGGCACCTGCCTGGCCACTGAGGGAGAGGCAGGGGGCATCTTGGGCCTGATCCTGCTGCTGCTGCTCTCTTCCCACATTCAAGACACCACACCTCCCTCTGGGGCAGAGCCAGGTGGGGACACAGGTGGGCTGGTGGGGGGTGTCATGTGAAATCAGGGTAAAGGAGTGCCCCTGAGCACGTGCAAAGTGATTCCCTCGAGGCCGCGCCTGGGGTGGCTTCCTTTTTCGGTCTGTGTCCCCTTTAACTTGCTGGGAAGGGGGCGGAGGTTTCTAAGAGAGAGGCGGGAGGGCCAGGCCACCTGCCAGGGATTCGTCAGCTGCATTGCGGTGGGGCTGGACTAGATGGCCTTTGGGTTCCCTCTCAGCCCCACAATTCTAGGGTTCCTTAGGCCCCTGAGTAAAAGCGGCGTTTCAGCTTCCCAGCCCGCACAGGCTCGCCCTTCCTTGCCGCAACCCAGCCCAAAACAGCCTGTCCGCCTCCTCCCGGCGCTTTTACAGGCGCAAATCCAACCGGCGCAGCTTTTGCCCGGTGGGATGACGGCCTGCCAGGTGAAGCCTGGCCATTTGGGAGGCGGGCGGGGCCGCTGCCCGTCCAATGGGAGCCTGGGGGGCGAGGCGGGGCGGGACTCTGCCCCTGATAAGCCTGGTCTCCGGCGCGGGCGGCGTTTTCTGCCTCCGGTCTCTGCCCCGCGGCGCTCGCGATGCTGGTCCAGTTCGCCCCGCTGCGGCTGCCGCTGCGCCGCCGCCTCCAAACCGCCGCGGTGCTGCAGTGGGTCTTTTCCTTCCTGGCGCTGGGTGAGGTCTCTGGAAAGGGGGGCGGGGCTCCTCCTATGGGGCAAGAACCCAGGGCGCTGCTGCCCGGGGGGGGGGGGCGCCTTGGGAAGGGGCTGGTTTCGGGGGGCGCTGCCCGCAGGTGGCGAAGAGGCAGGTATTCATTTCGGGGCGGCGGGAGAAGAGACTTTCCTGTGCCTATTTCAGGGGGGGCTGCAGGATTTTCGCTTTTTGGGGGGCTGTGCAATTCCGGGGATTCTTTAACAAAAAAAGTCGAGGCGGGGAGAGTTTGGCGCCTCTCAAGGAGTTTGTGGGCTGCCTTGCTGGGCAGAAGGTGCGTTGCCTGGGGGGGGGGGTCCCTCCTCCTAGCTCCCCACTAGGAAAGGGGGCGACTCTGCCAGCTTGGTTGAAAGCAGCCTGCAGAATCCGCCCTGCTAAGAGGGTGTCGATTTGGAGGGAGCAGGTAATGAGTTTTGGGTTGGCTGCGCAGGTGGGTGGGAGGCTGGGAAAGGGGTCTCTTCTTCAGCATCCCATCAGCGTCTGCTCCAGAGCCAAGGCCGCAGCAGAGTGCCTCTGAGCATGTGCAGAGAGAGGTCCCTTTTGCTGTTGTTTGAGCAGGCATTCATTGGTACTTTCCTGCTTTGTATAGTTTAACTTTGCATACCGACCTTCAGGGATGGTTTGCAGCTTAAAAATGCAACGTTAAAAAATGCAAAATAAACAATAAGACAAAATAATAAACAAGAGCAAAGACAAAGAAAGACACCCCCCCTTATTTCAAAAGGTATTGGATGTTAACCAGCCAGAGGCAGAGGCTGCAATGGCAAGGCTGAGCTGAGGATATGGAGCATGCGCAGAGTGCCTTTCCTTTCACAGTGTGGGGCAATCCAGCCAGATGGGTGGGGTATAAATAATAAAATTATTTTCATCATATCATGTTCAAGAGAAACATTTTTATGTATCATGAAGGAGCAAACTGAACCTCCCTTGAATGGGACCCCAAGGGGTCATCCAGCCCAACCCCCTTCGAGGCAGGAATCGGCTGTGGTGGAGCAGGGGCTGGTCCCTTTCCCAGCAGCCAACCTCTCGGAGGGGCTTGTGGTGTGGGATTTGCAGGCATTGTATGTGTGTTGGTTTTCCTGGGTGGGGCGAACACTGAGGACTAGCCTCTTGAGGGCAGCTAACCTAACCCAGGCCTGCCTCTCTCCCCAGCGCAATGCTGCCTGGTCTTGTTCCTCGTCTTGCTCCTGGGAGACGGCTGGGTGCTGGCTGTCCTCTACGCCGCCTGGCTGTACCTGGACTGGGAGACTCCGGCCAGAGGGGGCCGTCGCTCCAACTGGGTCCGCAACTGGGCTGTGTGGCGCTACTTCCGAGACTACTTCCCCATGACGGTGAGCAGGGCGTGTGTGTGTGTGTGTGTGTGTGTGTGTGTCTTTGGGCTGTGAAATCTGAGGGCCCCCTTGGACAAAAAACAAGGACAGACCCCAGCCAGGAATCCCAGAGCAAAACAGCAGCCAGTCGGCTTGGTCTTGATTGAAGACTGTCGGACAGGACTCCCACCTGCCACCAGGTGGAACAAGATGGAAGCCCCCAACAAAAGAGAACCCAAACTTTTATTAGCTGCTGATCCCCATGTTAAGAGGGACACAGGTGGCACTGTGAGTTAAACCACAGAGCCTAGGGCTTGCCGATCAGAAGGTTGGTGGTTCGAATCCCCACGACAGGGTGAGCTCCCGTTGCTCTGTCCCTGCTCCTGCCAACCTAGCAGTTCGAAAGCACGTTAAATAGATAAATAGGTACCGCTCCGGCGGGAAGGTAAACGGTGTTTCCGTGCGATGCTCTGGTTCGCCAGAAGTGGCTTAGTCATGCTGGCCACATGACCCGGAAGTTGTACGCCAGCTCCCTCGGCCAGTAAAGCGAGATGAGTGCCGCAACCCCAGAGTCGTCCACAACTGGACCTAATGGTCAGGGGTCCCTTTACCTTTAATCCCCATGTTACATCCCCCCCAAACTACATCATGGTTACATCATGAAAGGGAAGGTCTGGTGGCAGGAATCTGAGCATCCTGGACCCTGCCCCATGGTTCCCCTTGCCCTCCACCAAACACCCATCAAGTGTAGCAAAAGAGATATTTACATTTCCCTGTTTCCCAGCCAGTTAATCCCACCCTTTTGTCTCCATCTGGGTTTGGTATTTCTGGAATGGCTACCTGTCTGGCACTCAGGTATCAGGAGGCCAGGGATTATCACTCAGGCAGAGGGGCTGCTGAGGAGCTGAGCTCACAGGTCTAGATGAATTTCTGAAGTTTTCCCAGTGAGCCAGTACATAGAGACATTTATCAGTGAATTCTTACATTTGGTATCGTGCAGCAGAGGCCCTTTGAACAGATAGGAAGAAACTGTGATGGGGGCAAATCACAAGTCACCAAAGTGATTGTGCTGATTTTGGTAGTGGGCTGCATGTGCATGATATCTGCTGGAGGGGCAACCCCCACCCCAACCTATACATAAATTCCTGCAACAGGGCCTGGCGTGGCCTGTGCCCTCCTTGGCAGGGTGGCGTGCAGAGAGTTGCAGCCCAGCTGGTGCCAGACGGCTTGCCCTACTTTCCTTTGGGGGCCAAGGACCTCCAGACACACTGCCCAGGCCTGTGCACTTCGATGCTGCAAACCCAGCGGTTAGACTTCACCCCAGGAGACAGAGAGATGCCAAAGGCAGGAGTCGGAAGGGGGACCCTCAAGGGACATCTAGCCCAACCCGCTTGCCTTGCAGGAATTGCAGCTAACGAATCCCTGATCCGGATGGCCAGCCAACCTCTGTTAAAAACCCTCTGAGGAAGGGGAGCCCACTGCCTTCTGGGTCAGTTGAACGCCTCTTGCAGACAGAAAGTTGTTGTATGTAACGTCAAATAAGAGAAATGTGTAACAAATTGAGAATTAATTGGTTTAAGTGATGAAAAGAGAGATATAATCTATATATCCTTCTGGCTTCTCCACATCCTCCTTTCGCCACTGCCTGCCTCCCCATGCCCTCGCCGGACTTCCCTCTCGGCCCCACTTGACCTGGGTACAAATTCCACCTCTGTTTGAACAGCAGGAGCAAACATTCAGGAAAAGCCACATTCCTTCTGTCCTGTGGAATAGAGAGGACTTCCCTGGAGTCCTTCGCAGACCCATAAAAGCTCTGCAGCCCCATGGGAGGGGGTCAGTGTCTGCCCCATATTGGAGAGGTGTGTGGGAGGCGGAGGCTGCAGTGGCAAGGCTGAGCTGAGACACGGAGCATGCGCAGAGTGCCTTTCCTTCCACAGTGTGGAGCCGGCGCTGCTGCAGCTGCCTCCTAATACCCTCTTTGCATTTGTAAGGAAACTCTGGAACTCCCTGCCTGTTGATATCAGCCAGGCGCTTTTGCAGGGCTCTTTTTGCCGAGAACATTTCTGCTTAGAAACAGATACTTAGACCGTGGTGCTGATAACGCCAAGGTTGCAGGTTCGATCCCTGAATGGCACATCTGCCTATTCCTGCATTGCAGGGGTTGGACTAGATGACCCTGGGGTCCCTTCCAACTGTTAGTCCAAGGCCTGTTTTTAGTTGATTGCTAGCTTTATTCTTCGATTGTTCTGAAGAGTTGCTTTTACCAGTACTTTTATTGACAGACTCTTTTCAATTTAGTCGGCCTTGGTGAAGATTTGACGTTTTCATCCCCAAAAAGTTTTTGATTTGAGTTTCTACTGAAATGAGGCTGCATTTTAACGTTGTGTTTTAATCCTGTTTTTATGCTGTATTTTAATCAATTGTTTTTTACATCTGGTGTTAGCTGCCCTGAGCCTGGTCTTGGCTGGGGAGGGCAGGGTATAAATAAAACTTATTATTATTATTATTATTATTCACCAATTGCTCTCAGGTTTTTTTTCTCTCTGTGTGTGCAATAAATAAAACCCCACAGGTGTGCTGCAGGTTTCCATCTGGGTTCAGAAGTGGGGCTCCCCAATGGGGCTGGCCCTGGGAACCAGAGAACGGCTTTGAGCCACAGAATTGTAGGGTTGCGTGGGACCCCCAAAGGTCATCCAGCCCAACCCTCTGCAGTGCAGGGGTCCAGTGACAACATCTGCGGGAAACACCCATATCCCTCTAGGGTAATTCATTGCGGGGGTCACCAAATAGCCCTCTCCCCCTACCACCTTCGGGTGCCCTCCCCTGCCCGAAAAGTGAGGGGTGTGTGTGTGTGAGGAATCTCCCCCGCCTCCCTTCTTGCCCCCTTGTGCTGCCTGCCCCCCATGTTTCCGGCTGCTTCCTCACCCTGCCCCCCTTTTTCTCCCCCCGCCCCACGGCAGCTGGTGAAGACGATGGATCTGGACCCCTCGCGCAACTACCTCTTCGGCTTCCACCCCCACGGAGTGCTGGTGGCTGGCGCCTTCGGGAACTTCTGCACAGAGGGCACCGGCTTCTCTGCCCTCTTCCCGGGACTCACCCCACACCTGCTGATGCTGCCCTTCTGGTTCAAGGTGCCCTTCTTCCGAGACTACATCATGAGCGGCGGTGAGAGGCTTGGGGGACCCGGGCAGGGGGCTGCCAGGCTTGGGTGGGTGGGTGTGGGGCAAGAGGAACCTCCACGTGCCATTATATGAACTGAATATTGCATACGGTTCTGGTCGCCTCTCCTTTAAAAGGATATCGAAGAGTTGGGAGATGTACAGAAGGAGATGATGGAGCGACTCTCCTATGAGGAAAGGGGGCGCTTTTAAGTTTAAAGACAAGAGGCTATGAAATCATGTGTGGCATGGAGAAGGTGGATATAATAATAATAATAATAATAATAATTAATAATGAATTGAATTGATTTTAAAATGAATTGATTTTAGAATGTGTTACTTTTATTTTTGTTAGCCGCTCTGAGCCCGGCTTCGGCTGGGGAGGGCGGGATATAAATAAAATTTTATTTATTATTATTATTATTATTACTACTATAATTTATTGTTTGTAGGCCACCCATCCGACTGGGTTGTCCCACCCACTCTGTGGGGGCTTAACAGCAAATAAAAACCTCACAGAGGAAAGTTTTCCTCCCTTTCTCAAAGCACTGGGACTTGCTGAATGTGGGAAGGTTCTGGACACAGAAAGGAAAGTCCTTCTTGTAGCACAGACTGTGGAACTCCCTGCCACAGGAGGCGGGGATGGCTACCAATTTCGTTGTCTTTAGAATTGTAGAGTTGGAAGGGAGCTCTTTCTCTCTCTCTCTCCCTGCAGGACTGGTTTCCTCGGACAAGAGCAGCGCCGCCTACCTCCTTGGCCACGAAGGTGGGGGCCAGGTGGCCGTGATCGCTGTTGGGGGGCCTCCCGAGTCGCTTGACGCCCGACCCGGAGCTCTGACCCTCCAGCTTCGCAACCGCAAGGGCTTCATCAAGATGGCGTTGCAGCACGGGTGAGTTTGGGGGCACAGGGGACCCCTGCTGTTGCTGCTCGCGACTTCCCCGTAGCGAAATCCCCGAGCCCTGATTAAGCCGGGCTCTCTTTAAATATAATGTTATTAAGGCTTTTCAACATGCAATTTAAAAAAACAAGAACGACAGAAGCAAAACAAAGATATCGGAAAGAGAACGAAGAGGAAAGAGAGAAAGGAATAATAACAGGAGAGAGGGAGGGAGAAGTAACAGTGTGTGGGGGGGGAAAGTATTTGATCCCCTGCGAAATTTGCCCTTCTGACGAAGAAATGACCCGCCCATCATTTTAATGGTAGGTTTATCGTAGCTGTGAAAGACAGAATAACAACAGGAAAACCCCCCAGAAACCCAGAAGACAAAAGTCAGAGATTGGTGTGCATTATAAATGAGTGAAATAAGTATTTGATCCCCTATCAACCAGCCAGATGTCAGGACTACCTGGTATCTTCACAAATACTTATTTCACTCATTATAACTCACATCAGTCTCTGACTTTTGTCTTCTGGGTTTCTGGGGTTTTTTCCTGTTGTTATTCTGTCTCTCACAGCTAAAATTAACCTACCGTTAAAATTATGGGCGGGTCATTTCTTCGTCAGAGGGCAAACGGGCGAATTTAGCAGGGAATCAAATATCCCCCCCCCCCCACTGTAAAAATGACTTGCAAGTATCCGCCCATCAGTTATTCCTGCAAAATTCCTCGTAATAATCTGACGTTCAATCCCGAGTAATGCCCAGATATTCCTCCCTCTGCTAGCTGACGCTTTCCCAATTTTAAATCCAGGCACCACAGGTTAATTCCTTTTCCTTCCCACCCAAAAGTCAAAAATCATTATTTATTGTAAGTGTCAGCCTTCATCTTCCTCCAGTCCCAACCTCACAACTTCACTGCCAGATTTAGAAAGAAATATTCACTCCTTATTCTTTATTCCTCATGAGTTTTTTTTGCTGCGTTTATAGAAAAAGACAGTGCTTAGGGAGTGCTCGCATTTTTGACTCAAGAAAACCACCATTTTATAGTTCAAATCAGGAAAAATAAATAAAGTAAATGGACAAAAGTACAAAGATTCACAAAATATTTAGGCGTATGCGTACCCCTGCGTACTATGGGCTACTTTTAAAATGAGGCTGCATTTGCATTTTAACCTGTATTTTAAATTGGCTTCCCCCCTCCTATTATGTTTTTACTGTAATTTTATTGGTGTTAGCCGCCCTGAGCCCGGCTCTGGCCGGGGAGGGCAGGGTATAAATAAAATTTATTATTATTATTAAAGCAGTGGAATAAGACCCATAGCTGTAACTGATTACGAATTATACCAGCAGGGCTCTTTTTATAGAACCTCCTGTTCCAAGAGCAGTCTATCAGGTTCCTAGATTTCTTAGGGGTGTTTGGCCACAGGCTTCTGGACTGGGTGCCCCCATCTTGCGCCCAATTGCTCGCTAACTCTCTCTGCCCCCCACTTCTCCCTCCCTCCCAGAGCTGCCCTGGTCCCCGTCTTCTCCTTTGGGGAGAACGAGCTCTTCAACCAGGTCTCCAACCCCCAGGGCTCCTTCATCCGGGCAGCGCAGGATCGCCTCCAGAAGGCCATGGGGCTGGCGCTGCCCCTCTTCCACGCCCGGGGAGTCTTCCAGTACAACGTTGGGCTCCTGCCGTTCCGGAGGCCCATCTATACCGTCGGTGGGTAGAGCGCGGGGGCAGCGGGGTGGGGTGGGGGTGTCTCCTAGGTGGGCTTGACCTGTTTGCCAGCAGAGCGGACTCCCTTGGAAAGTTGACAATCCGCCTGCCTGGAACTCTTTGGCTGCCATCTCTGCATTGCAGCGGGTTGGGCTAGATGGCCTCTGGGGGGTCCCACCCAACCCGCGTATGGTTCTTGCTTCTGCGACCTCAGAAGGCGGCGGGCTCTCCTTCACGGGAGGCTTTTAATCAGGAATTCTTTGGCTGTCGCTCCCTGCATTTGAGAGGGTTGGGCTGGATGACCTCCAGGGAACCCCTTCCGACTCTACAGTTCTGTGCAAAGCCATTTCTGGATGAGGCCGGTGGGGCCTCCCCTCCTAACCACCCAACCTGGGCCTCTTCTGCCTGCCCCACGGCACCTCTCATCTCTGCCCCACTTTGCTCCTGGGCTGATGCAACACATACACACCCCCAACGCTGACTTCTGTACCATCTCTGCCTTTTGCAACCCTCCCTCCCCTCTGGGCCTTCCTGGCAGCAGAGCTGTCGCGCTGGACTTTGGCCTTGGCAGAAGGGGGGGATTTCGGGCTGACTCAGCATGCTGCAACTCCCGGGGGGGGGGTCCCTCTTTGCAGAAGCCAAAAACCGGACCCTTTGACACCCCCCCTTTGATGGAGAATGGCTAACCCTCCGTTTGCCGCCTGCCTTTCCCAATCCCTGCCCAGACTTTTGGCTGCAAGCTTCCACATTTGTGACCCAAATGCTATGGGGGGGGGGAGCTGGTGAGTTTGCCTTGGAACCATAGAACTTTGGCATTGGGAGGGACCCCTAAAGGTCCTCTAGTCCAGCCCCCTTTCACAATGCTGGAGTCGTAGCGAAGGAATCCCTTGTCCCAGCACCCCTAAGCCTGGGGTGTGAGTGTGTGTATGTGGATTTTAGGGGGGGGGCAGTCAAGCACTTGGCTGTGCAGCTAGCATCCTTCAGGGCCGAATCCTGGCCTTGCCCGCTGAGTCCTGCTCTAACCACTTAGCCAGTGGAGGAGTTTGTTGTGACCCTAAAAGAAGCCGTCGGTGTGGGGGGGAGGTAACCCCAGGAGTCGGAATAATGGAACTGAATTGCAAGGGACCCCCAGGGGTCATCCAGACCAACCCCGTGCAATCTGGGGCAAGCCAAGCAGCTGGAATACTTCTTGGTGCAGAGTTCGAGCACTAACTCTCTCTCTCTCTGTCTCCCTCCCACAGTGGGGGCCCCGATCCTCGTGCCCAAGACCCCCCACCCGTCATCCGAGGCCATCGACGAGCTGCACAAAACTTACCTGGAGAAGCTCAACAAGCTCTTTGAGGAGAACAAGGCCGCGTACGGCCTCCCCGAAGACAGGCACCTCGAAATCGTGTAGGGCAGGGCGGGGGAGAGAAACCCACGGACACCCCCACCCCGAAAGAGATCCCCTGTGGGGAGCTTATTTCCTGGACTGCATGAAGAAGACTGATGAGGAACCATTCCAATACTGAGGGGTCCCCCAGTCTCAGGAGGGGGGCACCCTGATTTTTGACCCTTGAAGGATTCCAGGGAAGGAGGTGGAGGGGGGTGACGTGCACTTAAATGGGGGGGAGCTGGATAATGGCTGCTTTTATGAAAGCTGTATACTTGCCTCCTGGGAGGTAGTTCCCTGTTCTGTGCCTGCCTGAACCAAGGGGGATGTGGGTATGAAATGCTCCTTCAGCCTCTAAGCAGTTGCCCCCCCCCCCTTGTTCTCCTTCTGCAGAAGTAATAAAGGGCAGAATTGTCTTTTCAAAATGATGTGCGGTGCAGGGTTTGTGCAAAAGACAAAAGGTTGCCTGCCCTCCTTGCCCCCTTTACCTGGTTCAGAGATGGGCTGCCACCTCCTTCTCCTGCCCCCCCCCATTCCCGAAAAATGCACACAGCATGGAGAAAGCAGCAAGGCTGAAATAATTATTCGGGTAGCGCAGAGTTAAACTGCAGAACTCCCTTAGGCTGTCAATGGCTCCTAGCCAGGAGGGCTCTGGTCTGAATTCCAGAGCCTAAGAAGCACAAGGAGGGGAGATTTGTGGGTTTCTCAGCTGGCAGAGCACAATATTCCTAATCTCAGGGTCGTGGGTTTGAGCCCCATGTTGGGCAAAAGATTCCTGCCTTGCAGGGGGCTGGACTAGAGGACCGCCAAGGTCCCTTCTGATTCAGCCACTGTGGGGGGGCAGGATGCTGTGCTACGCGGGCCATTTGCCAGATTCAGCAGGCTCCTCTTGAGGAGGCCTTTTCTTGCAGCTGACCCTCCATGCCCAGGAACAGTCTACCTGTGAACACCAGAAAACGGGGGAGCCACAGTTGCAGAAGACTGGTGCCCTCAAGTCCTGCTTGCTGGCTTCTCTTTGGGGGCATATCATCGGCCCCTGGCCTCATCCTGCCTCTGTCTCTTTCCCCTCCTGTGCTTTGCGACAGTGGCATTGCTCCCCCTTCCAGAGCCTCGCTTGACCTATCCAGCTGTTCCAAAGGCCATGTCGGAAAATGGATCCCAGTAGAGGCTGTGGTGGCGGCCGCCGCCTCTAAGGCTAAGAATAACCTTTCTTGCCCAAGGGCTGGCTGGGGAGGGGTGGAGAGGCCAAAAGCAGATGATTATTGGCTGCATGCAGAGTCACGGAACTGTAGAGCTGGAAAGGGATCCCGGAGTCATCTAGTCCAACCCCCTGCAATGCAGGAATCGCAGCCGAGAGCTGAGCCAGAGCTGGCATCCTGCAGGCGGCTTAACACTTGCCCTGTGCAGCCAGCCACATCAGCTGCAGCTCTTCTACTCTGTTGGGTGAGGAGGAAGGCTGCTCTGCGCATGCTCAGAGGCATTCTTGGCTAAGCATCGCATGCGCTGAGCAAAGGTGGTCAAATAGGTTCAGGGGTGAAGCCCAACAGCTTGGGATGGGGGAAGACCCTCCCTCCTCCTTGCTATTTGATGCTGGCAAATACGTTTCAGGGTGCAAGTTGGAATGGGAGGGGGGAGTGTTTCATTCCCCAACCCCCCAGCTTCAACTGGACAAATGTGGATTTAATACACTAGATTTAAATGTTGCCAAAGGAGATTTAAAGCTCCCAGCTAGAACCCTCGGTGGAACCAAACAAGAATCATCAAATTGTAGAGTTGGAAGGGACCCCGAGGGTCATCTAGTCCAACCCCCTGCAATGCAGGAGTCGCAGGTGAAGAACCCTCTGGCAAGTGACCACCTGACCTCTGTTTAAAAGCCTCCAGAGAAGGAGAGTCCACCACTTCCTGAAGGAGTCCACCATCGAACGGCTCTTGCTGTTAGATAGTTTTTCCTGATATTTAGTCGGATTCCCCTTGTCATTTGGATCAGTTGAATTATGGAGCAGCAGCAGAGACTCTTCCCTTCCACCTTCATTGGGGACACATTCCTCTTCCTTTGCCAAGATTCTTCGCCGGAGGGCGGAATTGGAGAGAGTTGTGCAAAGAGAGATTTGCCTCCACATCCTGAGAGCCACCCAACGGGTGCTGGTGATGAAACGCTCTATCTGCCGTGGGGAGCAGAAAAAAACACCCCCAGCCCCCCTCTAGAGACTTGCGCTGCCTCAAGGTTCGCTCATCGGTCAGATTAAGATGAGAGGCAGCCACTGGGTTAAGTAAACACAAAGAGGATGCTAAGCCTGAGGTCAAAGACCAGGCAATAAATCACACCGGTCAAAGACGGGAGTTTACTCTTTATTAGCAGAGCCACTGTTTGTCGGGAGTCAGACCTCATGAGCACAGCCCCTCAACCCCAGTAGGTCTTGCCCCATGGATCAGTTGCCAAAACTGAAAATCCTTGCCTCCCCACAGCCACCTACCGTATTTTTCGCTCTATAGGACCCACTTTTTCCCCTCCAAAAATGAAGGGGAAATGTGTGTGCGTCCTATGGGGCGAATGCAGGCTTTCGCTGAAGCCTGGAGAGCGAGAGGCGTCGGTGCGCACCGACACCTCTCGCTCTCCAGGCTCCAGGAAGCTATCTGCAAGCCTTGCGTGCCCGGGGGAACTCCCCCCGGGTGCGCAAGGCTTGCGGGCGGCAGCCTGCAGCGCGGAGCACGGGGTGCCCTCCGGAGGACGCCCCGTGCTTCGCGCATGTGTCCGCAAGCCTTGCCACCCGGGGGATCTGCCCCGGGAGCGCAAGGCTTGCGGGCGGCAGCCTGCAGCGTGGAGCACGGGGCGCCCTCCGGAGGACGCCCCGTGCTTCGCGCATGTGTCCGCATATTAATATTCTCTGCCATAGACTCCCCTTGCTCACAAAGCCCAGTCACCCCTTCTGCTTCCACCACCACCTCTTCTCTGTCTTTTCCCTCTGGCCACTCATCGCCATCCCACTCCCTGGGGGGCTCTGAGCCTTCTTCCCATGGGGGGGGTCTTCCAGGTGCCGCAACAGGGTTCCTACTTCCAGCAACAAGAGGAGAGAGACCCCCTGTTGTAAGAAAATTCTGGCTGGCTTTTACAGCCCATCTCCCCATCCAAGGGAATTTGCGTCCATCAAGGTCAGCTGTCGGTGGGAGATATACCTACATGGAAGTCCCCACAAAGGAAGAATGGATACAAAAACTTATGGAATATGGAAGAATAAGAAATCAAGATAAGAAACCTTTTATAGAAGAATGGAAATGGTTTACTGAATATTTACAGATAAATTGCAAACAGATAAAAACATTAGCAGGATTGTTGTAATGACCTGCAGTTTGAGAAGAGTATATATATTTAAAATAGGTGGGCAAATTAAATGAATTTGCATATGCAGAAGGTATAATAATAATAATAATAATAGTTTTAAGGAACCGCATAAAGAGGGGGAAGGAAGTTTTGATTCCCCCCCCCATGGTAAAACTTTATTGGTTTAAAATACAAATACAGATAATCTACAACGAAGGAAGTCAAGTTTTGAAATGTTAAAATGATTGTGAAATTAAGGAAATGTATAAACCTGAAAAGGACACAAACTATTGATCTTTATTGGCCTGGTAGCGGTGTCTCCCCACCAAATTGCGAGGTGAGGAGGGACGCCCACAAAGGTGTGTAACACCTTTTAAAACCTCAGAAAGCATCCCCCCATATTTGGCAGAAAGGCCACCCCAAACCATAACAAAATGTCACGGAAGGAAGAACTGGCCAGCAAAATTTGAGGGCCTGACTTCCCACCTGTCCATTAGGATCCTTGATAATGGTCCTTCCTAGTACATCCTTTAGGAATGGCGAAAGCACTGTGGCCCCAGAGATGATTGCCACCCCAGTCATTCCTGCTTTGCAAGTCTGCTCTATTTTTGGCAAGCACCTGTCAGACAGGTGATCCATCCAGGAGCTCCTGTCTCCCAGGAGAGAGAGGGTCTTCTAGATTCAGCAAACAACGCTTCATTTAGACACAAGCTGGAAATGGAGTAATAATTGACCCCTTGCTGGCTGACGGATAAGGTGTCAGCAAGCACCATTTTGTAAGGCTGCAGTAGCAGCAGGAGCTCCTGTAGGGGCCACTCTTGCAAAGGAAAAATATGGTCATTTTAAACTTTAAAGGGGATGTCATGTTTTGGTGCTTGGGGACGTGTGATAATGCACTTAGGTTCCTGCATTTATTTTTTGGGACTTCAATTTCTTATTCCTGTACACTTTTCACCCAGCCGTTATTGAACCCCCCCCAAAAAAGTGGGAGAAATGTAATAGAAAAAGGAGAAATTTGAGTGCCAATGTCTCTGGGCTGCTTCTCGCATTTTGATGCCTATTTGCATTTCCTTTTGAAATTTCAATTCCTGAAACCAGGTCACAGGCTCACCCTATTTATACAAAAATACACCCTTAAGACAGGTAAGCAAAAGACAGAGCAGGGATCCTCAAACTTTTTAAACAGGGGGCCAGTTCACTGTCCCTGAGACACTATTGAGGGCCAGACTGTAATTTTTAGAAATGAACGAATTCCTATGCACACTGCACATATCTTATTTGTAGTGCACTAAAAACAGGAAAAATACAAAATTTAAAATGAACAATTTTAATCAATATAAACTTATATTTCAATGGAAATTATGGGCCTGCTTTTGGCTAATGAGATAGTGTCCGGTTCCATTTCTGTCACTGCTAGTCATAGCAGGTGCTGCAAGCGTCCATCAGTTAGTCTGGGTCCGGTTGGGGATTTTAGATGTTTCATTCGGGAAAAAGTTTGTTCACAGACATAGGTGCTGCCAAAGATGGTTGTAAATTTGAGGGCATGATTCCTGAGATTCAGATGTCTCAGAGGTGAGATGCATAGAAATTAGTGAGCCTGCTTGATTTGAATGCGTCTTTCAGAGAGTCACAATTCTGTAGTTCGATCAATTCCACTTCATAAATTGGATCAGCAGTTTCAAAGTCAATGAAAATGGGTTTCGGGAAAGCTGTATGCCCTGCTCATGGATGTGAAGCTCTTTAAATCGAGTTTCAAACTCCTTTTGCAACATTTCCAGTAAATCCACACGTTTCGTGGGGAGATGGCAGAAGTTTTCCTCCTTCACTTGTTTAAAGAGGTCTAATTTTGCTTGAAACGCTTTCACAAGTGAAAACATATCACTGATGAGCTTTCCCTTTCCTTGAGGCTGAACACTGGAAACTGTTCAGTAGCTCCGTTATGTCTATCAGAAAGGCAAGGTGCCACTTCCATTCTGCCGACATGGGGATCCAGGGCACAGTTCGAAAATGGTTACGCTCCTTTCTCTCAGGTCGGGGACAGAGGGTGCCGCTAGGGAGGGAGTTGTTGCCGCAGCACTCCTTGGTGTGTCGAGTCCCGCAGGGCGCAATCCTTTCCCCAATGCTTTTTAATATCTTTATGCACCCCCTTGCCCAGACTGTCTGGAGCTTTGGGCTGGGTTGTCATCAATATGCTGATGACACCCAGCTTTATCTGTTGATGGACAGCTGCCCTGACTCGGCCCCAGACACACTGACCAGATGCTTGGAAGCTGTGGCTGGATGGTTGCATGGGAACCGGTTGAAGTTAAATCCTTCAAAGACAGAAGTCCTCCGGCTGAGTCGGGGTGACTTGGGGTTGGGGGGCCAAATCCCATCTCTTGCGGGGGCACAATTAGTGCCAGCGCCTTCTGTCAAGAGCTTGGGTGTAACCTTCAATGCCTCTCTTTCCATGGAGGCACAGGTTGCAGCCATAGGAAAGGTGGCATTTTCCCATCTCTGCCGTATTAAACAGTTGGTCCCTTACCTTTCCCACCCTGATCTGACCACAGTGATCCAGGCGACGGTTACATTCAGGCTTGATTATTGTAACTCGCTCTACGTGGGGCTGCCCTTGAAGCTGACCCAGAAACTCCAGCGGGAGCAGAATGCCACAGCGAGGCTCCTTACGGGGTCCTTGCCGCAGGATCACATTCACCCGGTGCTATACCAGCTGCACTGGCTCCCGGTGGAGTACAGGGTCAGGTTGAAGGTGCTGGTTTTGACCTTTCAAGCCCTATGCAGCCTAGGACCCACGTACCTACAGGGTATATATAAAATTTATTATTTTCATTATTATCTTTGAGCTCTAGTAAGTCTTTGTTTTTCATAAGCATAAAATCAGAAACATGCGGAAGTAAGTAATAAAAGTGTTTCAAAACTCTCCCTTTACTCAGCCAAAGGACTTCTGTGTGGTATGGAATATCTTCATGATCAACATTTAACTGAGACAGAAATTCCTGAAACTAACTGTGGTTTAGTGCATAAGCTCTAATGAAGTTAACACAAGATACGACAGTTTTCATGACAGAGTCAAACTTCAGTGATTTTTTACAACACAGTGCTTGTTGGTGGATGAGGCAGTGTATGGCTATTGCGTGTGAATGGTTGTGTTTGTCCATCTCTTGGTTAATGTGTACAACCACTCCTCTCATAGACCCCACCATGCTAGGAGCACCATCAGTTGTCACACTGGCAAGTTTAGCCCAGTCCAGCTCCAAATCACGCAGTTTGGCAAACTTTTTCAAAGATATCCTCTCCTGTTGTTGTTCCCTTAATGCTTTGCAATGCAGCAAACTCCTCTGTGACTTCTAAATTATCATTTGTCCCACAAATGAAAATTAGTTGTGCAGAATCATGAACATCAGTGCTTTCGTCAAGTACCAATGAAAAATAAAGGTTTTTTTGAGTTTTGCCAATGTTGATGCAAATTTCCCCCCATTTCGTCAATCCTACATGTAACTATACATCCTGAAAGACTCAATGTACCAAATAAATCAGTCTTCTCTGGACACATCTCTTTGGAAGCAAAAAGAATGCATTCTTTAACAAATTCTCCCTCTACGAAGGGTCTGCCAGTGCATGCTATGAGCTTGGCAGCTTGAAAACTTGCTCGCAATGATGATTTATTTCGCTGCTCTTGCTTCACAAAAGTATTTTGCTGAGTTGTCAATCCATATTTCAGTTTCAATATTTCAGAATCAATTCTTCTTCTTCTTTTTGACATAATGATTTCCTAGGGATTGAAAATTGCTATTAGTAAAATACCAATAAACAGAGCTACAAAAACAATGTAACGGGAGTAATGACTAAAATAAAAGATGTCAGCACTGAGCAATAATGCAAATGGTCAGTGCTCACGCTGTATTTTCATTATTTCAAACGGGATGGATCTAGTTCCAAATATATCTTGCAATGTTAGTGATAATGCACATTATCTGGAGGAGAGATGCCTCAGCAGCTGCCCACCTCAATCCTGAGGGGCGGCGGAATGAGGCTCCCCAGGTCCAGAATGGGCACTTCCCTGTTCCACCTCAGAGTGCAATGGCTGAAAAGGGAAAGTGGGGGGCGGCCAACCTTCCCCACACAGCTGCCTCACCTGAGTTGCTCACCTCGTGCAGTGCAGCTGAAGGAACTCTCAGCCATGGACTGTAGAGAATGCAAAAGCGCTGGCCTGCCTGCTGCACGTGCACAGGATCACATCATCCCTCTCTTGCATGTGCACCGCTCCCCCTCCCCGCAACCAACCAACCACTTGTGGTATCAATAGACACCAGATGCAGAGGTCGCGCACGGGACGCCATACAGTGGTACCTCGGGTTAAGTATTTAATTCGTTCCGGAGGTCTGTTCTTAACCTGAAACTGTTCTTAACCTGAAGCACCATTTAGCTAATGGGGCCTCCAGCTGCCACCGCGCCGCTGGAGCACAATTTCTGTTCTCATCCTGAAGCAAAGTTCTTAACCCCAGGTACTATTTCTGGGTTAGCGGAGTCTGTAACCTGAAGCCTATGTAACCCGAGGTACCACTGTACTTCCTTTTGCCATAGACCCGTTAGACAGCGGTGGGTTCTGCAATTGCTGGGCAGGCCGGGTTCAGGATCCTGGTGGGCCAGATCTGGCCCACAGTCATAGTTTGAGGACCCCTGTAGTACACCAACCCATGTGGTTGCAAGGAAGAGTGAAGCTGCTAGGGAAGTGCATATAACACACCAGTTCTTTCCCACACGTTCCTTGAATCAGAGAAAGTGTTGTCTGTACAACAGTGTGTCCAAGTAAACATATGGAATATGCCAGGAATAACAACCCAGTAATTTTGAAGTTTGAAAAGAGGCTGATTTAACTAAGCACTGGCATGAGATTAGTCTTTGGAGCAAACTACACATTATGCCACTGCTTTGTGGGGGACCCTCCCTTATCCACTGCTCAGGTGTCTGCGCCAATTTACTTTTTTAAAAAAGCATTCAGGCAATTGTTAATTTAATCATGTCGTTTGGTCCTTTGCTCTTTGTTACCCACATTGTGAAAATAGTGCCTTCAGTACGCTGAAGCGTTAAGTCTTCATACAGACAGGAGCTTTTAAAATAAAAAATTGTTCAGTAGCACTTTATAGACCAACTAAGTTTGTTCTGGTATAAGGTGCTACTGGACAATTTTTTATTTTAGTTTTTATTTCCACCGCTTCAGACCAACACGGCTACCTACCTGAATCTGCAATCATGGAAGGAGCTTTCAAAAAACTTAAAATGAACACTAAGAAGCTACACAAACGACTTTCAAGGAGCCACAGGCAGACAAACCTAGAGATGTCCCACATACAGCAAACCCACTAGGAACCATTCCTAGCATAGGAAAAAGCTGCAAGGGGGGGGGGGGGATTTGATTTATGCCTTCTCTGACACCACATTCATTAGCAACCAAAATGAACGGGCAACACTGAAGGCAAGATGACACAAAGGAACCGGAACCAAGCAAGCAGGGAAAGACCTCCACCTGCATGCCTATACACAGCTTACCTACATTACGGAGCCGGATACATTATGCGCAGGGGAAGGAGGAAATGTGCACAGGAACTAGCATTTCCTGCAGCTCAGCATACTGCATTTTAATAAGCCTGGCTGTTTCTAAGGGGCCTGCTCTATGGCTTCTTTCTCACAAACCCTCATCCTGCATACCTGAAGGAGCGTCTCCACCCCCATCGTCCAGCCTGGACACTGAGGTCCAGCGCTGAGGGCCTTCTGGCGGTTCCCTCACTGCGAGAAGCCAAGTTACAGGGAACCAGGCAGAGGGCCTTCTCGGTGGTGGCTCCCGCACTGTGGAACACCCTCCCACCAGATGTCAAAGAGAACAACAACTACCAGACTTTTAGAAGACATCTGAAGGCAGCCCTGTTCAGGGAAGCTTTTAATGTATTACAATATTTTAATATTTTGTTGGAAGCCGCCCAGAGTGGCTGGGGAAGCCCAGCCAGATGGGTGGGGTATAAATTATTATTATTATTAATTATTATTATTATTATTACCTCCACTCTTTCCTCTCTAGGGAAAAAAACAATGGGTGCGTTTGCAAAACATCCCTGCTCCCCCTGGAAGAGTGACGGGGTGGTGGTTGCTGGCCTGCCCCGTCCAGCCCAACCCCCCCCGCCTCCTCGTGAGGAGGCGCCCCCCCTGGGCCGCCATTGCCGGCCTCCGCGCCCCCCCCCCGACCACGCGGGAAGAGGCCCATTCTCGCGAGAGGCCGGGCTCCCTCAGGTATTTCTCCTACCTCGGCGTCCCTGCGCTTCTCCGCGCGGAGCCCCCGCCCCTCCCGCCGCCAGAGGCCTTCGAAGGAAGCGCCTTCTTCCCCCTCAGCGGCGGCGCCTTGAAAGGCCGGGACAGACCATCTCCGCGGAGCGGGGGGGGGGAGACAGCGCGGAGCCCGGGATTCTTCCGAGGGAGAGACGAGCCGGCGGAGGCTGCGGGAATCCGGCTCCCTTCGCTCCCCCTCCAGGCCCGCGCCTCGCCTCGCCCTTCTGCTTCCCGCCTCCCCTCTCAGCCCCATCTCCCCCCCCGCCTTACTCACTTGGTCGGCTCCGCCGCTCTTCCCGCGCTTTTCTCCCTCAACCGCCACTTCCCTCGCGCCCTTCTTCCGCTTCCGGCCGCTTCTTACAGCCTCCGCTCCGGGCCAAACCATTGCCGGGGGTGCGGGGGGAGAGAGAGGGAGAGAAGACCAGGCCAGGCCGCGCCATTCCTTGATTTCTTCAGGAACCCGTCGTGGCCCAGGCGGGCTTCCAAGGCCTGGCATAGATACCGAAGGCGCACCCGGCTCACTGGTCGAAACAGGAGGACGTGGAATGTACCAAGTGTGCTTCTCCCCCCCTTCCTCCCTCTTGGCGCTGCTCTCATTCCAACCCTAGAGCTGGACCCTAGAGCTAGCAGCGCAGAGGAGCGCAGCAAGATGCACGTGGGGATGCCGCGGGTTCGATCCTGGACCTTGAGGCTGCACCACACCTGGAAGGGTTAATGATCACGTGTTGTCCTTTTCTGCTTCTTTGGGGATTTCAGCAGATTCCCGGCGGGAGCCACAGAGGATGAAAGGATGAAAGTTCCTGCAGATGTGCAGGCTCTCTTTTATTTTGAGATGCTCCGAAACACACCAAACGGGGCCTGGAGCTTCTGCTGCGCGGTTGCCTTCCTTTGCCATCGACCGTCCTAAAGCAAGAAAAAGAAGTGGCTTAGGAATAGACAAGAGAAACAAGTTGCTATGCGATATTATAGAACTACTGGTTACACTGGATCTTGTGTAGTAGTAGTAGTAATAATAATTAATAATAATATATTTATATCCCGCCCATCTGGCTGGGTTTCCCCAGCCACTCTGGGCGGCCTCCAACAAAATATTAAAACACAACAACCTATTAAACATTAAAAACTTCCCTGAACAGGGCTACCTTCAGATGTCTTCCAAAAGTCTGATAGTTCTTTTTCTCTTTGACATCTGGTGGGAGGGCATTCCACAATAATAATGATGATGATGATGATGATGATTTATTTGTACCCTGCCCATCTCGCTGGGTCTCCCCAGCCACTTTGGGCGGCTTCCAACAAAGATTAAAAATACATTAAAATGTCACACATTTAAAACTTCAGATGTCTTCTAAAAGTCAGGTAGTTTTTTATTTCCTTGACATCTGATGGGATGGCGTTCCACAGGGCGGGTGCCTGCACCAAGAAGGCCCTCTGCCTGGTTCCCTCTAACCTCACTTGTCGCAGGGAGGGAACCGCCAGAAGGCTCTTGAAGTTGGACCTCAGTGTCCGGGCTGAGCAATGGGGGTGGAGACGTTCCTTCAGGGATACTGGGCCTTTGACGCCATTTACGGTTTTCAAGGTCAGCACCAACACTCTGAATTGTGCTCGGAAACATACTGGGAGCCAATGTAGGTCTTTCAAGACCGGTGTTATGTGGTCTCAGCGGCCGCCCCCAGTCACCAGTCTAGCTGCCGCATTCTGGATTAGTTGTAGTTTCTGGGTCGCCTTCAAAGGTAGCCCCAGGTAGAGCGCATTGCAGTAGTCCAAGTGGGAGATAACTAGAGCATGCACCACTCTGGCCAGACAGTCTGCAGGCAGGGAGGGTCTCATCCTGCGTCCCAGATGAAGCTGGTCCTTGAGAATAAGCCCAATTACACATAAACAGGGTCAGTTTGGCTTTAGGTCTTTATCTTTGCTCCTTTCAGGGTGTCTGGCAAAGGCCTCTGGGCATGCTGAGAGGTACTCTGCTTTTTAAAACTTTTTAATACATGCAGAGAGCATTTTGCTCAGGGCCCTTCTCTTTCCCCAGCAAAAGGCAGAGCTTGCCAGCAAAACTCCATAAAGGGAGCCCACTGACTGAATTCCTATATTAGATGCTCTAAGCTACTTTTTGGTATGAGTAATTCACAACCGACCACTTCATTTATCAATGAAATGCTTGTTTTATGTTTAGGAAATACAACCGGACAGCTGTCGCTATTCAATGTACAGTGATACCTTGGGTTAAGTACTTAATTCGTTCCGGAGGTCCGTACTTAACCTGAAACTGTTCTTAACCTGAAGCACCACTTTAGCTAATGGGGCCTCCTGCTGCCGCTGCGCCGCTGGAGCACCATTTCTGTTCTCATCCTGAAGCAAAGTTCTTAACCTGAAGCACTATTTCTGGGTTAGCGGAGTGTGTAACCTGAAGCGTCTGTAACCTGAAGCACATGTAACCCGAGGTACCACTGTATCGTTCTTCTTACGAAGGTGCAGGAAGAAAACAGAGAAAGCATGTTGGTATCAGTGGATGTGAAAAATAAGCCTGTTTGGCTGACTTTGGTTAAACAGAGCACACATTCAAGATATTCCCTTTGGGCTTTCCCCATTTCCTTCCTCCTTGCGAGGAATATTTGAGGTCAATTTGGGAGAGTCGAAATGGCTTCAGGATTGCTCTCCTGTTCTATTTCAGACACCTGGTTTATATACTAATGTATGTGTTTGCCTTTTACTTTATGAGCATTTATATTTGAGACCTTAGAATTCTTACAACAGTACCCTCGCCTTGAAACCCTAAAAGTGGCAGGTGGCTGTCCGTCCCCCCCCCGCTCAGCCTCTCCTACAACCGCCCCCCCTCCATGGCAGCCATTTTGTGACCGGCACCCATGGCACCCCCCCCCCCCCCCGGGGGACCTGCCTGGACCCCACCTCACCAGCCGGGAGCATATGGGGCAATGGCCCTGAGAGGGGAGGAAGAGACTTGCTAGGATAGACCGGGCCCAACAAAAGCAGGTTCCCATGAGGTCAACACTGTAACAGGGAACACTGGTGACTCATGAATCCTGAGGTACGGGCCTAAGATAACCCCCCGGGCAGGCTAGAAATATACCCCCCATGACCATTTGCTAATCCCATAGCTGCTAGACAGTATCCCATCCCACGCCTAGCGGCAGAAGGGGTCCGGTTCCAGATTCTTCTTTGCTTTCCCCTTCGTTAACAAACAAACACAGTGCACCCCCACTGTCCCAGAAACTGGATAATCCTTTGCTGAATGGTTGGCAATACTTTGTCTCTAGTAATCATTTTGTGTGGGAAGACTACGGCCCTGATGCAACAGTGGTTGTTCAGCATACGGAATAAGGTTTCTACAAATGATTCAATCTCATCTGTTCTTGCTAAAGGCTGTTGCAGCAACAGCACAGGACGGCTTGTCTCTTAAGACTGTTTCTCAATTCATGCAAGTAGTAGGACATCAGTTTTGCGTGCTTATCTCTTGGCTGCTATGTCATCATCCTGAACTGCTGGTCATACTGCCTGGAGCTAATTAGGAGCTACAGATGTTGTAAATAAAAAATATGCCCTTTTCCCTTATGGGGTATCCAAGAGCCCATATAGAGTCTTTACATAGGTTCCCTATTGGTAGGAGAAAATAACAGAGGCCAACCAGAGAATATTGAGAAGCAAAGCAGCTAGTAAGCCTGATCTTTACTGATCTGTTGCAACAGGGTGCTCCCCTCACCTGCAGGAGAGGAGGAGGACCCAGAACAGTGGCGCACAAGGCCTTATAAAGACTTTTGAAATTGCCACCCTGTAGATCAAGACCACCCCCAGAAACATTATACATACATCACACAAGGGGTGTAACGTAAGACCACCCCTCAGATACATCCCATCTACATCACAGAAATTTAAATGTTGTTTTTCTCTTGTCCTTGTTTATTTTCTGTCTGTCAGGTTACTTGATTGGATTGCCTTGGGAGCCTGGCCAGTCTTTTGTAATGATAAGGCTCACACCCTTATTCAAACACAGATTAAGACAGGATTTGTGAAGGAAGAGACAATGGGGAGGCTTTTCCATTTTGACTTTGCAGAGAAAACATTTGGTCAGTTTAGGAATCAAAATGGTTCCAGGTTGGTCTTCCTGTGTTGATCTAGGTATGTGCAGTTATGAATATTACCATATATCTAAGACCATAAAATTCCTATCACACAGCCCAACAACATAAACCCAGAAGACCAAAGTTTACCCACCCCATGCTCTAAGCAAGGACCTCAAGAGTAACTTCTTTAAAAAAAAGCAAGTGAAAGTTTCCTGGGAACTTTGTCAAAGTTTTTTTTTCAGCTGCTGTTTCGCTCTGGAAGGGACATGGCATGCTCACATCAAAAAGCTGCTCCAACATGAGATTTTGAAACCTTGCCAGTCACAATGGAACACCCAGTTGCTCCTGCAAGAACGAGACTTACGCCACTCTTTCAGGGGAGGGTATTTGTGTGGGACATTCAATCAGGGAATTGCGCCCCAGCCCGATTCGTTATCTTGCCACCTGGTAGAGCTCCACCCGGAGCCTCCAGGAATCACCTAAAGCCTCCCCCTGGCCCAAAGAACCTACTAGGTAATAGATAAATAGATCCCTGAGCCCAAGTGGTGCAGATAGGGCTGTGGGTGACTATGGCTTTGGCCATGAGGGTATTTTTACTGCCTCTGGCCGTCAGCGTGCCCACACCCCTTCAGGTGACCAAGCAGCTAATGCGGGAGTGGGGTGCCCACAACACAAATAATAAATGGCTGAAATGGGGGCTTATTCTGCAAACCGAACCAATTGCACGGTCTGCACTCATAGAATAATGGAGTTGGAAGAGACCACAAGGGCCATCGAGTCCAACCCCCTGCCAAGCAGGAAACACCATCAGAGCACTCTTGACATATGGTTGTCAAGCCTCTGCTTAAAGACCTCCAAAGAAGGAGACTCCACCACACTCCTTGGCAGCAAATTCCACTGTCGAACAGCTCTTACTGTCAGGAAGTTCTTCCTAATGTTTAGGTGGAGTCTTCTTTCTTGTAGTTTGGATCCATTGCTCCGTGTCCGCTTCTCTGGAGCAGCAGAAAACAACCTTTCTCCCTCCTCTATGTGACATCCTTTTATATATTTGAACATGGCTATCATATCACCCCTTAACCTCCTCTTCTCCAGGCTAAACATGCCCAGCTCCCTTAGCCGTTCCTCATAAGGCATCGTTTCCAGGCCTTTGACCATTTTGGTTGCCCTCCTGTGGACA